AAAATTTAATTTACAGTATAATTCACGTCCTATTTGACAATTATTTGGTACAGGACACGATAATTCAAATATTGTTTATTAATTTCCGATGGAATGATTCTAGGTACACTGGACTATGATATGACAACGTGCATGGGGTAATATGAGCATCTCTGCTACCAAGTGTAACAGATACACACATCCACATCACACAGAGAAACACATGGTATGGTTCTTGTGTGAGCTAAAAAAACATATGAATGCCGTGCTACAGAGCTAAAAAATGATCACTTTCTCATAGTCCCTCACAGGCTCTAGGTCTATAGAAAGGTGTTTATTTCATACCGTATATTTAATAAGCATAGTCAAAGATTCAAACGGTGGTGCTTTGAATTGTTCTTAGATTATTTTTCACTTTGACAATTATCGAAAAACCGCTTTGTTCTAAATATACGGGGCAAAGAAAACAATCGCGCAAAGTAACACTTTTTATCCAAACTCTTACAAATATATATCAACCTCATTATGGTTGGTCCAAACCGGATACAGATTTTTAGACACTGAAGCAGCCGCGTAGGTATGATGTAAAAAACCTCTAAAACGTCAAGAAAAACCTATAAGATGTCATCTTGCAGACTAGGGCCCGTATCGTCAGTCGTCCCTACAATTGTAGGGCGCGTTTATGGCCTCCTTGATTGTCATACTCGTTTCTCTCCTTCAAAAATTTCTAGATTACACTTGTCCCGTGTCAGCGTCAGCGCTCTCCTATTGTGAAGATATGTTTTATTTTTAAATTGTAGGAAATTTCAGGCCGATAAAACCCGATATAACTCAAAAGCAAGCACAATTTGATGCAAATAGATGTTTGTGACATAACCTCAAAATAGAGGGCTGACACGGAGAAGTAGAAAACTATGACAATCAATGAGGCCATAAAGGCGCCCTACAATTGTAGGGACGACTGACGATAGGGACCTAGGTAGTTTTTAGAGCGCAAGCAGTCATCCCACGTTTGCTCACTAGCATCTTTGTGAACGTCCATCTAAGGAAGAATCACTCAGCTGAACTACACGCTTTATTGGTTGCATATGTTTTGTGAGGCCGAGTGGTTCGTCCGTAGTTTTTAAGTTTTTATCGGAGAAGAAAGTTGGTTGAATAGCAAGATCGCAACTGGATGATTATGTGTACTGGTCTGCACGTGTATAAAATCAGTGATATTTGCTGTGTGAGAAAATCTTTACTGAACATGCTGCCAATGAAGTATATCTATTAGCTGTACCCGACGGGTTATTTATATGTTGTGCTTTCTGAAGAGAGGTTATGTTCAAAGTTATGAATTACGGGAAATCATCACCGCACCGGCGTTGAATTTAATTACTGTTAGCATGTATATGGCTTGTAATTCGACAGTGTACAGTGAATATATTATCTCTTATCTCTGAAGCAGATTTTACATCACATCAGAGCCAAACATTGACAAGTGAAGCCTCTTGTCATGACGTTTAGGCAACACGTACAACTAAGTGCTAAGTTAACATCTTGTAGAAAAACCTTCATAATGTCAAAAAAAACAGTATAATGTCAAAAAAAATCGATATAACGTCACTTTTCAAGATACATGATATCCGTGCGGATGGTCGCTACGGACTGTCTTGTTAAGGTACAGTACTATGTTTTGGAAGCATAAAACTGTACAAGATTGTTGCGTCCCCTAGCAGACATAACCTCCATCAGGTATCTCGTCAGAGAGGAAGTCCCTGCTCGTCTTCTTATTTCCAGCTCACCGGCAGAGACCGGCTTGTCACTCTGAAGTAGCGCTCGTAGAGTGCTGTCATCAGCAAAGCTGTGTATGTCGGAGCTAAGGCCAAACCCTGGAGAACTACCGTATTCTCTCAACAAAAAAATTAATTTTGCTAGATTGGTGTCGTGCTTGTGCTTTTATACATCTATACGAACAGCTTTTAAACAAATTTAGCGTATATATATTTAGAAGACTTTCTCAGTTGTACAAATGAGGAGGATTGAATGAATCATTTTAGTAGATAGCAAGGAAACTGATAAGGCAAAGGCAAAGTGTATTCGCAATGAACCTTATTTTTGTAGTTGGTGAATTTAAAATTAGTATTTTTGATCATATAGTAAATGAAATATGAAAAGAAACCAAATCCTAGTATTTTATAAGTGACCAATTCAAGTATATCTACAGTCAGCAACATGTCAGTTGACTTAAGTTGTTTTGGCATGCACTACCCGACTTTTGACTTACATTGTTGTTGAAATAAACGTATATTGCGTTGTATTTATTGGAAGGGCTAGGAATGTATTCTAAGTGACATAATAAATGCAACACCCAGATTGTTTATTAAATTTTTATAAAACCTTGTAAATATATTTGCTACCATGGAAGTATACGCTGATAAAATGTTGAAGGCGTTCCGAGTCGTATTTCTTTTTGTAAAGGCTTTTTTTGTCATTTCCGGACCCGAACAATATGAATATGTTTACTTAATATTCACTGATTTTTCTTGTTTGTCCCATTTGTTTCCTTGCTTTATCGTGTCTGGAGTTTACAGAACGCGCTGATTTCAAAGACAGACTACAGAGCGACAGTATCGTTATTTGAGGCAACTAGCACTTAGAGCAGATCGATTTTCCACAAGGGCAGTTGCGAACAAGTAGTTTGATGCTGTCGGAAGTGCAGTAACAATGAGGATAGTTTATCGCCGAATAAGTTCCTTTGGACTGTTTTCATATCATCGGATCATCCCCATCTTGTACTACCTCTGACCCCACAGCATCGTCGGCAACGATTGGTGCGGAGTAGGGAGAGACTTGGATGGAATGGAACTCAGGCGCGTTCAGCGATCAGTCCAGATTCTGTTTGGCATACATGCACACATGATGGCCGTGCAAGAGTAAGGAAAAAACGTGGTGAACGTCCAATATTCCATCGAACGGCATATTATGTACATCGCACGCTGGGTGTTATGGTATGGGGTGCCATTGCTTACGGCAGCAGGTCACGATTAGTGTTCATTCGAGGTAGAATAACTGCCCAGCGCTATATCCAAGTTATACAACCAAATCTGCTTTCCTTTTTGGAAACATTAATCCACTTTTTCAGCGGGACAATACACGACCTCATGTCGTACGTGTTAGCTTAGATTTTTTAGAAGGTATCCGGAGTAAATCTGCGTCAGGGGCCTCCTCGATCTCCATACCTTTCCCCCATCGTACATGTATGGGACTTGATGGGAATAAGAAGGTTGCAAAATTCACCGCACCCTCCACAAACATTGGAGGCTCTACGAAACCAAATTCAGATGGCCTGGGATACAATACACCATTGACATCAATCACCTAATCCAATCAATGCCGCGGCGACTTAACGTATCTGTAGCGAACAGTGGAGCTTCAAGACATTATTAACATTAAGGTGGGATATACAGGTAACTCAACTATTTTGCTAAATTTCGATTTAAAATTTTAATCACCTTTTATTTACCTAAAACTTGTAAAAATTACAGCATTCCTAGTCGGTGTTGCATTTTCTATGTCATTTAGTGTATTTAACTTATGTGGATTGTGCCTAAAATGCGCATATACATTTAAAACCGTTTCCAAAGAGGCATTTTTGAAAAATGTTACCTATTATATGGGTTTTAAAATTACAGATTTAATTAGATGGTCGATGTCGGATAGTGACCATACCCACCATTTTATAAAAGTCAGTCTGTCGACGTCAGAAAATCTGCAACGTCTTCTAAAAACATATTAATTCTTGTCACCTTCAATGTGTAACCACTAATACTATTCGACTCGAGTATCATATTTTGTGTAAATCAATACGAAATGGCAATAGTGGCTCGGTGCTGCTCTTCTGCCATTGTGTGGGGGTTGTGAAGTGGGGGTCGAGTGCTGGAGCAGCGTTGCCAGACGTACGATAATTTCAAGTGCTGTACGATGTACGATACTATGTGTAGGATAATAGATGAATGTACGATAATTTTGCGAATGAGCTTTTTCACTCACAGATGTTGAATCAATCTAACAGCTACGCTCAATTAATGCCAGCAAGCTGTCAGTGTTGGTAGACAAGTGCGCGTACCCCACTCTGTATAATGGGTTGCCTAGCATTACGCGGACTATCTCGGCAAACATCAACGGGAAAAATTGCCATCAATCAGTTCTCACGTTCTATGTATCGAAATGACGCGCATATTTTTATTTACCCATGTGCATCAGATGAAATGAATGCGACGTATCATGTTTTTATGACTTTTGAAACTTAACAATCAAAAGATCGTTTTCAGTTATTTTCGATATTTAACCGGTTACAATTCAATAACGATAATATGTCGGATTCCGAATCAAGTTGCTCTGGAAGAGAGAAGCACAACAAAAGATGCGATACTCTCGAATACAGAAAACAAAAACGAAGGAGCGGAATCTTTGAAGAAAGCCAACGCGACGAATCTGGCAACGCTGTGCTGGAGTCACACAATGTCGCCGTTATGTGGACAGCCTCAAAAGTAGCGATTTTCTACAAATTGTTCAAAATGACGATAAGTCAAACACCGTGCAAAGGACGTTTATGATTTTTCTAATTGGAAATGACCCTCCTACCACTGCCTTTCGTTTGATTCATAACCTTAGAGCTTAGTGGCACCCTATATCGGAACAACGAGCAACTACACGACTTGTATGCCACATGTATCTAATGCCGGCAGTACACGCTCGCCGAGACGCCGAGGCTATCCGAGATGAGACGAGCGCGAGAGTGTACTTACTATTCCCGCCTCGCCTTAGACCCTCTCGCCTCGCCCTCGGAGCGCTCGGTGTAGAAGCGGTCTCCCAGTGCGAGTCAAAGGAACCGAGAGCGTAAGTGGGAGGTCTCGCGAGCGTGGACATGGTATATTCGGGCGACCTCGGCACACGCTGGTCTCTTGTTGAACAGTGGAATTTGTGGCGTGATTAGTTTTCATTTGCGGCTATATTGGTTGACATTGTTTATTTTTAAAATGGAGTGGACAAATGATTTTACTATCAAGTTTTTGGAATTTTATCAGAGCGAACCTTGTTTGTGGGATCCCTCTGACGAAAATCATAAAAGAAAGGAGAAATTAGCTGACGCCTGGAATCGAATCTCTGAATCTACAGGCAAATCTGTGGCAGAATTAAAGAAGAAAAAAGATTCTTTAATGGCCACTTTCCGGGGTCACTTAAGAAGGAAAAAGGCGTCCATTAGGAGCGGTGCTGGGGGCGATGATATTTACAAGCCTATATGGTTTGCATACAGCTTTATGGAAACTTTTCTTGGTCAAATATATGACTGCCACCCTACCATAAACAGTCAAGACACGGTAAGTACATTCAATAAAATAACTATTACTTATTACTTGTCATACAATATTTTATTTGTTTCTTAAATTCACAAAATATTCAGTGAAATTATCTCTAATCTTAGTGTAATGACATATTAAGCGGAAAACCGCAAAAACGCTAAAATTAGCGGCCCGCTCGAAAACCGCCTGCAATGCAATGTCAATGCTCAATGACATATTTCGTTCCCTCCGGCCGCTGCTATCGGCGGCAAAATTCAGCCCGCGTCTTGTCGGCGGGAAAGCGGTTTGCGTTTTGCGGTTTGAGTGGGGGAAACATACACAAACTAACGCCTGGTGACAAATAGTTGTCTACTGAACCGCTGCGGGTTGCGATTTGTAGTGTGTTTCGTGATTTCGTCGAGGAGTCTGCAGAATCATGTCCACAGAGAACCTCATTGAGCTCGTTGAGATGCATCCTTCCATTTGGAACAAAAGTTGTGAGCAGTACAAAGACAGATACGAAAAAGAAAAGGCTTGGATCGAGATTGCCCGAAGGATCTTCCAAGATTAGGATACACTTGGGAAGAAAGAGAGGAATAAAAAATGTAAGTTGAAGGTACCAAATAATTATAATGGTTAATAATTGAAAGTTAAAAAGTTTAAAAGCGAATTTAATATAAAAAAGTCGATTGTTTGTTCGTATATTGACTGACTAGCATTTATTTTCACCACATGAAAATTACGATTAAATTTGGAGACAAATCTTTCAATTCTTTTTGGCATAATTTTAAAATTACTATTGATGTGCATAAGTGATGTTTTCACTTAAAAAAAGACTTGGCAATCAAAATTTAATAAAAATAAATAAAACGAAAAAATAACGCCTTCGAACACGGTTTTTATATGGACATGGGACACGGTATTTACCTAAAATTTTATTCTTATCATTCATCGTTTTTTATACGTAATTTTTTTCCGGGCAATGCCGAGTTTCTCAGATAATAGGTTGGTCATTTAGTTGATGTTATATCATCTACAGTATATATCGTCATTTGCATTTCTTTTCAGCACAACGGGCAATTTCGACTCGGACACTTCAGAGGAAGAGGGCCACAACAAATCTGACATAGCCACAACTTCAGCGTTATCACTATCAGAATCCCATTCACCCATTTCATCCCCACACCCAGAAAACTCATCAACTCCAAAACCTAGTCGACCTGCCAAGATGACTCCTTTTCAAGAATCCCTTATAAAAAATCTCAGTCAGGCATCATCATCGATTACCCAAGCCAGAGTTGACGAAGATGCAGATCGTTTGTACCTACTTTCTTTACTTCCGGATTACAAAGCGTTATCTCCGGGGCAAAAGTGGGCATTCCGTGAACACGTAGGATACTTTTTCCGTCAAACTTTCGTACCTCCAGATCTACGCCTCCTCTGTCATTCCAAAACTACCGAACCACTTCAACACATTGTCCTCAATACTCCTATCAAGAACATAGTTCACTACCTTTCTCTCATAACATAACCCAACTTCAGAAACCCCCACAGCCACCGCAAACCTATCAAACATCATCTTGTAACATAGCACAAGAATCCACTCAAGTCACATTCTCTCCCAGTTCGTCTTCCCAATCACAGTAACGATATTACTATATTAAGTTGTATTATCAAGTATTTTGTTCACTTTTGATTTTTTTACATATAAACTCGAGTTATGATTATTTGATTGTAATTTAAAACATTATTTATATAATATTTAAAATAAATAAGAAGTTATACGTATATATGTTTGGTTACCTGAGTGTGACAGTCAACCTTTCTTCTGCGCTAATTGGCTTTTTGAAAGAAGTCTCCTGTTTCGTAATAAGTGGACGTAGAGCTCCAAGTAGTTCATCGAATGACGCAATTGACATGCGATAGTACTCAAAAAATTTATCGGGATGCTTTCTGATGTCTTCCAAAAATTTGGGGCACTTCCTTGAACGTTCATTGTTATACGGGTGCACTGCATATCTGCGACTTCGTGGTTTCTCCAACAGGCCTTCAGCTTCAGCAGCACAAACAGTTGCTACGTTAACAAAATGTGCGAGCTCCATACTTCAAAGCTAAGCTACAACTGATGACAAAAGTAGAATGTGGCCATTCAGGCCTCTCCCCCTTGTCGCGCCGCCATCCACCGCCGCGCGGGCGACAGTATGTCATCAGACCAGAAAGCGGTTTTGATTCCCGCTACTTTTGGCGTTTTGCGGTTTCCCGCCTAGTATGTCATTACACTTAGTGTAATGACATATTAAGCGGAAAACCGCAAAAACCCTAAAATTAGCGGCCCGCTCGAAAACCGCCTGCAATGCAATGTCAATGCTCAATGACATATTTCGTTCCCTCCGGCCGCTGCTATCGGCGGCAAAATTCAGCCCGCGTCTTGTCGGCGGGAAAGCGGTTTGCGTTTTGCGGTTTGAGTGGGGGAAACATACACAAACTAACGCCTGGTGACAAATAGTTGTCTACTGAACCGCTGCGGGTTGCGATTTGTAGTGTGTTTCGTGATTTCGTCGAGGAGTCTGCAGAATCATGTCCACAGAGAACCTCATTGAGCTCGTTGAGATGCATCCTTCCATTTGGAACAAAAGTTGTGAGCAGTACAAAGACAGATACGAAAAAGAAAAGGCTTGGATCGAGATTGCCCGAAGGATCTTCCAAGATTAGGATACACTTGGGAAGAAAGAGAGGAATAAAAAATGTAAGTTGAAGGTACCAAATAATTATAATGGTTAATAATTGAAAGTTAAAAAGTTTAAAAGCGAATTTAATATAAAAAAGTCGATTGTTTGTTCGTATATTGACTGACTAGCATTTATTTTCACCACATGAAACTTACGATTAAATTTGGAGACAAATCTTTCAATTCTTTTTGCCATAATTTTAAAATTACTATTGATGTGCATAAGTGATGTTTTCACTTAAAAAAAAGACTTGGCAATCAAAATTTAATAAAAATAAATAAAACGAAAAAATAACGCCTTCGAACACGGTTTTTATATGGACATGGGACACGGTATTTACCTAAAATTTTATTCTTATCATTCATCGTTTTTTATACGTAATTTTTTTCCGGGCAATGCCGAGTTTCTCAGATAATAGGTTGGTCATTTAGTTGATGTTATATCATCTACAGTATATATCGTCATTTGCATCTCTTTTCAGCACAACGGGCAATTTCGACTCAGACACTTCAGAGGAAGAGGGCCACAACGAATCTGACATAGCCACAACTTCAGCGTTATCACTATCAGAATCCCATTCACCCATTTCATCCCCACACCCAGAAAACTCATCAACTCCAAAACCTAGTCGACCTGCCAAGATGACTCCTTTTCAAGAATCCCTTATAAAAAATCTCAGTCAGGCATCATCATCGATTACCCAAGCCAGAGTTGACGAAGATGCAGATCGTTTGTACCTACTTTCTTTACTTCCGGATTACAAAGCGTTATCTCCGGGGCAAAAGTGGGCATTCCGTGAACACGTAGGATACTTTTTCCGTCAAACTTTCGTACCTCCAGATCTACGCCTCCTCTGTCATTCCAAAACTACCGAACCACTTCAACACATTGTCCTCAATACTCCTATCAAGAACATAGTTCACTACCTTTCTCTCATAACATAACCCAACTTCAGAAACCCCCACAGCCACCGCAAACCTATCAAACATCATCTTCTAACATAGCACAAGAATCCACTCAAGTCACATTCTCTCCCAGTTCGTCTTCCCAATCACAGTAACGATATTACTATATTAAGTTGTATTATCAAGTATTTTGTTCACTTTTGATTTTTTTACATATAAACTCGAGTTATGATTATTATTGATTATTTGATTGTAATTTAAAACATTATTTATATAATATTTAAAATAAATAAGAAGTTATACGTATATATGTTTGGTTACCTGAGTGTGACAGTCAACCTTTCTTCTGCGCTAATTGGCTTTTTGAAAGAAGTGTCCTGTTTCGTAATAAGTGGACGTAGAGCTCCAAGTAGTTCATCGAATGACGCAATTGACATGCGATAGTACTCAAAAAATTTATCGGGATGCTTTCTGATGTCTTCCAAAAATTTGGGGCACTTCCTTGAACGTTCATTGTTATACGGGTGCACTGCATATCTGCGACTTCGTGGTTTCTCCAACAGGCCTTCAGCTTCAGCAGCACAAACAGTTGCTACGTTAACAAAATGTGCGAGCTCCATACTTCAAAGCTAAGCTACAACTGATGACAAAAGTAGAATGTGGCCATTCAGGCCTCTCCCCCTTGTCGCGCCGCCATCCACCGCCGCGCGGGCGACAGTATGTCATCAGACCAGAAAGCGGTTTTGATTCCCGCTACTTTTGGCGTTTTGCGGTTTCCCGCCTAGTATGTCATTACACTTAGTGTAATGACATGTTAACCGGAAAACCGCAAAAACGCTAAAATTAGCGGCCCGCTCGACAACCGCCTGCAATGCAATGTCAATGCTCAATGACATATTTCGTTCCCGCCGGCCGCTGCGATCGGCGGCAAAATTCAGCCCGCGTCTTGTCGGCGGGAAAGCGGTTTGCGTTTTGCGGTTTGAGTGGGGGAAACATACACAAACTAACGCCTGGTGACAAATAGTTGTCTACTGAACCGCTGCGGGTTGCGATTTGTAGTGTGTTTCGTGATTTCGTCGAGGAGTCTGCAGAATCATGTCCACAGAAAACCTCATTGAGCTCGTTGAGATGCATCCTTCCATTTGGAACAAAAGTTGTGAGCAGTACAAAGACAGATACGAAAAAGAAAAGGCTTGGATCGAGATCGCCCGAAGGATCTTCCAAGATTGGGATACACTTGGGAAGAAAGAGAGGAATAAAAAATGTAAGTTGAAGGTACCAAATAATTATAAAGGTTAATAATTGAAAGTTAAAAAGTTTAAATGCGAATTTAATATAAAAAAAAGTCGATTGTTTGATCGTATATTGACTGACTAGCATTTATTTTCACCACATGAAAATTACGGTTAAATTTAGAAACAAATCTTTCAATTCTTTTTGGCATAATTTTAAAATTACTATTGAAGTGCATAAGTGATGTTTTCACTTAAAAAAAAAGATTTGGCAATCAAAATTTAATAAAAATAAATAAAACGAAAAAATAACGCCTTGGAACACGGTTTTTACATGGACATGGGACATGGTATTTACCTAAAATTTTATTCTTATCATTCATTGTTTTTTATACGTAATTTTTTTCCGGGCAATGCCGAGTTTCTCAGATAATAGGTATTTTTTTAGAATTAAGTACATTGTAATACTTTAATACATTTATTCACAACTACGTGAACATCCTTGCAATTCAATAATTATACTCCTCTTAAAACGGGACGGCACCAATCCCAACAAAATAATCTGCGAAAAAATCGAGAACTTGTGTTCCTTGGTCGCGGGGCGCTGCACCAGTATTTATTACGTCAGGAAATGGAGAGATTTCACCTTCTTCATAATTGGCACCATCTCTTTGCCGAACGAAATTATGTAGGATGCAACAGGCTTTTACGATATCATCAATGAGCTCTGGTCATACCAAAATTGGTGTGTGAAAAATTCGCCATTTATTGGCTAATAAACCAAATGCACACTCGACTGAACGTCTGGCTCTAGAAAGTCGGTAATTGAAAATTCTTCGACGACCATCAATGTCACGTGCAGGAAAGGGTCTCATGAGATTTGTATGTATTTTAAACGCTTCGTCTCCAAGAAATACAAAAGGCTGAGGAGTGGAATCTGTTCCGGCAAGTTTCAGACACTATATCGGCAATCGTACTTCTTCCAATGTGGAATTCATATTGTAGAGCTGTGAAGGTATTTCCCGTGGCCAAGTATCTGCAAAAAGAATCGAAATATACCACTAATTCTAGTGCACGTGTTTTTGTGTCTTTGTTTTTGAAATTAATTATTCTTTTTTAGTGGATGCGTTGAAGAAGAAATGGAAGAACATCAAGGATTCATTAAGAAAATATTTAGATACAAGAAGCGGCGATGCTGCAAAAAAAAGAAATATGTACACCTTGAGGCCCTGAGTTTCCTGCAAAACTCTGCTGAGAAAAGAAGGTTGGTCATTTAGTTGATGTTATATCATCTACAGTATGTATCGTCATTTGCATCTCTTTTCAGCACAACGGGCAATTTCGACTTAGACATTTCAGAGGAAGAGGGCCACAACGAATCTGACATAGCCACAACTTCAACGTTATCACTATCAGAATCCCATTCACCGATTTCATCCCCACACCCAGAAAACTCATCAACTCCAAAACAACATTCTTTTAGAAAGCCTAGTCGACCTGCCAAGATGACTCCTTTTCAAGAATCCCTTATAAAAAATCTCAGTCAGGCATCATCATCGATTACCCAAGCCAGAGTTGACGAAGATGCAGATCGTTTGTACCTACTTTCTTTACTTCCGGATTACAAAGCGTTATCTCCGAGTCAAAAGTGGGCATTCCGTGAACACGTAGGATACTTTTTCCGTCAAACGTTCGTTCCTCCTACATCTACGCCTCCTCTGTCATTCCAAAACTACCGAACCACTTCCACACATTGTCCTCAATACTCCTATCAAGAACATAGTTCACTGCCTTTCTCTCGTAACATAACCCAACTTCAGAAACCCCCACAGCCACCGCAAACCTATCAAACATCATCTTGTAACATAGCACAAGAATCCACTCAAGTCACATTCTCTCCCAGTTCGTCTTCCCAATCACAGTAACGATATTACTATATTAAGTTGTATTATCAAGTATTTTGTTCACTTTTGATTTTTTTACAAATAAACTCGAGTTATGATTATTATTGATTATTTGAGTGTAATTTAAAACATTATTTATATAATATTTAAAATAAATAAGAAGTTAGGGGTGACTTCGAAGTTGAGTCATTTATTTTAACAGTGAGTAGATCTGATCAAAAGAAATGTTTTTTTCCTTTACCATTTTCCTGGTAAAATTAAAGTAACAAAGTTATAGCCCTTTGGAAGTTTGAGTACCGCCCTGTCTAATAATAATATTATGTGGTCGTGTTTGGCGACAACGGATATAATCCGCCGTATCGGTTCATCGCATCGGAAACAAAAAAGCGAAAGAATTTGGAACGACAATTATTTCATTCATTTGTATACAGTCAGTGTCAGTGAATAGTGGTATCTGTTGCGTGGCTCAAACGAAATAAAAAATGGCACATGTTTATGCGGATCGGTTTCCCAATCGAGTGCAACCAACCCCTCGTGCCTTTGCTAATGTAGTACAACGGGCTCGTGAATCAGGTGACTTAAGACCTCACAGGGGACCTCAAGATCAAATACAGGTCCGCACTGAAATACTTGTCGGGAGGATAGTTTATAAAACAAGGTAAAAATTTTTTTTAATTTTTTTTTTATTTTTACACACATATTTTGGTTTATCTTAATTCTACAATCATTATCTGAAAATTAATGACTCAACTTCAAAGTCACCCTGTATATGTTTGGTTACCTGAGTGTGACAGTCACCTTTCTTCTGCGCTAATTGGCTTTTTGAAAGAAGTCTCCTGTTTCGTAATAAGTGGACGTAGAGCTCCAAGTAGTTCATCGAATGGCGCAATTGACATGCGATAGTACTCAAAAAATTTATCGGGATGCTTTCTGATGTCTTCCAAAAATTTGGGGCACTTCCTTGAACGTTCATTGTTATCCGGGTGCACTGCATATCTGCGACTTTCTCCAACAGGCCTTCAGCTTCAGCAGCACAAACAATTGCTACGTTAACAAAATGTGCGAGCTCCATACTTCAAAGCTAAGCTACAACTGATGACAAAAGTAGAATGTGGCCATTCAGGCCTCTACCCCTTGTCGCGCCGCCATCCACCGCCGCGCCGCCGCGCGGGCGACAGTATGTCATCAGACCAGAAAGCGGTTTTCATTCCCGCTACTTTTGGCGTTTTGCGGTTTCCCGCCTAGTATGTCATTACACTTAGTCGCACTAATCGGTGATCGACGAGCAATATGTGGTACACATCGAATAGCACAGTTTTGAGGTACTTCTTGCCTCCAAGCCCCTTCAATAAAAACGCCGTTATCATATTTATCAAGAGTGCCCGACGGGTTATAAATGTTTTTTGCACTAGAACTTTTCATAAGAAAATTGTGTAGAAGTACATATGTCATTGTTAACTGCGTCACTTTTTCGGGCATCAATTCGATTGGCTTTTTGAAAAATCGGAATCTGGAAGTTAATATTCCAAAAGTATTTTCAGACAATACACGAGACCTTGACAATGTTTCATTGAAAATACGTTTGGGAGTATTCAATTTATGATCGCCAGGATATGGCTTCATTAAGTTCTCGCAAGAAAACATATGGTAAATCGACGTTTAATCCGGGTAAGGGGCAAGGTGGAGGAAAATTCATCTTATTTTCACAAATATTTTTCCATAACACACTATTTCTAAGTATGCCGCCATCACTTATTCTTCCTTGGCTTCCAATGTCACAAAATATAAATCGATATTTACTGTCTACTACAGCTAGAAGAACAATACTAAAGGTTCTTTTGTAATTGTAATATTCTGATCCAGTGTGATCAGGACATTTGATTACAACATGTTTTCCGTCGATTGCTCCAATGGCGTGGGGAAAATTATCTCTAAATCCTTTTTCAATTTCTATCCACTCATCTGTAGTTGACGGCATCTGCAAAAAGATAAGAAATTACATTTATTGTTAATATTGTTAATATGTAATAAAATGTATTTATTTTTCAGATTTCTCTTGATAACGAAACCCTCGAGCCCACATCTCAAGAATCAGAATCAGAAATCAATGAAGTAGTGAATGTTGTACCCTCAGCTAAGTCTCAGCAAGCAGCACTTGTAGCCAAACCTCACCGACCAACACCCTTACCAATCTCTCAGCAAAGATATCGTCGTCGCCAAGTTCCTACGGAATTGCTTCAAGCAGAAAGTGAAATGAAGGAAGCCTTCTCATGGGTGAAGAATGTTGTGTCCAGAAATGATGAAAAAGAAGACGAGTGCGATTTATACGGTAGAAAGTTGGCGAAAAAACTATGAAAAATTCCGGAATTTCAAAGAGAATACTTGATGCATGATATTAACGAAATGGTCCTCAGGGCAATGCATCCATCTCATGGTTCTGTCGCCACGCCATCCTGTTCCAATGGACCACCTTCGAACTCATCGCTAATTTCCTTATCGTATTCTCGACCTACATCTGCAAACAGCAATAACTGTTCCTATGCTTCATCACAGGGTATCAACGAGCATGCCCAGGACCGAATGGAAGAACACATACAGGAATCTGACCCTATCAGCCAAGCACTGTATATGACCTTTGGAGGAAAAACAGACACCAACTCGAAAACTACTCATTTCAACATGTAGATGTAAACATTTTATAATAAAACTGTAGCTCTATAAATGCAAATGAATCTATTTACCTTAATTTCATCTTTCAAAGCCTCATTCAGTGCTGCACAGACCTCCGGAACAATCCGCGATATTATTTCACTTGAAACTTTAAATAAATAATGTAGGCTCTTGAAACTGTCGCCTGTGGCTAAATATCTCAAAGTAATTGCTAGCCGTATTTTTGGAGTTATTGCCTGTCTCATTGAAGTATCTTTTTTGGAAATCATTGGTGAGACTATATTTAAAAGATACTCAAAATCAGCTAGAGACATTCAAGTAAAATTTTCAAATTCACCACCAGGTTCCATTAACAATTCGCTCAACTGTCTGTCCATGTGTTCCCTATACGAAAATAAAAAATCAAATCAAACACAAAACACTTTATAAAATCTAATCAAATTACGTAATAATGTCAGTATATACCTACCTCGTTCTATTTCGATTGATTGATTTCACCCACCATCTTTTTTTCTTCCAAGGCTTCTTGATTTTTGAAGTTGCAAATATTTATAGTAACAATAAGCAGCATAGGCTACAGCTACACAAATTTCCACGTTCTTGGCCATCACTCGCACGAATCTACACAAGGAGCCGGTTCGATGTTTACTGCGAGAGTATACACGGTGTCCTCGGGCCGCCTCGCATCGGGGAGTCTCGCATTCGGATGGCTTCGACGAGCGTGTACTGCCAGCATAAGAGTAAAGTAGTAAAGTCTCTCCAATTCAAAAACAAAGCAACGTCGCCTGTAATATTCACAAGATCGCCCAGCAGCAGGTGGACTGGCAAGCTCCAATTGGCGAATTCGATGTCGGCGCCTGGTCCGACGCTGTGCCGCCGTACCGATGCAGCTTCGGTGCGCGTTTAAGCAGTAGTACAGAGTTGCAATCAGGAATCAGGCATTCGAGTGCCATCGTGCATCGACTGCATCGTACTAAAGTGTATCTAACGAAGCTACAAAGTAATCGTAAACACTGGTTGATTCGTGATCAACGCGTGATCGGTAGCCATGGCGCTCTGTCGGCCTCTTCCTGATTGGCTTGTAGCGACGAGCCTCCAGACAAAGTCGCACGGTTGCCACGCTCGGCGAGTTTACGCCAGAGTGGTTGATCACATTCGCATGGATCACAAATCAATCTGTTGGTGCAATACGTGCAATAACTGTTGTAAAGGACATTGTATAACAATAAATGGCATCACAAAGGTATATTCCAATTTGATCTGCAGCAAATTATGAACGGCATATACGGAGATGCGAAAACAAGCTCAAAAAGGTGAAGAAAATTTTTGTGCAATCTTTATAGTTAAATTTTTCCTAAGAGATAGCATCAGTGAGGGAATTTTTTTCTATTGTCTTATTTTTCACATTAATGCGATGTCGAGGTATGTGGCCCTATCGCAATTGAAAATAAGGTTTCGATAATCCTTCCATAAAGTTTCGATGAGTACATCTGAAATAACCTTCAGATATTCTTCAGGGAAATACAAAAATCTCCTTTTGTGTTTTTTTGTGCAGATTTATCTATTAAAATACTATCCGCAATCCATTTTCCGTGCACACACCTTCAACCGAATGTATGCCATATATGATATTACCGTTTCCAACTTTCACCAAGGTTAATAGGAACCATAACAGCCCCCTACCCTTCCCCCCTATAAGAATATCGATTTGTAGCCTCACATTTCAAGGTTAGACTTCTTGTAATGTTTCTGTTCAACATTCGGCGATTTCTGACAATTTTCCCAATAAAACATGATCATTGTGACATTAAACCTGGCAACGCTGCATAGTAGAGGGAACTCTCAGCGTCACGTTGATGGTTCGTCACCACGCACAGGATTGTAATCAGTTACGGATACCCGTTTATGAGCGCGAACGTTTTATGCACGTCTTGACTTGATTTTTCTTGCGGAAATTTAATATTAGTCTAAAATGTCTGACACAGATACAGCTGATGAAGTGGTTGAAATCAGCTTAACGTCACCCAGAAAAAGGGCTAAAAAGCTTCATCTTAGCGCAGGTGAAAAACAAATTATTCTAAATATCTACAAGAACCAGATGCAAGAGAATAGTGGATTGGCTATAGAAAATATCGTATGTAAGGTTGCTGAAATTTCTGGAGTAGGTCGATCAAGTGTTTACAAAATCTTGAAGGAATATAGACAAAATCACTCACTATCTGAGCCAAAAACATATCCAGCGAGAAAAAAAATCATCGAAAAAATAGATGACTTTGACAAAAGTGCCATTAGAAGAAAAGTACATCACTTTTTCTTCAGGAATGAAATACCTACAATAGATAAAATATTGAAGCAAGTGAATGATGATGAGGACCTGCCAAATTTTAAAAGATCTACGTTCCATAAGCTGTTGAAAGAACTAGACTTTCGATTTTTGAAAAGAGGAAGGAATAGTTTATTGATAGAAAAGGAGGAAATTGTTATCTGGAGGAGAGAATACCTTAGAAAAATTAGGCAATTCCGCGCTGAAGGAAGAAAAATTTATTATTTAGATGAAACATGGGTGAACGCGGGGCATACGCAGGGAAAGGTTTGGGTAGACAGATCTGTGAGGTCCTCAAGGCAGGCTTTTTTAGATGGCCTTTCGACGGGATTGAAAAATCCTGCAGGTAAGTTTCGAAGTATATGAACTTTTTTGGATGCAGATAATTCATTTTCTGATCGAATCAATGATTTGGAAGCTCCGAACTCAGTTTTGCTATCTCATCCAAGTTTCTGAGTATTTCCTTCACCCAAAAACTAATCTAAGACCCTATCCTACACTAACCTAAAAAGAGTAAGTTGCTTAATTTCGTCATTTAGTGCGCTCGCTGAGAAGTAAAATAACTAATTACTTTCAGGCAAGGGAAAACGCCTGATCATTTGCCACATAGGTAGCGTAGATGGATTTGTTCCTGAAGCATTGTGGGCATTTGAATCCAAAAAAACTGGAGACTATCACGAAGAAATGGATGGTAACTCATTTGAAAATTGGTTCAAAAAAATTTTGCCGACACTTGATGATAACGCAATTATTGTGATGGATAATGCCCCGTACCACTCCAGAAAATTGGAAAAAATTCCAACAATGGCCACCGAAAAGGCAGACATTCAACAGTGGCTTGTCTCAAAGAAGATCGACTTCGACCAAACAATGGTCAAAGCTGAGCTGATAAATATAGTCAAGCGACATAAGTATAAATATGATTTAAAAATTGTTGACGAAATGGCCAAAAACCAAAATAAAACGATTCTCAGGCTGCCTCCCTATCACTGCGAACTGAATCCTATCGAGTTGATTTGGGCCGACATCAAGCAATACGTGGCGTCAAATAACAGCACTTTTAAGTTTTCTGACCTTAAAAAACTGTTTGATGTTGCTGTCGATAGAATTACGCCAGCAAAATGGAGAACATGTATTGACCATGTCCAAGAGAAGGTTGAAACCAAAATGTGGGATATGGACAATATCATTGACACCCAAGTTGAACCCCTTATAATTGACATCAACAATTCTGATGATTCAAGCTCCTCGGAATACAGCATATAAATCGATTGATACCATTAAGACTGGCAGTTTAACGGGCTTTTTGGCAAGACAGGTAAGTTCATTATAGACTGCAATCAAAGTGTAAGTTTCTAGTTATTAATGTGGAAATTCCAAATTTATAATTACACAAAATTAGGGTTAATTTAGGAGTTCCAAAGCATAATAGTGCCATTTTGACCTTCTTCCTATTTCTCATGTAAATTTTAATAGCAATCAAACTAACAAACTTTATGGAGTCTGTAATAAACTTTTGTACTACTACTACTACGTCTGTAGTTTCTATTTGCTCAAAAAAATTTGCTCTGCATTGTGAATAGAAGGTTGATTTGTAAATATTATTGGGTATATATGTAAGTTAATAATAAAATATGAACAATTTCAATTGAGATGGTCCACAAGTTTTTTTCGTGTGCGTTTTAGTAACATTTTGCTGAAATGGTGAATACAGAATTTTTTGCACTGATTCCTAATGTCGAAATATGATTAGAAAGGCGTGGTATATTCCTGATAATTTACTATGCTTTTGATAGAATTTACAGCAACACATATCTTGTACGACATTTTTTGATAGATCAGTCACAATAGCTTGATACGGCCCTGTAGCGTCTCCTACGGTTAAGTTCTTGATCACGTGCAATACGGGTGTATATGTTTGATTTTACTTTGTTTCTTCGATGGATACAGTTTATATTTCCTCTTGGTGTGTCCTTGATTTCGCGATTTCCATTTGTTGTTTGATTTTGTTTATTTTTGTTGAATTTGATGTTGTTGTTATTATTGTTTTTTGTTATAGTTTATGGTTAGCCAAGATATCTAGTACAGACACTGCAGATGAGACTGCAAGCTATTGTCTGAGTCCACCTAGAAAACTGTCAAAAAAAGTATTTGAGTGTTGAGGTAAAAGAAGTGATTCTAAATGAGTTTAAGATAGAGAGACAGGAAAATGAGACATCCACTGTCGTTGAAATTGCTTGGACGGTTTCTGAAATAGTTGGAGTATCGCGAGCCTCCGTTTATAATGTTTTACGGGAATACAGGGAAAATCATTTTCCGAAATAAACACGAACCAGAATCGTCAAAGCATTGTAAAATTGATTGATGAGAAGAATGAGATACCTATGGTAGACAAAATACTCAGAGTAGTGAATGAAGATGCTTTATTGCCAAGTTTCAAGCGATCGGCGTTTCACAAATTACTGAAACATTTACATTTTAAATGGAAAAAAACGGGGGCGCAATAGTTTACTTTTAGATAGGGAAGAAGTTGTCCTATGGAGGAGAGAATATTTAGTCAAAATAAAGCTATATCGGCAACAAAGCAGGCCAATATACTACGTAGATGAAACCTGGGTTAATACTGACCACACTACTCCTAACGTATGGGTCGATGAATCTGTAACTTCCGCTCGGAGAGCTTTTTATACGAAATGCCCACAGGGTTGAAAAATCCATCAGGTAAACTGCTTGAAGTGCGCAATTATAGCTAATAACAACACTAAGATTTCAGGAAGTAATAAAAAAAAGATTAGTGATTCATAAGCAACGCATGTATTTGTAATCTCAATTAATTTCGAATATATGATAAAATTCGGTGAATTATCGAAAAAAGTCTCGATATTTGGGCGTCACATCTTCAAATAGTATTATTTCCTTATAGTAAAGTATTGCCCAATAAAATGTTACGTGGTTAAAGTAACTAATAAAGTCGATAATGACATTCAACAAATAAATTTTCGTATCAAAAGTTTTGAAGAACTCATTTTATATGTCGGTTTATACTTCCAGGTAAAGGTAAAAGGCTTATTGTCGGTCGTATTGGCAATAAGGATTATCACAAAGAAATGAACGGTGAATCTTTTGGAAAGTGGTTTTCTGATGTGCTACCGCACCTCGAGGACGATGCAGTTGTTGTATTGGACAATGCTCCGTATCATTCCCGTCGAATAGAAAAGATCCCACCAACGTCTTCAAGGAAGCATGAAATACAACATTGGCTTCGATCAAAGAACATCCCATTTAAAGACTCAATGTTAAGAGTTCATCTCCTAAAAATTGTTAAAGAACATAGGGCTGAATTCCAAAAATATATCATTGATGAGCTAGCAGCAGCCTAAACAAAACTATCCTTCGCCTACCCCCGTATCACTGCGAGCTCAATCCCTCGGTGCTAATATGGGCGGACGTCAAAAACTTTATTATAACACCACATCCAAATTTACGGATCTCAAAGTGCTCTTTGATGAGGCTTTGAAAAGAATTACTGTCGATAAATGGGAGAAGTGTGTTCAGCATATCACATCAAAAGTCGAGACAAACATGTGGGAGCTGGACATCTTGGAGGCACAAGTCGAGCCACTCATAATTAATATTGGCAAAAGTGATACCAGTGATGAAGATGAAAATTTCTCAAGTTCATAAGTTTAATTCACAGGTATTTTATTATCCTTATAATTGTACGTACTATACCTATTATCACCTCCGTTGTCGAATTATACTTGTGTTGGAACCGCCTGGCTTTCCTTTTGTTGTGGTATAAATGCATATTTTTAATTATTAAATTATTTGGAGGGGCTAATTGTTTATTGTTTTCGATCATTCAATAATTACCGCGTTATACCAACCTCAACACTCCGCTAGTCTGCCAAATCCGGCAGTTTTCCTGCTAGAGATGCTAGAAGAAGAGTTGCAATCTAACATCTATCGGTTACATCAGCAAGTAGTTATCACTATCAAGTATTTTTTAGCGGCATTTTGCTTGTAAAACATGTTTAACTAAGTAATAGCATTTGTAATCAACAAGATGTTGGAATCGTTAATTCATCGCAAAGCGCCCCTGAATACGTCCCTGGCTAATTCAGGCGTCGCCAATGAACTGTCAACACTGATGGAATCGCCCCGTCCCATTTGTACAATGAAACGATAATGCGGCCAACATGCGACAAAGAGGTCCGAGAGCGAGATGGAGCTAGTCAGGGCAAAAAGCGGGCGGACTTGAATGAATTGCATAGGAAACCGAGGATTCTTAGAGAAGATTTAAAAGTTATTCAGGCAACTGGAACGAGATAAAATCCTGGAAACGTAATTATAATTAAAAAACCAAGTTTATTTATTTATATATACATATGTATGAAACTTGACAATAAATTCTCCTTTACACATTTGAAGATATAAAAATTAGTATTTAACATAAGTAATTAATAATTCAGGTAGCAAAGAGATTACATGTCTGCTCTAATATGCTATTTCTTACATATAAAAAATAAGTGATCTAAGAAATATCACAATAAATACATGTTATTTTCTATATATCTTTATAATGTTCCAAATAGTATTTATGCACATTTAAATTTATTTTTATAGTACTGTAGCTGTCAACACTAAATGTAGTGGGAACACGTCCAGTTTTGTAGAGATTAAAGTGTACAAAGAAAAAACCCTTAAATATATATATATATATATATATATATATATATATATATATATATGTATACAAAATATTTGTGCACAATGGCATTAACAATACTGTAGATACACAGTTTTTCATTATAATACAATATAGGATATACCATAGTTCATTCTAGAAATTATGTATTCATGTTTTCTTTTCAAAACCCTTCGATGGCTAGGTTCTTTCATGAGATGGGCTGGAAAATCAAACACAGATGGAACTGCCACCTTTTTTAGTACCTTATTTCCATGAACACTAACTTCATAATCCTCTGGAGTGAAATGCTTTTCACAAATTACCGTTGTTGTACTGGGAGTAAAGTTTTCTCTTCTTATAGCATGTACCCACAAATTCCTCATGTTAGGATCTGTAGGTATCCTAAAAATCCAGATATTTTCTCGAATTACCAATTAACAGGTAATTCTCACACAAAAATGAGTTTCTCATTCTAGCCGCAATGAATTCGCGTTACGCCTGTTCCATCAGTGTTAACAGTTCATTGGGCGTCACACGACTGTGTTTACATCACTTTATCTTGGGGTTAGATTGGGTTAGATATACATAGTACGTTTCAGATATATCTTGGTCTATCTGGCAACATCGTGTCGCGAAATGCGCATACAAGTTGCGCGTCCATCGACCTTTTTTGACATTGAACCGTTCAAAATACTGGAGAAAATTCAGTCATATTTTGTCAACAGAAGATTTCCATCTCAGTTTCCCTGCCTTCTCTACAAGTAATCCATCGGAGCACTTCAATATTGAACAAGGTAAACAAAAAATAATCTCATGAACTTTTTTCATTGAGTTATAACCTTTCATTATCTCTTTATCAAACATTTTCTGAATGGCTCTGTGATGTTTTCCAAAAATCATAGTCGGCTCTGGAAATTTTGATTTTCCCACGATAGCATTTGTCAATTCGTGTTAATGTTCTAGGTAAAGAAGGCATCATGGATCTGACGTCAGTTGTAGTCCCTACTACTCCCTTTGAAGGGCAAAAACCAGGCACCAGTGGTCTCAGGAAGAAGGTTAAAGTGTTTATGGAGAAAAACTACACTGAAAACTTTATTCAATGCATTCTGAACGCACTTGGGAGTAAAGTAAAGGGTTGTACACTTGTAGTCGGTGGAGATGGAAGGTACTTCACAAAACAGGCTATCAACATCATCATTCGGATTGCTGCTGCCAATGGAGTAAGTGATAATTTTATTCGAATCTTAGTAATGCTGGACCTCAAAATAATCATACTGAAAAGTTACTCAACATGTAGTTACCATGGAGGGTTTTTACAAAAATTGTTTTTGTGCCTTTTGCTCTTTTTCATATAAAATATTTGATTTTCTTTATAAATGCTTTAAAATAGTTGATAATAATATAAAGTGGAGATGTGATAATCTATTCCATGTGAGTGGTAATTATTAATTACATAATTTCCTAATTGACAATTAAATGTCTGCTAATGTCTTTTATGTTTTGCTCTTTTAGTAAAGAGAGTGGGTCAATAGTATTATTGCCAATAAAGGAGGTGGATGGAGCAACCAATTTTAAAATACTGCTTTGATATGTGGTTGCATAATGACTTTTTAATATTATATACTTTCTGATATAATATGCAAAAAATCTTGATAAGATTTTGTTTAAGACAAGGTCTCCATCTCATGGAGAAGGGCTCAAGTAGCACTGAAGGATAATTTCAGTACAATATTAAAAATAAAAATATTTTTTAATTTGATACTGTCTAGACAGTAGGTATAACCCCAGATTTGAGTAGAACCCCATTAAATGTGTGCTAAGAAAGTTGCAACCTTGTAGCTTTTGCTATTCATCCATATCAGAATAAGTTTGATCCTGTTTAATGAACATTAAGAGATACAAAAGTGTGATATTTGATGTATGCAATTGCTTCATTTGTTAGAAGAACAAAAGACACTTCTAGAAGCTACCATTGTCTACTTCAAAACAAAATATGAACTCTCAAGTTAATTATAAGATTATGGAACATTGATAACTATGTTTATTATTATTGCACTAATTTGTGCATTAGTATTCAATACTCATAGTTGTCATTGAAAATTTACATTTTCATTGAATACTATTACATCTTTATGCGTTTTTGACTGAGTCAGTGTTCAATTTCAGCTATCAGTATAAACAGAATACATAATGTAGTTCAAAATTTGTAGAACACGTTTTTTAACGTTTGCTCCTATACTGCTTCAATTCAGTTATTCTAGACTGTTATCAACTGAAATTCTTCAATCATGATTATAGTTCTAGAGTGTGTTTATTAAGCGTACATGTTGTGGCTTTATGATGAATTAATGCTGTTAATTCTTGATAACACTGCGTCATATTTGTAAACAAATTAAGAGGTCTGTAAAAATTATTATGGAATATTTATTATACTGCACAGATTTGTATGGATTAGCAAAAACATGTAAAATGAAAATTTTATGGAGTTATATATGTACTGAGTACTGGTTAGATCCCATTACTGGGTGCCATTCCCAAATAATCACCAGCCCCTGACATTTTTTAAACATTTTCTGGTACACTTGTCAATAATGTCTGTCAGAAGAGCATCACATTTGTATGACAGTATAGAAATTTATATGCTCAACCTCTTAAACTTCAATTTTTGTTGAAGGCAATGCCAGGTCGTATGCTGTTAAAAGTTACCTCTTGCCGATAATCGGCCGTCCTGAGAAAAATGTCTGCGGGCGCCAAAGGCCTAATTTCAGTATTTCATATTTTGCATAACAGATGTCCAAATCTCCATTAAAAAAATACACGTCTGTAATGAAATGTTTTTTTTTTTAAATGTTACAGTTTCTTAATTTTATATGGACAAACCTATAAACATAAATGAGACCACATCATTCATAAAATACTTGTCATCTATACAGCTTTTGTGGTAAAATCCAAGTGATGTGGTTTATGATTAGCAATAAAGTTATAAAACAATTCACATGTAATTAATACGTTTTTCTTTCTAGGTTGCTAAACTAATAATTGGACATCTAGGGATCTTCTCTACACCAGCTGTATCAAGTCTTATAAGAACCCATAAAGTGTTAGGTTTGTAAATTCAAATTCATTGCCGAGATTATAGACAAATGCTGTGACCTCTGATAAGAATATCTTGATTGAGATTCTTTTGGCCTCAAACTGGAAAAGAATTCTGATAGTGGATTTTTACTTTTTTGTTTATACACATAATTTTGCAAGGCATTAGCTAGAAATGCGAAGATTATTAGTAGGTGGAAAAATTCAGATTTATTTAAAACCGATAGTAACATGTTCCTTATATTGAACAGATATTTTTGATGTAATTCACTAAACAAAATCAGTTTTGGAATTGTTCTTTGTCCTTATTCTTATCTCTGCTAAAATAATATTTGCGGAAATATTTGATTATATAAGGATCCAATATTAGCTTTTTACTATCTCATACACTTCCTAAGATTTAGAAATTGGGAACTTTTGAAATTTATATATTGTTAATGACTAAAGTATAACTAAAAAGCTTGCTGAGTAAATATGTTAATTCGCAACTATTTTTGATTTTATTAAAATATAACTATCTGCGATTTTATACTATATATATACCGAGTGTTTCAAATTCGACCCTCACCACTGGGATCTCGGAAACGGTAAGAAATACGAAGTCGCCTAAATGGGGCAAATTTGCGTATTTAGGGTACTAACAAAATGCCGTGCAGAAAGTTTCGAGATTCAAAGTACTTCCGAAGAGAGACGGAAAAGAACGGATGTTCCCAAAATCATTTTCATTTTTTCCTGACTTTATTTGTAGTGGAATTTCATCTAAATTGCACATTAACATTGCCACTTTTTCTCCTCTACAAGATGGCATAATTAGAATTTCAATATGACGTTTTGCAGAGGTGAATAGAGCTTTTAATTCTGATTCCAAAAATATTATACATTGACATTATCAAACCTTAATTGAAAAATAAAGCTGATGCTGGAGACCAACAGACGAAACGTCATATTGAAATTTTAACTATCTCATCTCGTAGAGGTGTTTTCCGTCTCTTTTTAGAAGTACTTTGAATTTTGAAACTTTCTAAGCGGTATCTCTTACCTTTTCCGACATCCTAATGGTGAGGGTTGAATTTGAAACACCCAGTATCTAGGGCGAGTTTTTGATGTGGGTTCAGTCGATAACTCCGTTATTATGTATCTTATCTAAAAAAGTTATTTACAAAAATTATAGCCATTACCATGCTCCGTACCTGGAAAATATTTATATTCCTAAATGATGATTCATAACTACTTGGGACAGCCCTACATCTTATTGCTCATTTGGATATACCCTTTCGAACAAAACAATTTGATATTACACACTACACTGTTTTGTTTTAAAATTGTCGAGATATTGGACAATCTATCGAAAAAACACCCAACTTTGACAACTTGCACTTCCTTTCATGATTCCATATTTTCTACCTATTCTTACTTTTCTAGTTTTTTGGTAGTCTATAGAGGATGGCCAAGAAGGCACCCTGTATATTTTCACTCTCTTTGATTTATCTTTTCATAAGTTTTTTTTATATAAGGCTAATGATGTTTCTATGCCTGGCTTATGATTTACAGCTAACCCTTTTCTAAATCAGATGTCAAGTTAAATGAAAAGTATTAAAATACATTTCAAAATAAAAAAATAGTATATAGTTTGTGACAACGTTAAAATTGGTGAATTTTAATATATAAATCAAATCTACCCACCTTATGCAATAAATCCGAAAAATCAAAATAACTAAAAAATCAGTCGTACAAATCCCCATAAACCTTATATAGTCTAATCATATTAGATGAAAATACCCCCGGTCTGCGAAATAATTTTGTAAAGTCTGGTTTTATTGCTGCAAGTTCAAGGGGTTATTCAAAACATGGACGCATAAAATAGGTACACCAATTTTTGTGGGAAAACTTTTTATTCATCAACAAAGAATGAGAAAACGTGTTTTTTGGGATTCAATGGAAAATGTTGAACGAAAAAACTCTTTATTAAAGATTTTTAGGTATTTATGAGACCTACAAAATGAGACCACACGTAAAAAGATGCGACAAATAGCAAAAAAGTGATGGCCGAAAACCGAGGCATACTGCAGGTTTTGGCATTTGGTAAAGCGACGATGGTTTCTCGCAGATATTTTAAATTCTTCAAATTCGTGGGATTCGTACTTCTAAATAACCACACCAAAATTGGAGTAGCTTGGTCAACTAGTTTTTGAGAATTTCTAATTGTTTATCCCAAAACACCTGTTTTCCTGCCATCACTACTAGTTCATTAAGGGTGAGATAGAATGGCATTTTATAGCAAAATACACTAGTTTACCTTGCCGATATGAATCTCAAACCATTCCGGAAGATGAATGCTATTTATATGCAAGGTAAATGCGTGTATTTTGCTATTAAATGCTCTTTGAACGAACCCCGTATAATGCTCAATAAATTAATAGTGATGGCCGGAAAACAGGTGTTGTGGGTTAAACAATTAATTTCAACTAGTTGCGTGAAATTATCGTCGCATTACCAACAAGTGTCAAAACCTGCATTTTGCCTCGTTTTCCGGCCATAACATTTTCGCTATTAGTCGGATCTTTTGACGTTTGGTCTCATGAATACCTAAAAATCTTATTAGAAAAGTTTTTTCGTTCCTGTCAACACTTTCGATTGAATCCCAAAAAACACGTTTTCTCATTATTTGTTTTCGAATAAGTTTTCCCGCAAAAATTGGGGTACCCATTTTATGTGTCCATGTTTTAAATACCCCATGAACAACTTGCACCAATAAAACCAGACTTTACAATTATTTCGGAGAAATTTGCTAATCTGATTAGACTAATATCAGAAAACAGCTTGTGAAAACAGGAATTGAATTAAAAATACACAGGGTGTTCTATTTGAAAATGTTGATGTAAACAGTCTATTTTGAGTTCTTGACCACCCTGCATGAACGATTCAAGAATCTGAATAAGTAGGTATATAGGGAGAAAATATGGGATCATAAAATTTTTCTGGCGAAGAATTAACTACCATAACTATAACAGTTGCAAATTGCGAATTGTCAAATTTGAGTGTTATTTCGATGCACAATATCTCAACAAATTTGAAAACAAAGCCCCATAGTATGTCAAATCAAATTGAAAAAATGAAACCAGTGGCGTTCAGAGAAAATGTTAAATGAATATATAAGCTTCTACGCTACTGATTGAGGATAAGACACGCGTATTATACAACTACTCATAAGAATATTTTAGGATTTTAACTCAAATATTCAAACGTAAATATCTCCAATACGAGTGATCTGACGAAAATTCCTTAAGTGACAAAATTTATGGACAATTGAATAGTATCTTATAAAATGCACTTCTTTTCTCCGAAAAGGCCAGTGGCGTAGAAAATACTTCCTACTAGGTATCCAGGTACCCCAGTTTCTGAGTCCCTGGTTTAGTTTGGGCCGAAACTATGTGTGCTTATTGCTTATGATGTGCTCACTGAACCTCTGAGATCTTTACTCAGTATCTTTACCCGCTCCGTAGATGTATTTTTTTTTAATTTCATAAATAAAACTTCATCACCCTGTATCTCTGTAGGACCCATATTTCTAGAATTTTTTTTCTTATTTTTATGGTGTACTTTCTACCGTATAAATATTGGCATATCTCTCTCAAACACGCTGTATATAAATTCCTGAGTAATCTTGATTTCCTCAATATGTTTTATAACCAGGACAAAATGAAAGTGTACCTTGCATACATTAAATATAGATCAAACCTAACTCCGGGGGGGTATTTTAACAAATCGCAAGTGGTATCCACACGATGACCAAAAAATGAATATCTGATGTCATTATCTAAAGCTACTACAGCTACTTTTTCGTTTTGTTGAATATTCAGGCGGTATCGTACTTACGGCATCGCACAACCCGGGTGGTATTAGGAATGACTTTGGCATCAAATACAACATTGAAAACGGAGGTCCAGCACCTGATAGTGTCACAGACGCCATCTATGAGGAGACCAAGAAGATCAAAGAATATTATTTCACACCTAAGCTGGAAACTGACAGACTCATCGATAATACGGGCACTCATACATACAAGGTATTCAAATGACCTTGATCCTGCAAACACTACACCGTTTTACCACTCGCCTGTTTGATTTTTTAATACCCGACACCAGTTTGGCTAATCATGTTAGCACATTCAGAATAGGTTAGAAACGGTCGGTGACTTAGAGAGTCGTAAAACTGTCTGGTGTTTGGAGTGACTGCACCAAAAGATATACATGGTACCAAGATAAGGATCATATGCATGGGGTATTGAGATATATGTGGGAGATGCAGCTTAGGTTAAATTAAGAAAAAGTGACGTTCTTCGGGGCGAATTTACATGCCGTTGAGAAACTTTCATGGCTTACTGAGATATTTGGGAAAAACTAAATTTTGACTAAATCATTTTGATTTTTTTTACTTTATTTTAAGAAATATCAAAGAACTAATAAAACTTTTCCATTGGCACCTTTTAGGCACTACATGATGGTGTTTTTGAATTTTGTGCCCGACGGTCCGTTTTTGAGAAACCATCAACTTTGTATCTGTTACATTTTTTCTCGGTTATAAGGAGAAATGGTTTTTTTTTTGTCATGTAGGCGTTTCAAATAATTGCTTGAGGTGACTTAAATACCTGTCACAGTATTGTTATTATTAGTCTAATAATATTAGACGCAAAAGACAATATGATCAGCTTTTTTGTTATAGAAGCAGTCTCCAGGAACTTATAGCTCATATGTGTCATAAAATCATATTAGACGAAAATACCCCTGGTTTGCGAAATAATTGTAAAGTCTGGTTTTATTGCTACAAGTTGTTCAAGGGGGTATTCAAAACATGCATGCATAAAATGGGTACATAAAGTTTTGTTGGAAAACTTTTTATTATTCAACAAAGAATGAGAAAACGTGGAATTCAATCGAAAGTGTTGGCAGCAACTAAAAAACTCTTCATATAAGATTTTTAAGTATTCATGAGACCTGCAAAATGAGACTACATGTAGAAAGTTGCGACTAATAGCAAACCGAGGCAAACTGCAGGTTTTGGAACTCGTTGGTAATGCGACGATGGTTACTCGCAGATATTTGAAATTCTTGAAATTCGTAGGATTCGTACTTCTAAATAACCGCAACAAAATTGGAGTAGATTAGTCAAGTAGTTATTGAGAATTTCTTATTGTTTATCCCAAAACACCTGTCTTTGGGCCATCTCTACTAGTTTATTGAGCATATACAGGGTTAGTTCAAAGGGCATTTTATAGCAAAATACAATAGTTTACCTTGCCGATATGAATCGCAAACCATTCCGGAAGATAAATATTATTTATATGCAAAAAAGGATGGGTTACGTTTTTACTTCTAAACAAATTCAAACATTTCGTATTTGTGAGTAATTCGCAACAATATCCGTTTTGTTTTAAAATGTTTATAGTATCGTATGTTTTTGAATATCGTGGCGCATTTTTTCAATTACTCACAGATACGAAATGTTTGAATTTGTTTAGAAGAAAAAAACGTAACCTTTGTTTTTCGCATAAAAATAACATTTATCTTTCGGAGTGGTTTGTTGAAAAGGTTCCATTAGTTTTTTGATATGTCTTAAAATAAGGTCATAAAAAAAACTGTTTGGTCAAATTTGCCAAATACGAAGCTATGCATTTTTTACAAGTCTCTCAACCGCATGTAAATACGCCCCAATATATATGTTTCCTAATTTAACCTAAGCTGTATCTCCCAAAAGTATTGAGATCACCATGCAAAGGATCCTTATCTTGGACACGCTATAACATTTTTTTGTTTTGTAGGTTGATGGTCGAGACTTTGTCGTAGAGATCATTGATCCCACAATAGATTATGTAAACCTAATGAAAGAGATATTCGATTTCCAAAAACTGAGGGACCTCATCCGCGGTACTGACGAAAGACCGCCATTCAACGTACTCATAGATTCTATGAATGGGGGTAAGTTAATACTTTTTTGCGTATTTTTATGTTGTCGCAAGATCCTAAACGCTTCTTTGCGCAAGCGGGTTTCCACTTGTATCACCAGAAACCAAAAGTCACCCAACCCAATTGGAATCCATGCCCGCGCCAAAATAATCATATCTCCGCTCCCCTTGCGTAATTCACATTTTCGTTAAATTGAGGTGGCTCACCCATCTGACAAAAGGGCGTATCTCTGATCCCACTACAAATCGGCTATTCCAAGAAAAAGTATCTTATTTTCAGCCAGCGAACTTCCTCCTAAAAAGAAATAGAGTATATTTTTACTCCCTTGCCACTAGCGAGGAAGTATTGTAAACATAAAACATATCGAAAATGTGATACGTTTTTTTGGATATTATCTAACATCTACAGTAGCAATCTACAAATATGAATCTTTACCTAAATACCTTTAGAAAACGAATTCATACTTCATTGCTCCATAAACAAATGCGTTATTAGTAGAAAAACTAAATTCCTTGTTTTTACATTATCTGCAATGAACACAATACACGTCTGAATAAAGTATTGTGCCGCATGGTCCAGAAATTTCTTTCGATGTGAAAACTATGATCATTGAGTTATACAAAGATGCTCAACGTCAAGTCGAGATTGCCAAAAATTTGAAGCTGAAGCGTAAAGCAGTTTGGGCAATATTGAACAAATATAAACAAAAAGGTATCTTGGAAGCCTCTAAGGGCCGGTATTATAAAAGCTGCTCTTGACCGAAGGTTGTTCAACCACCGGTTGAAATTCAACCGCCGGCTGAGAGCTGGTCGGTATTATAAAGCAACTTACAACCATAAGTTGGCTAACCGAGACTTGACGCTCGTTAAGGTCTGTTGGCTACACTGACATTTTGATTTGACCCAATGAAATGCGAGTTATTTGGCGGAAGAAACAAACGTCATTTGCCAGGAATGTCAATTCTCTATTTTCCTCCGCTATTTATCGTTTTATTTGTGAATTAAAGTTATTTAATATGTCTACGAGAAGCAAAAGAATAATATATTCAGAAGCTGATTGTCATACGCTTGTGGATATAATTATTTCTCATAAGAATATTATCGAATGTAAGAAAACAGATGCCACAACTTGGAAAGAGAAGGTAAGTGATTATTTCTATAAATTCTTAGTAAAAAATCTACATGTGGGGTATATTTTAGATAACTGCATGGGCAAAAATAGCAGATATTTATAATGCCACTACTATGGAGCCAAGAACAGCTGAACAGTTACGTTGCAAATACGATAACCTAAAAAAGAAGTGCGCAAGCTCGAAGCTCACAAAAGACAAGCGTTATATCAGACTGGTGGTGGTGTGAGCGAACCTGATATAAAAGGTTCACTTAAATTATTGTATGCTAAAATTAATAGTATAATTAGCTTCTCAGTCCAGGGTTTAGAGCCTAGTAATGGTGATAGCGATTTGGTGATGGATGTAGTAGAGAAGGGACAGCCTAGTATGTACATATATAATAATTTAATATTCTATAATGATTTCAGCATATGCAAAATTATATTTCAGATACATTGCAGCAAGCTTTAGAAGAAGATATTCTATTTGAGAACCTGCCAAAAGAGACAGTTGCTGAACAAAAAAATGGTATACATTGTTTAATAATATACTCCCTATTTATTTATATTTTAGATATTTTTAAGAATAGTGAATCTGAAGTAAAAGAAAACGAAATGCTGACAGAAACAAAGAAAGATCCTGAAATTAAGAAAGGTAGTACAAATCAATAGTCTGTACATTTTCCATTATTATATGAGTATATATATTTCAGACTGGTCAGATTACACTCCTAAAATGTTACGAAGCAAAAGACATAGATATTACAAGGTATTACAAGTGAAGAGAAAGGCAACTGATCACCAAAGTGAAGATGATAAACAAAATTTAAAGAGGAAATTAATGGAGGAGGAAGCCCAAAGAAATAAGGAATATCATATTGCACGTATGGAACGAGAAGCAGAAATCCATAAGTACAAAATAGAAAATATAAGATTGCAAAATGCAAAATTGCAATTGGAGATAGAGTTGCTAAAAAAACAATTATAAAGGAAATAAAAGTTTAGTTATACTGTTAAAAACTTGTATTATTTATTCATATATTTCATTTCTAATTGTCAACATAAATATCTCTATAGAGAACTATGATTTGTGCGCCATAACATATATACTTCAATGAAAAGGACATATACATATAGAACAAAAAGTATAAATAATAAAACAATAATATAATTTTTATTGTGCCTGCTCTAACAAATTTGAAAAATATAAAATAAATTCTTCTCGAAAGTTATGATTTCCATCTCCAACTGGAACATTTTCATGTATGGGTTCATTGCCAATTAGAGTATTAGGATCTACTATTGGATCTGGCTCTTTCATATCGATGGCCAGGTTATGTAATATGGCACAAGCGACAATAATGTTCTTTGCAGTGCCAAGTGAGACCCTTATTCCAAGTGATAAAATAGGAAACCTTCTTTTTAATACTCCAAATAATCGCTCAATTGGGTTCCGACTTCTAATTTGTGCCTCATTAAAAAGTTGTTCACTGTTTGTTCTGGGATTTGCAATTGGAGTAATTAAGTATTTTTTTAAACCATAACCTGAATCTCCAAGCAGAATGGCATTTCCAAATTCATTTTGTTCAAGTCGACCTTGTAATCTGCTGTTAGCAAATATTGTTTGATCGTGGCTTGAGCCTGGCCATCGTGCAACAATATCCCTAATTTTTAGCTCTGAGTCACCTACTACTTGCACATTAAGAGAAAAATAGCCTTTTCTATTTCTAAAATATTCAGCATTTTCCCCTCCTACAAAAATACGAGAGTTACTTATTATTACAAACCTAGTGCAAAAATAATCACCTGGTGAAATTATTTTTATATGAGTGCAATCAATAGCTCCTACAACTCGAGGAAATCGAGCAATTGAATAGAACTTATGTTTAGTTTCTTCTATTTCTTGTTGGGTCCTTGGCATATATATAAATTCTGGAGCCAATGTTGCAATCATTTTAACTATTTTCTTTACAATCTGACCTGCTGTGGACTTATGTATACGTATACCTGCAAAGTCACCAATTGTTTGCAACATGCATCCAGTAGCACAAAATCTCAAGGCAAGAAGTATTTGTTGCATTGATGTTATCGCACAGTTCCTAAAAACAACAAATTTAAAACATACTCGTCATTTCATGCAATTTACATTTTGTATAATTACCGGTTAGTTTTCGGTGCTATCTCATTCCGAAATCTTTGCTCTAGCATTACGACCGTATCCTTGCTTAATCTAAATCTGATTCGAAATTCCTCGTCGCTCCAACGGGTGAAATGATCCATTCTTGCTCTAAAATTGCGAGGTGCCCTGGTTCTAGGTTCTTCACTCTCATCAGAATCCGACGATTCGTTACTACTATCTGCCCAAACTAGTCTGCTATGCAAATTTAATTCAGTTTCTGGTGATGATGACAGATGGAGATGCCATTTTTTGACAAATAATTTTGTAACTTCATAAACATAAACACACTAATCACAATTTCGTTATTTGAGGTTAGAATGCCGCTTTAAACCTTCGGTTGACAGTTCAACCTGAGGATAGGTTCGAGTTGACTGAACGAGCGCTCAACCCGCGGTTCAACCTTCGGTTATCGTTTATAATACGTAAAGTGCGGTTTGAGTCGAGTTTGACATTCAACCTCCGGTCAACTAGACATTATAATACTGGCCCTAAGAGAAGTGGTCGGCCTAGAAAGCTAAAAGCTAGATCAGTTAGATTAATAAAAGTAATTTCGTCCAAAGATCCATTTAAAACCCCAAGACAAATAAAAGCCGAAATCGAGACAAAAGGAATTGTCAGTATTTATACGAAAATTATAAGTAGAAGATTAAATCATTTGGAGTTATTTGCACGTTGCCCGAGTAAGAAGCCGCTAATCTCGAGGAAAAACCCTAAGGACCGATTACAATTTGCACGGTTGCATCTTGATTGGAGCACCTGTGACTGGAAGAGGGTATGTTTCAGTGACGAATCCAAGTTCAATATGTTTGGATCAGATGGTGTTCATTACGTTAGACGTCCTAGTGGACAAAGATTGAACCCCACGTACACTTTGACCACTGTCAAACATGGAGGCGGGTCTGTTATGGTTTGGGGGTGCTTTTCCGGGTTTGGGATGGGACCTTTATATAGAATAGATGGCATTATGGATAATTTTGTATACACAGACATACTAAAGCATGTCATGTTACTCTATATGGAAGACAATATGCCCTTAAGATCAATCTTCCAGCAAGATAATGACCCGAAGCACACTTCAAATCTCGCAAAGATATTCGTTCTAGATGAAAAAATACCAGTTCTCAAATGGCGTTCACAGTCTCCCGACATAAACCCAATTGAAAATCTGTGGGAATACTTAGATAAGCAAATACGAGAAAACATTAGACGATGTCAGGCAGTGATTGACAATAATGGTTATGCCACAAAATATTAACATAAACATGGTTGGTTTTCTATAATTCAATGAACTTTGCTTCTTTTTTCTATAATTGTTTTGCTTTGTCTATATATTTTTGTTCTTCATAGTTACAGTTTTTTTCAATCAGTTTTTTATTGAAGGGAGTCTAATAATTTGTTTATGTATAAGTGAGTATTATGCTATAACGAATTATGTATATACAGGTTGGTGTATTAATAAAACAAGTTCTAAAATATTAATTTCTCTATATACTTTTGTCCATTACTGTACATCACAAAAACTATGTCTCTTATTTACGTCAAAAAAAGGAAAATAAATCGACCAAACTTCGGTTCTTTGACGTTTCAGAGGCTCCTGATCATTGTCAGAAAAAGTTTTGTAAGGGCTAAAAATTAGAGGTTGAGTGTTGTAGGGGGTGCGGTAGGGTACATCTCAATGTCTTGGCGTGATTAGTATAATCCGCTTCCAGCCCCGGTAATTCCATGGACTAATTGTATGGGCATGTTTGGCTGACTTCATCCGTTTAATTTCTCTGTTATATATTTACGTAACTAATTTTTTTCTCTTGTACCGAATTTAATCATTTATTGATTGATGACAGCGTTGCACTAGAACCTATTTGACTCCATTTTTAAGGAAACATAAAAAAGGGGCTATGAATGAGCACACTACAGTTTTATGGCAAAACCTAAACAATTCTTATTACTTATAAGATAATTACTGCAATTCTACTCGGCAACGTGGCTGTAACGGTAAACATTCAAATGCGGTATAGGGTTGGGCATCTCTTGGAGAATACGTTAATCAATGGTCATTTTTCTTATTTTTTTCGAGGACTCCTCCAGCCTGTATGCAACCTGATGATTGTGTATTGATCGTGACTCTACTTCCTTAAAAACGTGAAAAATTAAAACAACCTTTTTTTAATGCAATTTAGGTTTTTCGGTCTGTTGAGCCGTGGTCGTGTTGGATTTGGTCCAGACCTTTAGGCTACATCTGCGGTAGCCATCTTCAGTGGCGCTGTTGGCGAGAGCGAAGTGCTCTGCTTGGCGGGTCGACTGAAGATGGGTACCGCAGATGTAGCCGAAAGCTCTGGACCAAATCCAACACGACCACGGCTCAACAGCCCGAAAAACCTAAATTACATTAGAATTAGCCGTGAAGTGAAAGCCTTCATTCTTCAATATTTTTTTAGTTACTGGAGTGTATGTCAGGAAAATATTCGTAGAAGAGCTTGGAGCCCATCCAGACAATCACGTCACCAGAATCGTTCCTTTAGATAACTTTGGAGAGATCCATCCTGACCCCAACCTAACATATGCCAAGGACTTGGTTGATACAGTCAAATCAAATCCTACATATGATTTTGGTGCTGCTTTTGATGGTGATGGAGTAAGTACTTGATATATAGGACATCAGAAAAACAAAAGATATTTTTAAACCTTAGAATCTGGCCAAGTGTTGAATTTTAGTCAAGGCTATCTAAGAGTAGTATTCTTTGCTGACGACTGTAAAATTTGTATATATTTTAGGACAGAAACATGATAATAGGTAAAAACGCATTTTTTGTAACGCCAAGTGACAGTTTGGCTGCCCTAGCCAACAACCTTGATTGTATTCCATATTTCAAAAAGCACGGAGTCCATGGATTCGCTAGGTCCATGCCCACGGCAGCTGCAGTTGACAGGTAAATACCAGATGGTTTTTCAGATTCAAATTTCAACGTCAAATCATAGTTGTCCACGGAAGTGATTAAATTAAAATTGAGATCTAAGGCCAAAAGATGACAAATCTTCGAGAAATTACATATTCAAAATTAATGTTAAAATCGTACAAGTACAGGGTGGACGATATGTAACTGTTTGTATCTTGAATATTTGTGAAATGAAATAAAATACGTGCATATTTTTTACCTTAACCTTTTATTGAAACTTAGAAATTATGTATGAAAAATAATATCAGACAAATGTCCGCCTCTAGAAGCTGTGCAAATCTGAGCCCTCTTGATTACATTTCCCATCACTTTTTGGTAGGTTTCGGGAGGAATATTTTGAATCGCTTCCGTAATATTGTTCTTCAGCTGCTCTACAGTATTTGGTTTGTTGACATAAACCCTATTTTTCAAAAATCCCCATAAAAAAACTCAGGAGCCGTTAAATCTGGTGATCTTGGTGGCCAGTTGACATCACCAAATCGACGAGGATGTAGTGGTCGTTGATGGATGACACGAGGGTTCTCTAATGCCCAGATACGACAATTCTGCTCTGTTCGTATCGAAGTGGGCTTCATCGCTCATTATCAGTTGTCGGTAAAATCGTTATTTTATGTACTAAGCTGCAATATTGCATGACTGTATTGTCGGCGGCTTTCATGGTCACTAAGCTGTAGTTCTTGGATTAACTGAATTTTGTATGGCCGCAAATGCAATTCTTTTTTTAAAATAGTGCATAATGACGTGTGACGAATACCCAGTCCTGAGAACGATGTCTGGTAGACGTCTCTCTACGCTCCACTGCACTTTCACGAACTCTCGATATTTCCGGAGTACGAACAGTTCGACCACGGCCCGACCTTGGCAAGTCTTGAACTTCACGTGTTTGTTCAAATTTCCGCAGCAACTGACGAATGGTGCTGGGCACATAATTTCAACCAAAATATTGTCGTAGCTTCCGAATCATCGCAACAATTGACTTTTTATTTAAGTAAAACATTTTAACAATAAGGACACGTTGTTGGATCATGTAGCGCTCCATGGTGAATTGGACACATGTGCTTTAAACAATTATTACAGGGCCACCTACTGAAATGAGTGCAACAAAAATGGCGCGCAATTTAAATCAGTCAGTTACATATTGGCTTCAACAGATACTTGATAGTTGCTTTCTTGACAGCTAACACATTGGGTGCTCTTTTAATCTTGTCGGGTTCCATGTTACATGCTTTTATTGGCACGTACAGTGGCAACTTCTTGGAATATGGGAAGCATTGAGAGGATAACGATTTGCTCTATTTCAGGGTAGCTACAAAGCTAGAAAAGGAAATGTTTGAAGTTCCTACCGGCTGGAAGTATTTTGGTAATTTGATGGATGCTGGCAGATTGTCACTTTGTGGTGAGGAGAGTTTTGGGTAAGCTGTTCAATGTTGATGTTTCACATAAGCTGTTTTGGTTATATTTATTTTCAGTACTGGATCTGATCACATACGTGAAAAGGACGGTATCTGGGCTGTTCTAGCATGGTTGTCTGTCATAGAGCACAAAAATATGAGTGTGGAACAGATTCTGAAAGAACACTGGAGTATATATGGAAGAAATTATTTCACACGGTGGGTAACACTAAAATGTAATTTATCTTGAATTCATTTAAACCATCGTTTTTTGACTGAAAGAAGAAACATCATGTAACATCTGAAATTCAAACGTATCCTGTGGTTTTCATGTCGATAATCTCTCATATGTCTCTGGCCAATCAAAACTGCATGTGTTGAAAAAATCTTTATTTCAAACATTGCGGTCACAACGTTTACAATAAAGGTTTTTTCAACACGTGTTTCGATTGGGCAGAGAAATATGGGGGATTAAGAAACATCATGATATATTTTCTTTACAGATACGATTATGAAGAATGTGATAGTGACGCTGCAAATCAGATGATGGCCCATTTAGAAAAATTGATCGCCAGCAACGACTTTGTCAGCAAAACATATACTGCATCCAAAAAATCATATACTATCCAGAAAGCGGATAACTTCTCTTATGTAGATCCTATTGATATGAGCGTGGCGAAAAACCAGGTAAGCACACATTATCATGGTATGCCAAACATTTGGAAGTTGTTTCTAGTATGGATCTTAAACTATAATATACTTGAAGTGTTATTTCTCGGACTTCCATTGTCTGTTGTTTGATTCACGACCTTTCGATTGATGTGATCTCCAATCGTCATCAGTTGAACATGCTCCTTGACTATTTATACCGTTTGATGACGTGGTCGGTAGTTGGTTGTGACGTGTCCCTCGTTCCGGTTGGTTGGGTTGCAGTTGTTTGATGTTTCTTACCATTTGTTTCCAGATTGGTTTAATTTTCACACTTGGATTACTGTAAACGTTTTCATTTGAACACTTCGTCGAGATTGAGGTAGCTCTACAAGTATTGCAGACGAAGCTTAGAGAAGACTAGGAATGGAAAGAGAAGATAAGCCTACCGGTGGAAGGGATAATAGAACTACTCACGTTCTGCCTAAGAAACAATTATTTTCAAATAAACGAAGAGTTGTAAAGGGTTTTCCATTAAGGACTTGGACTACTTTCTTTTTAAATAAAATATCTCGAAAATTTTATTATTGGATTGAAGTATACTCGATGGAATTCGACCTCGTTCATATATCCACCACGGGCACGTTCGTAGCGATTGATTCGTTGAACCCAATGTTCAATAACTCGGCCACACGCCGGCTTGTTGGCATAGACCAATGATTTAATGTAACCCCACAAAAAAGGTCTAGAGGTGTTGAATCTCACGATCTAGGTGGCAATTCGACAGGACCGTGGCCATTCAGATTCTGTTTGTTGACGAAGCCATTTAGACAAAAATCCGCCTCATCACTGAAGATGATTTTGCGATTAAATTGGTCATTTTCTTGCAACATTTCTAGAGCCCAATTCGACAACGTACGTCGGTTCATATGATCTAACAGCTTTAGTTCTCGAGTTAACATGATCTTATAAGGGTGCAAGCCACGAAATCTTCGCAAAATTCACCATAGTATCGTCTGAGCGATGCCCAATTCTTGAGAACGCAGAGGAATCGACGTGTTCTGTTCGTTTGCAACGGAAGCTTGAACGGCAGCAATATTCTTGGCACTTCGACCAACCCTTTGTCTCACTGACACGGGAACATCCAGCAGCGAATATGTGGACTCAAATTTGTTTACTATACCTTGAAATGCTTGTCTACTGGGACGAGAATTACTACCAAAAATTAGCGTTAACTCAAATTTACAGTCACCGACTCGGAATTTAGGTAGTAAATTTTAAATATTTGTAAGCGGTGTTCGTGTGATGAAAATGTTTCTTTACTGAATGTTTTGACATTAACAGTTCGTTAATTGATTTAAAGATGCGTTCACTGTGAAAGTTTAAAGTTGTCAAGTCTCTATTGGAAAACCGGATACATCCAAGAGGAAGGTCTAGCAATAGCAGTAGTGATCAAGTTATATATGGAGTGTCTTGAGTCAATTGCCATTAAAAACTTCGACATTAAGCAGAAGAATTGGCTGCGCTATATAGATGACACTTTCGTAATCTGTAACAATGGTGAACAGAAACTAAAAGCCTACTTCCAACAACTAAACAATCTAATACATTCGAAAAAGTTTACAAGGGAAGAAGATAACAAGAACAGCCGCGCCCATTCTTGGACGTAATGGTACAAAGAACAATTCCATGATAGAAACTAATGTATACAGGGAACCAACACATATAGGACAATACTTAAATTTCTGTTCCAGTCATCGAGCAACCACGAAGAAAGACGTAAGGAAGGAATAAGTGATGTAATCAGAACAATTGAAAGACGATTCCGAACCAAAACTAGACTTTCAAGGAACCACACTTCGCAGTATGCTCACAAAGACAAATCCTATGGACAAAAAGCGAAACTCCGAGAATTGTGTTTACGAGGTGCCATGTGAATGCGGAGAGATATGCATAGGAGAAACAAAAAGACCACGCTTAGTAAGAATGAAGAGCATAAATTCAATACGGAACGGGGAGAAACGAATAAATCTCGGATAGCAGATCACGCTTGGACAAAGCACCACATAATACTTTAGGGTCACGCTAAAATCTTACACAAAGAAACACATAATAATGAATGAAAAAAATGTTTACAGTCCAAGTGAGGAAATTAAACCAATATGGTAACCGATGGTAAGAATCAACAAACAACTTAAACTCAATCAACCGGAATGAGCGACACGTCACAACCAACTACGGGAAGCCTGATCAAATGGTATAAACAGTCCAAAAAGGAACATGTTCGCCAGTTCACCTGATCAACACATCAATCGAAACATTGTGAATCAAAAAACTTTGAAGACAGAGAAAACACATCTGGATCATCCACATTGTCAAAAAATTTCAAACAGCTATGATATACTCTCAAAACTTTTGTGCATTTGAGAGCTGATCATTTGAGCTATGTCATACAGGTATATATCTTCTTTTTCTTTCAGGGTATAAGGATACTATTCTCAGATGGTTCCAGGTTGATTTACAGACTTTCAGGAACAGGTAGCAGTGGTGCCACTATTAGGGTATACATTGACAGCTACGAAAAGGAGAATGTTCTGTCTGATGCGCAGGTATAAAATTCAACAACACCCGTAATTTGATAACTTCAATAAAACTTCTAATAATTGTCGTCAACCGGTCTCACTCCACTCTGAACCTACCTTATAAAATGTGTGTTACATTGTGTCCTGAAACTTGTTGAGTGTCAAGTCTGTAGTTTCTAGAATACCAAAAAACTTGCGGCGTTCCATACCCAACACTTTTAATACACTCTGTTTCAGGTTATGTTGAAGCCACTGGTGGATATTGGATTGGAGATATCCCAACTGAAGAAATTTACTGGCAGAGACGCCCCAACGGTCATCACATAAAAACTTTTTATAAAATTGTGGGAATGTAATCACCATAAACATATAGCAGCACAGCAAGAATTTTATATTGATTTTTACAATGTTCATGCGTTGCCACATTTATTTTTAATATATTTTGTTATTCCTCTATCAGTAATATATTTTGATGTTTTAGATGCGTTTCTCGTTTATTTAATCAATGCCTATTATGCAAAATATGAAGTTAAAAAAGTAATATGGGGCTGTATGTGCCTAATACTTGAGTCCATAATGGGCCGGTTCTGGAACTTCATCTGGTGATATATGCCAGAAAATAGTTTTTTTTTCTACAATTTTAGCGACAGGAAATTTTTGGTGGTACAGTTAGTTTTATATTGATAAATTCAAATTGGTATGATGATAGGGCTGGAATATTTATCGCTATTTTAAAAATTGGTAACAATTTTGTAGGGAATCAATTCTTTATCATTTTGCATAAAAATGTGTCATATAGACAAGTTACGAGTGGCATGCATGCTTGAAGCGTACGCGCTTGGCACGTTGTACAAGAAATGTGACAACGTTTTTGGAGCGCACATGCCAAAACCGTACGTCTAAACACAAACCCCAGTTTTGGAGTGGCGCGTTGGATTTCAAACTGGTTGATGACTCCAGCGCGACGCGCCATTTTCAACATATTTAAGAAGAAAGTCAAGAGACCAGACGCTAGCCTGTGCTACAATATACGTATATTTTATCACGGAAACCCAATCAAAAGAAGGTTTTGGATGCAAAAGTAGCGCGAAGATAAAACGTTTTCTTTGGAAAATTGCACTAATTCTTGATAAGCAGTGTTTTTTGGGTTTTTGTTTTTATAGTCTCCACTTTGTACCTTCCATAACCAAGGATGGTCCCTATACAGGGTGTTCATTTGAAAACTTCCCACCAGGGATTTATCGAAAATAACCGATTAAAAGAAAAAACGCCGTGATACGTCAAAAGATTTTTCAAGGGGGATAACTTTTTAACCAAAAACTACTTCATACTCTGCCCCCCTGGGCCATCCTCTTGAAAATTTTAAATGACAAGGGGTATCGAGAAATAGCTTGTTTGAAAGGTTTTTCGAAGTTCTTTATTTTGACGTTCGATTTTCTGAAATCGGTCGATTCGTTTTCAAGAAAATTACTTAAATCTCTATGTATCTTAATTTGTTGATAGAAAACAAAAACACACGAAAATATGACTTTGTATTTCAATGAGTGTTCAAAATGTTCCCCTGTATTGACCAAACCATGATATAGGCGATGTTCAAACTCCTGTCGGACATTTTCTAAAACATGTTGGGGGATATCATGGCAGCTTTCGATGATGCGTTGACGAAGTTCATCCAAACTTTCAGGTTGGGGAGTAGATACGATATCAAATGGCCCCCATAGAAAAAAGTCTAATGGCGTCAAATCAGGCCATTCTCTTCGCTCTATCCATTTATCTGTAAACTCGTCGTCTAGCCATTGCTGAATCGGAAGAACATAGTAAGAAGTGCTGAAAATATATATTAAAGCCTCATCAAGTATACTCTTTTCGATTTAGTTTTCAATGGTTTCAGTGATAAGCGAATTGGTAGTATTTTCCAACATATCCAGATAAATGTCTCCATTCAAATTTCCATTAATAAACAATGGCCCAATCACTTTATTTCCTAAAATGCCTGCCCATACATTAATTTTTTGGGGGTACTGGGTATGGCCCTCTACAAAAGCATGAGGATTTTCATTGTTCCAATACCTGCAGTTATGTTTATTAAATCCATTTAGATAAAATATGCATTCATCACTGAAGCAGATATTCTTTACATGAATGGTATTTTCATTAATCGCTGTAATTTGTCCACAAAATTCAACTTACCTATCGAAATCGTCTTCGGTTAACTCTGGCAATATTTTCATTTTGAATGGATGAAATTTATGGAGGTTAGTCACAGAGCCTAATGAAATACCAGTCGCACCAACAATTTTGCGTAATGAAGTATTTGGATTTATTCCAAAATGACCCAAAACTTCGACTTGAGCGGCTTCATCCAAAACTATCCGATGATCAAGTTTTTTATTTGCAACAGATCCAGTTTGAGTAAATTTAGTAACAAGGTCCAAAACATACTTGTCTGGCGTTAAACGTGACGGCAGTTTGCCGAGCACATTGATTTTGGGCACCATAAATTAGAATACTTTCCACTCTTTCGGTTAATGTGTAACTGTAATTTTGGAAGTAAAATCTGAATCAAATTAATTTTCACAAGATTGTCACAAACGTAACTGACAGCAAATTAAATTCTTTTTTTACGTTAGCAACGCAAACTAAACAGGTATAAAAATAAATTCAATTCGCCAAGGTTATCTGTGTTAATGAAAAGAATGCGGAAAAAAACGGGTTATTTGGTTGTGGCCAGCGGTCACATATAATTTTCCAAATTGCTGCTTATGTTGGTACTTTCCGTTTCAAATTACAAACGAATTGTAGATTTGACAAACCCTAACGGGCACCATTTTGAACACTTATTGAAATAAAACGTGATATTTTCGTATGTTTTTGTTTTCTATCTGAACAATTAAGACAAATAAAGATTTTTCTAATTTTCTCGAAAACGAATCGACTGATTTAAAAACATCACACGTCAAAATAAAGGGCTTTGAAAGACCTTTCAAACAAGCTGTTACTCGATACCCCTTGTCATTTAAAATTTTTAAGGGAATGACCTTGGGGGGCCGAGGGTAAAAAGGGAGTGAAGTAGTTTTTGGTTAAAAAGTCCCCATTGGCAAATCTTTTGACGTGTCTCGGCGTGTTTAACCAGTGGTTTTCGATAAATCCGTGGTAGGAAGTTTTCAAATGAACACCCTGTATATCGTATGTGTTGGTGTAATTTTTATTATGTCATTAAACCTACAATAGAGACGAGTAAGTTTTCGTTATTCGGTGTAGTCAACCTTATAGCAGGGGCTAAGGCACCAAACTTCAACACTGTGTATCTCCAACAGAAAGCATTTCTGGGCCTTGGGCCCATTGGAACATCTGATCACCACAACATGAACTATTAGTATTACAATTTTTATCAAAATTCACTGGCGGTCAAATTCCACATGTTTTGTGCCTAGTACTTTCTTGAACCTCCATCAACATCAATAAAATTCCTCATAGCAGAAAATGACTTGCTCTAACTTGTTTGTTCCCAGGAAATGTAACATGGCGAAACTTAATTAAAAAAGAAAAGTTTAATAAAACAAAAGGTTAATTACATATCCTTAGATTACAAGCAGTTATAACAAAATTTACATTCAACTATTGTTTCATATAATTCAAATCTTGTTATATTTGTACTTACAAAAATTTATCAAAGTTCAATGTATGACTTCAAACAAACAAAAAACAACCAAATCGCTATCCTTCCACTGAGCAAATTGTGTTATTTGAATTAAATTACAAAAAAGCTTCACATGCTGAGACTACAGATAGAGTAAAGTGTATCAATGCTTCAAGGTTCCAAGTGGAGGATCTACACAAGAATAATACATAAAAAATATGTAGTTTGTAGTACGAAATAAATGCAGAGAAAATCTTGTGAAAGCTTCAATTTACAGAAGGAATTATATTATCACCCCATGTGACTTCTATATTTGGCCATTTCGTCTGCAAAATAGTCAGCATCGAATTTGATTCACACACAGATTTTATGTCCGATTCCAGAAGTATCGCTGATCCTATGTGAAATTGGACCTAAAATAAAATAGTACTCTTAGGACCCTATAAAGGTTTGTTAAAAAAAAGATTGTAGAACATATGTCCTCAAAAAACTTATCGTCAGGTTTTCGACGATTCGTATTCATATTGTAATTTAAACTCCAAGAGAATGCTAACCATAGACTGTATTTGGAGGATCACTTATAATTTCGATCGCCACAGCCATGTTGCCAAATATAATAATTCAATTAGGAATAATAAAAACAGACATCGTTTTCCATCTCAATAAATAATCCTCCCGTGTAATTATTCCTAAGACCTGAATCTTCAGAATTTTACAACGACGAAAAAAAAAACTATAACCTGCGAAAATAGCCCGAGAAGTGGCAACGCTGACACCTAAAGACGACGGTAGCCGATAAGTACACCGGTGTTTCAAATTCGACTCTCAACATTTTTATCTCGGAAACCGTAAGAAGACATACAAAGTTTCACAATTCCGAGTATTTCCGGAGATCAACAAAAGAAACTGAATTTTCCGAAAATCGTTTCCATTTTGTTACTGGAATTATTTCCTTTGACAGGTGTGATGTGAAATTTAAACCAGTAAAATGTCTAGGAATACTACTCGATACAAGACTACACTGTAAATCCCACATTGATTTACATTTTAGAGTGTCTACATAATTATTTGTTCTTAGGCAGCTTAGCAGATGCCTCAATAACTAAACTTTGCGGGTACTGTACTTCAGTATGTTCTATAGTCATATTATATATGGCACAATGCTCTACGGAGGCTCGGTAGCGTCTAGCAAAATTTTCATATTACAAAAAAACGGCTGCAAGGATAATTACGAAATCACCTCAAAAATCTACAAATATTTTCACTTCCATTAATTTATGTTCTAATATCAACCTCTGCAGAAATACACACCCATGAACTACTTAATGTTAATTACCTAAGGAAGCCAAACTCTCGACTAAAAATAATAGATCTAACGTTGAATTTAATTATATAACGCATTCGTCAAAGCAAAATAAAGAACATGATTTTGAAAATATGTATAATCGCTGTTTCTCAGTTTCTTAAAAAGCATTACTTAACCACTGTTTCTATTCAGTTGATGAGCATGTTGATGCTGTGACGTCACTCAGATAGATAGTAAAATAATTTGTAAGAACGCACAGGACATGGTTTATACATAATGTGGTCGATAAATATTTGAGATTGATTTCAAAATAAAAAGTACATTATGATTAGCACTTTTCTTCCTGTACTATAGCATGATTAAAATTTCAATATATGGCTTTCGATGTCTCATCTCCGTACGCACGCTCATACTCAGGCACGGCTGAATATCTTTTGGTGGAATATGTGAATCAATGCTATTAGCTATTTATTTATGAAACTCACTTGTCCATTCATGTTGCTCTGCGGCAAACCATTGTAGTGTATCAGAGTAAACATGTCAGGTGTAGATGATTCCTCTCTTGGGAAAAATTCGTCAAGAAATGCGTTCATAAGTATAATACCGAGATTCTCGTTGTCCAACTTTTTCTTCATGATGTTAACACTGCAATAACATTGATTATTGATGAAATTTATAAACGTGTTGACAAGCAACTCACTACTCGGGTTCGCTGACGAGATCCAAAGCGTTTAGAACATCCTGTAGCTTGTCAGCACTGATAAAATTGTTTCCATACGGGTCGAATCTTTTGAACACTCGTTTCGCCTGTTCACATTTTGTTTCTGGACTAACCAGCCGCCTCTCTTCGCTAAACAGAACTGAAAAACAAATAGGACATGACTTTGCAAGTGTGCAATATCGAATTTTGCAAATGTATCAATCATTGTAAAAGCCTCTTAAAAAGTCCCAGAATTTGAATTGTTCAGGAGGCAGTAAAAACAGTGTCTCTGACAAATAAACCAGCTTTAAAGCACTTTTTAGTGTTGATGTTGTCTTTGACTTCTAGAAGATTGATATTTCGAAAAAGTCAATAAAGCTGATACTGTTTTAACAGGAAATAGGGTAATGGTATATAACTTAAGCAACAGAATTATACTTAATTATTGAATTATTAGCATGCCACAAGTTTTAATTTTGCATGTTATAATATTTTTAAGGAAGATACAGGAAACCAGGGCAAAGCAAATACCCTGGCAAAGAAGATAATGCCTGTAATCTTATTTTCCTTGATAGTGGAGTGATAATTTAAATTTTGGTGCATACAGCACACAAATATGCCAAACAACCAAATCTTTCACTGAAAAAACGTTTGTATTTAGTACTGGGATGTTTCATCGTGTCTACACCAAAATAATTGCAACTCATTTCTGTTCAGTTGAGTTGTTATATCCTCGTAATCGTAATCTTAAGAACAGCTGCACTGACTTTTGAGGATGCTTTCTACATAACAGAAACCAAACATTTAATATGGAATTGGAAATTGGAATTAACCATACAGCATTCCATTTCAACATCAAAACTGAATTTACCCCGAAAATTCCGGGTCTCCCAAGTTCTTTGACAGCGTCTCTTGAAATTCGCGGTTCTCTGTGAGAGTGCCGGTTCTTTGTTCCCGAATAAAGAGATGATGGATAGATAATGCTGGTTTATTTTCGAAAACTGGTACCTCGACCGCGGACTGACGAGCAAACAAGAAAAGAGTTCCATGTTACACTTCTGTCCTACTATGGATTTCTTTAATCTACATACCTGTCAAATGTGTGTCTGATGCAAGCACCCATACAGGATGGATAGGATTTTTGTAAAAAGATCCAACTGTACAATACCTGTGATATTCCATAATTGTTATGAAGCCAATCTCACTTTGTTTCTCAATACCTTTTAACTCTGTAAAACACATAAGTTTAAATAAGTAAGGAAATATAGATTCGATTAAGAGTAGAAAACTGAAGAAAAATTCCTAACAATGATAATAATTCATTATTAATTCTGTAATCGTTGAATTTGTGAAAATAACTGTTCACAAAATATACAAACACTCTGTACCAAAAAGCAATAAGAAATAAAGTAATATAAAAAGCATGATCCAAAAAACCAAAATAAAAAAATTTGACCGCCAAAAAAATTGTAATTTATAAAAATTGTTCAAGCCAATTTGATCTATGTTACTGTGCAGGTAATTCAATCCTTGAAAATTCGCGTAAAAATAAAATGTTGAAGTCGCCAAGTATCTAAATTAAAGTTAAAACATTACAAGACCTTGAAGAGTATTTTGAGATCAGTTTATTTTATAGCAACTTCACCCTTGTTTTTCAGGCCAAAATTGACAAGCTTTTGGTGCTTTTAAAAAATGTAACCATACTATTGAAGTAAAGATGCATATTTGGCATTTAGATTAAAGATTATTTTTGCACTGTTATTACATAATATTTGCTGTCTGGAAAAAGTCCATGATCTTGACAGTATATGATTTAAACAAGACAGCACTGCACAACTTGTAACCCAGCTTTGTGAAACTTTGTACTGATGAATTAAGACTGGGGAGTTAGAATCCAGCATTAATCGGGTAATTCAGCAAATACTGCTTATATCTTAAGAAATAAAGTGCAAAGCTGAAGAGAGGGTAGGATAATACTTTTATTCACAATTGCATTTATAAGATCAATAAGGCATATTTGTCTATCTACAATATAAGTCTAATGGTAAATTCTGTAGAATTGATAATTTTAGAATATGACATTATTTGCAGTATAAATATAATAAGGTTTATTAAAAATTATCAAAAATCAATTTCTTACTCAATCCCCCAACATCTTGGTCATGATCCCAAACATAAGTAGTTGCCCTTCCTGTAATCATCAGATTTATCATATTTTGACTGCCATATCCATATGTTTCATCTATAAATGGATCTTGAGTATCAGACTCTAAATTAATTTGATCTAAGCCCTGAAAAAACAATAGAATTTCTAAAGATATATTTTGTTTAAAGTTCCAGAGTATTTTTATATTTTTATGTAAAACATCCATAGACCCACCACAAGGCATTTGATTCTCAGTTTTTAAATAAATATAGAATAATATAGGAAAAAAAGTAGTCTGAACAAATAAAATAAAACAAAAATTGAAAACAGTATACTGCATTAACCCCATCTTTTGGCATTTCCAAATATGCAACACTATATTGCAAAAATTTAGGAGCTGGATGAAAAAGGTTTTTTTGGAAAAATGGATTGTTTCTCTGCATTAAGCACTTTTCTTATATATGCCATATATAAGGTATTGTGGTTTGCATGTAATGGATTATCTCAGAATACCTCAAAAACAAATGCGATTGTTTTTAAGTTAAGAAAAAAAATCGAAACTACAAACATCACCGTAGCAGAAAGAATAGAAGTCCTTCTGACAAACTGTGGAAAATTCTTGGGAATTGATATTGAACAAGCACTTTACTGGGCTAAACATATAGAACATCTAGAAAAACGGTTAAACATGTTATAGTATTAAAGTACTAAGCAATTACCTAGACCTCAAGACTCTATAAATGGTATATTACGCGAATTTTGAGTCGATTGTATGTTTCGGAATAATTTTTTTCAGACATAGTAGCCATACCAATAGGATCTTTCTAGTGCAGAAGTGAAAATTTCCTCTAGAGAGACTTACAGAGGAAAATTTAACAGTAATAAAATTTTAACTGTTGCCGCAATATATATTCAAGAGATTCTAAATATTGACCAAATTAATCAGTAACCCACGAAGTGACTATAACACAAGAAATAGAAATATAAATCTTCTGTATCCAGTCCATCATCTCACGGCTCACAGTTACCAAAAAAAATGTCCATTACAGCTGCACTAAAATATATAATAAGTTATAAGTTACCACAAGAAATTAAAAGGTTGGCAGATATAAAAGAATATAAAAAGAGTATTTATCAATTGTTAATGCACTAAGAACCATATGTACTTCAAGAATATTTTGAAATGTAAAATCTCTATTATGTTATATGTTTTGCCTCTATGTTTTTCCTGTCTCGATAACACTATGACGTATAATTTCACCTAACAGTGTGTAATAGATTGTAATCATCCACTGTAATTTTGAAAAAAAGATTTATTATTATTATTATTCACGAGTATCCATAATGGTAGAATGACAGCTCATTATCTAGTAACATTTCAAAGTTCCCCATATTGGCAAACAATACATAATTCTGACAGATCCGTCCATGCCAGGTCTAGACAGAGCCATATTTTGTTTTGGTTTATGTATTTTACAGATTCATTTTGTACTTGCTAAAAGCTCATTTATTTAGAAAAGTTCATTTGCATAAAAAAAATGCTACAAACCAGTTTTACTAGATCTACAAGCGATTCATTATTGCTAATGTTGCAGATTAACACAAAAATGTCACTTGCTGATTGGCTGTTCACCTCAGTAGACATCAAAGTGTGATGTTTGTATACTCATTAAATAGAGTATAAAGTCACCAAACTTAGTCTAACTTAACCTAACAACTTGACCCAATCAAACCTATTTCCATATGGGAAAAGCTGATATCATTAGGTTAAGCTGGATTAAGTGATCTTTTTTATTGTTTGTCAAATCTTTTAGTTCATATGTAAAAAAATAAATGAATTATGTTGGAGCTATTGTAATATGTTTTACATAAGACTTGATAGGCAAATTTGCAAATATGATGGAACGCAAAATTATTTGTTTAATGAAAAATTCTGGTAAATATAAACACTCCAAGTCATAGAACTGTAGTACTATTTCAGTTTGCATATCATGATGACTAAAAATAAATTTGCACTTACCTTACATGCTATCACAGAATATAAGAATAACAAGACACCATATGGTGCCTTGAGCTTGGCGATGTTCTCAGTATAATACTTATTAACAGCTTCTAAACACTGGAAGTTGTGTACTTTGATCTCATTGTGAAACCGACATGGATCTATCACAAGAGGGGTTGCGGTAGATGTGTTATCACCATTCAAATCAGTCTTGCTAACAGGTTCACTAAGGTCACTATCTAAATAAACTATGTAATACTTTTTTGTGTTGCACTGTCCTAGTATCTCACAGAGGGCATTCACTAGAGATCGGTTTTGAATATCTTCATTTATCTGAAAATATAAGTTTGATCACATTGTTTAATAGGAATAGATTTCTTTACCTTGTCTCTAAAAGACAAATCTTTGAACTCTAGGAGCAGGTTTTTGATGATAAATGCCTCAACTGGGGCCAGTATAGCACAGGGACCACCTTCTGCTTGTTCCAGAGCACTCTTCTCATTTGAACTAAAGTAGAACCCTGCAAGCCAAAAAAGTTTACATCATATATACAAGGGAGGTAAACCGTAAAAGAACAAAATAAGCGATATACCTTGGGACCATCTTTTAAAAATATCAGGTTTGATTTCATTACCCCACAGTAAATTTTTTATTCCTAGTAACTCTTGCTCTATGGCAGAAGGTAAAGTTTCCGCCATCCTTAACGTATAAAACTAAACAATACGTTTAAAATTTATAAAATATAAATAATATTTCAATATATATATAATACAGGTTATAACAAAATTGACATCTCCGAAACTCGATTTACGATTTGTCAAGAACTGAAGTACCACCAACATTACATAAAAAAATGATTTTATCTGCCTGTCTTTGTCTCAGGTCAAAATTTCAGGGCAAATAAACGTTTTAGGAAAAAGAAGAAAATCATTTCCATTCTACCATACTAAGTGAACAAACATCACTAGGTCACTCGTCACTAGCAAGTCGAAAAAAATAGATCATAGTCAAGGATAGAGAAGTTAACGTGAACAAGTGTTCCACTATCGTTCATTTAGTAGTCCGCCATATTCCAGGTTATTCCATCATCTATCGCATGGGTCATCAATAAAAAAATACCTACACATATTTGAAAATAGTTTTAATATAATTTGTTTTCGTCTAGACAACTTTACCCTCGTGACGTAGCTTTTAGAATATTACAATATATCACTTACCAATTTTTGCATACCACGAGGTAAAATAGATCGAGTGATCAAATAAATCAGAAATATATACATAGTAAGGTACCATTCCCATTCTAGCATTGTTTTATCAGAAAAAGAAAGAAATGGAATATATCCCTCATTTAACTACTATTAAACTGGCATGCATGGCCGCCCACAAGGGAGTGCCAAGATCACCATGACCCCCCTGATTTTGCATACAATTTTAGGCTCTTTCGGGGTTTTGCAGGTACACCTCCACAAAAGGTTATCTTTTGCCGATGATCGCACCGCCCCTCCTGAGAAAAATTCCTGTGGGCAACCATGCCAGCATGTGAAGTACCTGTATGGATTGAGGATTTGTAGAAAAGAGAAATTTCAAACAAATTGGTTCTAAAAACCAGCTTTATTGCTCCTTCCAGTTTTGCCTGATCACATCACAAAACAAAGAAGGTGAAGACGGTGAAGAGTTACCGTTGAGCATAGAAAAAGTTTTGGAACCACTAGTATGTCTCGGTTGCATAAAGAAGAAGGAGCAGAGTTTGTTCCCATTTTCAACTTTTCTGGTTGTTAGCGCTGTGACGAAGACAATTGTTTATAAACAAAAACAATCAGTTAATTCAGCAGATTAAATCAAATGGTCGTTGAATTATAATATATTTGTTAAATCACGAAAGTGAGCCAACAAAAATAAAAATTGTGCGGTAAGGTTATGTCCAACGTATCCCGGAAAATTGATGTAATTTGTTTGTGGGTTTATTCGATATTGTAAACATATTTGCGGTTAACTGTTTCCCCTGCAGGAGTGCTCTTTTAACTCACAAAATGTGTAATTCAATCTAACGGTGTGCCATATGAAATGGATGTTAACGCTTTATTTACATGTTTAGAACCGCAGTCGCAGACGAATTGTGTTGTGTCTATTGTGTTACTAGGCTAAACTGGGTGGTTTACTCAACGTTGCAAGTATTTTAATAGTTTATAGTGCATTTTTTGCAATTGACAACTCAAGTTATGTGCCTGATAAGCGGTGTCGTTGCACGAAATTCATTTGTTTCCCGGCCCTCTTGAATTTTGCTGCGTCGGTCATTCGTAAACTAGTTCCACAAAGATGGCCGAGGGGTTAAAAAAATCTCGCAAAAGCAACTTTTCCCAAGACGAAATCGACATTTTAGTGTCTGCAATCATCCGAAACTATGATTTATTGTATGGAGAATATTCGAAACGAGCTTTTTACAAGCACGAAAGGCACAAAGCGTGGTTAGACATCGTCAAGGCAATAAACGCAATCAGCCCTGAGAAGAGAACTTTGGATGAAGTAAAAAACAAATGGAAAAAATGTCAACACTTGTACAGGCTGTCAGATCTCGAAATGGGTAGGTTTATTAGCAAAATCATTTTATTAGGTGATAAATATCCCATGTTGACTAGTCAATACCTAACCGTTTAGTAGCCACTGGTTACAAATAATAGAAAAGGGTGGGAGGTGGGAGGCATAGTGGTGGGATGAAAGTATTGACGTTTTTTAAAGCGGGAAATTTGAAATGTAAAGATGGAAGAGTATAACAATTCAAGATTGTACTCAGCATTAAGATGTTGGAAGGCAACTGGGCAATGTATTCTATAAAATTCTTCCCCAATTTTTTTCATCATTGCTGAACAAAGAATATTATGGAATAATGTTCCATTTGATATATACAGTGAGTCAATAACGTGTAATGGTTGAATGTTTTTTCAATTTGTGTGAAATTCAATCACTAGTACAGTACCATTATGCAATAAATTATAGAACAATCTATTGATAGTTACTTTTACTATAAGACTTGCTCTACATCTGCATCAATTTTTTTATTTAGTTGTAAGAGTAATAAAAACCAATCTATACACAGTATTATATTGTGATGTGATCATTTCTGGCATTATGCATGTGTTCCATTTTCAGACCAACACCAAGTAAACTCTTTTGATTCATTGTGGTCCTGGCAAAATGTTAACTTTGCATGCTAGACACTGCAAGCAAAACATGTGATTTTTCTTTTGTATTTAAACAATTATCATCATAGCATTTTATTCAATTTTTTTTTTAGTAATAATTTTGTCAATTCTTTAAACCCACAAAACAAAATACTCTCTTCTACTGATAGTGATGCATCTTGGACATAACCATCAATAAAATCATTTGAAGAAATAAGTCTACTCCATCAAAAAAATGAAGTCAAAAACAAAACAAAGGCCCCAAGTCAAGAAGACTGTGATTAGTAGTGCATTGAGACATCGTGGGCCTGGTAGACCTACCCAAGGATTCCCCACTTATGAGGAGAACTTCAAAAGAGCTGTGGTTCAATATGCAGAGCAAAAAAGTGTTACTGAAGCTAGGAAGCGCTATGGCATCAGTATAACCAACATCAAACAGTGGCTCAGACTCAAAAGGGATGCTGAACAACAGCAGATCAGTGCTCCTCCACCAGCAGGCCCACCAAAAAAGCCTGAGCAACCTAAAAAATCAGAGCAGAAAATATCAGCAGTGTTAGAAGTTAAGCTTACGCGGTCTAAGAAGCTAACAAAATGTGGAAGTGAGAAAGGTGTTCCTAGTAGCTTAGGTATTATTTTATAGATTGTCTTGTTCTATGCAACTGAATTTTTTCATCTATTATTTTTGATAATTTTCCAATCACCACCAGACATGATTAGAAAAATCTTTACTGATATCATTAAAATCAGTATCTGTGCAGTGGCATATGCCATTCCTTTCTGTGGCAACATTAAGCAATGCACACTTCAATAAAAAACTATTCATGCCGTGGCATGTTGCAACCCTGAGTACCATCATTTACCAATCTTTTCCCACATATGTTTGAATCTGCAAAGTTACAAGTGATAAGTTGACAGATGCAATAGTATACTGTCAGTTGCTTGTGATAGCTCAGCAACCTACCTTATCTACTTTACAAATGGAAATCCTTTCAAAGTGCTCTAGATTTTAATTTTGATTAACGTATTCCACCTGAAGAAACCCAAACTAATACTAGTAATATTTCCATGTAGAAAAACCTGTCCGGGATGAAATGAGATACCTTAGCGTCACCAATGAGGATTTTTCATAGCTACGTTTCTCCTGACTAATTAGAAATCTACTTTTAAAAGGATAGTCTCATAGATAATATGGCTTTGAAGGCAACGTTTTAAGATGGTTCTCTGGAGCAAAGAACTCAGCGAACAGAGTAGAAAAACTTCTTATCTTCTGTAAGAGAAAATAGACATGGTGTGCCTCATGGAACAGTGTTGGGTACTGATCTATTCGTGCTGTATATAAATGGTATTGTAAAGGCTGTAAAAAAATTGCAAAATTCAGTTGTTTGCAGATGGTACAATTTTGTTCATGGAATGTGATAACATAGACAATTTTGGTTAAAATGATTAATGAAGGCTTAAAGACATTATATGTCTGGTTAGGGAACAATAGTCTTAGTATTAATGTTGACAAGACTAAGTGTGTGATACATAAATCTAAATTTAATGTTCAGGATACTTATCTGCCCAATGGATTTATAATTGAAAATAATAAGATTAAACAGATTAACAAGTATAAATATTTAGGAGTTATGATAGACTCAAATTTAACATTTAATAGCATCCAGATTATATTATAAAAAAGTTTCTAAAAAAGTTAATCCAATATGTAGGATAACCAAGGACCTTAGTTCATGGATGTCACTACTTATATATAAAACAAGAGTTATGCCTCATTTTAATTACTGTTCCTCCATATTATGTATGTTTCAGAAAGGTGATATAGATTCACTACAGAAAAAACAAAATCAGGCTCTTAGATGTATATTAAGATGTAATAGATATACAAGAATAAAGACATGTTGGAAGTAACTAATTTATTAAGTATCAAACAAAATATATCTTGCAATACAATGATAGTCATCTACAAAATAAAGAATGAAATGTATCCCGAATACAGAAGATTTGCAATTTGTCTGTGTTATTCATAGTTATAATACAAGAAATAGGTTTGATTTTTATGTTCCTGCTGTGGAGTCTGCTTTTGTCCAACACAGTTTATTTCATAAACGCCTTATAGATTTTAATAATTTACCAGCTGACATCAAATCTACAAATTTCGTCAAATTCAAAAGGCAATTGAGAATTTATGTAGAAAATATTGTTAGTTTTAGATAATAACATTATGTATACTAAGTGACACATAAATCCGAACACCCAGTTTAAATGGTTTTATTTTAATAAAAGTTGGTGAATGTATTTACCTTACTGTAAATAACAAGTGAAAAAATTTTCAGCCTTATCAGTTGGACATTCCGGTTTTTATACTGCTTTTTTTTAATTCACTAAAGCTCTAAAAATGAATATTTCAGCCGCAGTAAAGAATCAACGTTGGCGGATTTTGGTTCTTGACATCCTTTACGATCGGTTACGATGCCTAGAGTACGGAGACCTGTACGATTTTGTCAACTTAGTGAGTTTGATAGAGGCCGTATAGTGGGACTTCGGGAAGCTGGACTTTCTTTTCGGGCAATTGCAGTTAGAGTGTAAAGAAGTATAGACACTGTGGTTAGGTGTTGTCAGGCATGGCTTCGAGAAGGCCGTACGCAAAGAGCAAGCGGCACTGGACGCCGCCGTAGAACAACAGACCGTGAAGATCGCCGCCTAAAATTATTGGCCTTAAGGGACCGTTTCTCCACTACCAGGTCCATTGCAAATGAATGGTTTGCAGAACACGGAAGACCTATTGGCATGCGAAGTGTTTACCGACGAATGAGAAGTTTTGGCTTGTTTTCATCTTACCGGCCACACTGGGTCCTCCCTTTAACTCGAGAACACCGACGTAATCGCATTGAGTGGTGCAGACAACGGTCACTCTAGGATCAGAAATGGAACAGTATTGTCTTTAGTGACGAGTCTCGATTTTGTTTAGGCATGCACGATGGTCGTGCCAGGGTTAGAAGGCGACGTGGGGAAAGGAGGAATCCACAGTTTTTTGTTGAAAGACATGTTCATCACACTGTTGGAGTTATGGTTTGGGGTGCTATAGCTTATGGTTCCAGGTCACCTTTAATCTTCATCAGAGGTAACATGAACGCGCAGCGTTATATCCACGAAGTTCTAGAACCCCATCTTTTACCCTATCTTGACACCCTGGCAGATCCAACTTTCCAACAAGATAATGCCCGACCACATGCTGCAAGAGTCACAATAGACTTCATTCAACATAATGATGTCACATTGTTACCATGGCCACCAAGATCTCCCGACTTATCCCCAATTGAGCACGTGTGGGATATGATGGGTAGGAGATTGCTCAATTTGCAACGTCCTCCTCAGACTCTAGAAGCACTTCGAGAGGAGTTGGTGGTTGCCTGGAATGAGATACCACAGGAGGACATTGACCACCTGATCAGAAGCATGCCTAGGCGCGTTGGAGAATGCGTAGCACATCAGGGTGCATCCACCCATTATTAAAGGTCAAAGGGCTTTAAAGCAGTGCAATCATTTTGAAATTTTTATCATTTACTTATTATGCTTCATTAAGTACTTATACAAAATTTTATTAAAATAAAACCATTTAAACTGGGTGTTCGGATTTATATGTCACTTAGTATATATTGTATTGTTTAGCTTGAAGCTATTAAATAAATAAAGAAAAAAGAAAGATAGATGGCACAGTAGCCAAATATGCTATATTTCATTTATTTATTCATGCTAATAACAAAAATTGTTTACAATCGTCGTAAGAGGAAAAAAAATCGTTTCCATATACATGGTACACCACACTTGAAAGGTTTGAACAATCACAACATGCCAAAATCAGTATTTAGAAAATCATCAATTTTGTAAAAAGCATTTTGGATCAAAAGATTTCTAATTCGAATCTTAAAATCATTTAAGGGCAGTGATCTTATATTGTGTCGCCAATACGAGTATATAGTGATCAAATTTCTTTTATTTCTGGTACTATATTCGTCAACATTTTCGAGGGTTTGGTATAGATCTCCTTGTTTTGGCAAACATCAAGCACTCATACACGTATAGACTTGCCACAGTCATCACTGCCATCAACCTAACAGCCCTCCCCTGCAGCCAAAACACTCTATAGGTGCCTCAGCAGAGTGGCCCCATACAATAATTGCATTTGCTATGTGCGACTGGAATAGTAAGAAGTAACATATACGGAATATAATTGGCTACACTAATTTGCGGAGGACATGAATATTCTGATAAAGATTTATGGATAGCACATCAAGGTGGCTATATGCTAGGTTAACCAATGATGTTTGTCAAAAGTCACTTCAGGAAGATTAAATTCCCAGGGGGTGGGATGTTGGTAATTAGGCTGACATCTAAAATCTATTCAAGTCTCTGCCTCGTCAAAACGAACACTAGCTTGCGCTCTTATCTTGCTAGCGGGCCATAAATGCCTGGGTACATTGCAATGGGTGTTGATTTTGTCGCGACATAAATGAGATTTGAATAGGTTTTACGTGAAAACGTTAGAATAAAATTATCTTGTTGATGCTTATTTGTTACTGACATACTGTGCATGCAATAGTTCTCATGTCTAAAGCCAAGACACAGATGAAATACCAGAACTCATGATTCATTCACACCACAAATTACTTCTGGCGGTGGTTTCAGTAGATATATTGTTTGTATAAGCACCCGGAAAAAGCATGATTTATACCTTTTTGAAAACGGGTTACTTGTGAAGACATGTAAGCTATTTTCTAGCTGACCAGCATTTAGTGCTCTACATGGGCGATTACACGATTTACAATAGTTTAGTAGTATTAATTTGAAATTTTAACCTCAATACCCAATTTGCATGGTCACAGAGCAAGTTCGCAAGCACACAAGGCCGCGATTCGCATTGTGAACAAAATTAAATCATGCGACTTTAGGTCCAACCAAAATTATAATTTTTCTTCAACAACCAATCTCTAAATTAATTTTAGAATCCATTTAAAATTCCCGAATACTAGTTAACAATGGCAAGGGACCCCTCAAATTGACGAACTTCTTTCTTGTTTGCTCTCTCTCTCCTTCCTTTCTTTCTTATTCCCTTCTTTCTCCCTGACTTTGCCTGGTATCTGGGCAACCAGACCTGACAGACCTACTAACTTGAATACTTCAACCAAGAGCAAAGGTCCTACACTGACCGCTCTGACAGACAAAGGCGAATATAATGACAATTTACGTGGTTACAAAGAATTTTGGGCTACTTTATTTCGAGCTTTAACTTACTACTACAACATATACAATGCAAATGGAGCAACGCGAAAATTACCCCAAAATTCTGGGCGAATTTGTATGACCTTGAAAGGGTGAGAAGTTGCCTCATCCAAAAATGCCTTATGTGCCTGGTGGTGCGTAGTCTTCCACGGGACATACTGTTAGAATAGTTCATTCTCCTCTGCACGTTATCGTCGTCGTATTGTGGTTCTGTTTGGACCACAAAAAGACGGCTGTTACCATTTTCCTAATGGGCTAATTTGTTCTCAATTTTCTTTCCGTTAGTCTACACATATGCACTATTCCAGATGCGATGCCACTTGAGAAACGCCTGCGGGCGCCCACGCCCACAGCATCCACATCTACCGCCCCTTCGCAGCCAGAACCAGTATTGCACAGCCAACCCCTGTCCCCTACCAAGCTGAAAGTAACCAGACAGGCTGCTAGACCAGGTTAGATAAGCCTAACTAAACAATATCCAAATCCTATATATAGGTCAATTATATAGCTTAAAGCTGCTCGACTTTTACAACAGTCAGTCGTGCCAAATGGACGATTCACACATTTTCGGCATTCCACTGACGATTCCTATTTGACTTGTGCATTAAGAATCCAATATTATGAAATGTTTCAATATGTAAAATATTAAAAAAGAGCATGTATGCTTAATTAAGAAGAAACACCATTGAACATAAGTTTCTCAAAACTAAATCTAAGATAGATCATTGATACATTTAATGCGATTATTTTTTACATGTTTTAGGTTGAAAACTTTCACAAACATACATGTTGATCCGAAACTACTTAAGAAATATATCACTAGCTCAGTTATTGCCAGAAACTCATGTTTTGGTAACGATTTCCAGCAATCTGCATAATCTTTGAAATATTTTGTAGTTTCGAAGATACATTTTACTTTACTTAACTACCGAACGTACTATTTGGCCCGCCGACGCGGGGCATTGTACAATCCCTTTTTTGATCCTCTAAAACGTTCGAGGTTTTTACGAATATGTTAAATGAAATGTCTTTTTTCGAGCACCTAAAACTTTTGTGGAAACACTTCTCCAAAAAATGCATGTTGGTCCAAGTTTCCGGAGTATTTGGATGTACGAGTATAATAGACACCCTGCATCTTCTGGTGTAGGTAGCGCCGCCCAGCAATCGCCACGCCCAACACCCCCACCGCCTACCCCTCCACCTGCGGCTCCGCCCCCGCAAGACGTCTGTCTCAGATGGAACACGCACCACACCAACATGCAGACCACATTTCCGAGTCTGCTGTTGAAGGAGCAGTACGTGGATGCTACGCTTGTGGCTGACGGACAGACTATCAAGTGTCACAGGGTAAGTCATTTGCAAATTTCATCTGGCTTTTGTCTTTTACGATGTGAGCATTCTGATCGGAGTTCAAGTCAACCATGCACTCTAAAGATGCACAGTTTCCTGTTCGTATCCAGTGACCGCAATCCACAGAAGTTTGGATTTTCAATAGAAAGTTTCCTATTGGATGTTCAGATTTTCTGATATCACTGGTTCATAAAATAAAAAGTGGTACCTGCAGGTCTCCCACTATGTAGTTTTTATCGCTCAACATGAATCCGAAGTCAGAATTCGGGGTCGATGGACAACGATAAAAATCATATCAGATGTCCACAAAAAAATAAAAGCGGTGTGTACTGGGGTCTCACTATATGTTTCTCATTTATAATTTCTCGCTGAACAAGAATCTGAAGTAAAAATTGGTGATCGATAGCTAAATATGAAAGTAATTTATTCATCAATATTACACATTTTGGTGTATGAAAGTGCTCAACCAATAATAAATTACTTCTCAATCTGAGATGTCTTGTACTATTATTCTTGTTCTAACTCAAAAATAGTCGCCTACCTACAGGACCTGTTTGATCCATAATAATTATACAACTGAATGCTGGATAGTGCACAAATCATCTTAGCACTCAGCTCTAAAAACATAGTCCGACCCTGGACAGCAGCCTTTGTCTGAATCACGCGCGATATCAGCTCCTATTAATCTGTTATAATGTTAGGAATAGTGATTTTACTGCTCCGTAGGTATATATGTAGTGATAAAAATTTCAGCATCGCCTGTTCAAAATTTTATGAAGAAAAATACCTCGTCATTCTTATGGAAAATAGGTCTTAGTTAGCTGGCTGATATTGTACCATATCATTCAGATTTAAGGACTAAACACTATTTTTTTTTAATACACTTGAGTCATTGTAGGTGGTGCGCTCTTCGCGATGTTGTCATACAGAGAGTGAAAGACGCACCTCATCAAAGGAAAGTCGCTTAATTATTTGTCATATTGAATTAGAACTATTTACAATCAATCAAAATATGCTTGTATTTAAGGTCAGTGTTTGAAATTAGATCAGGTAATGAGATACTCTCTTCTTCGACATTATTATAATTCTAATTTCTGAAACAGACTATTTAAATCCATTTTTAAGAATGATGCGGATTATCCTTTTTCGCCCATACGTTGGAAAAAATGTGTAAGTATATAAACTTCATGCATTGACATATAACTCGCATGAATCATCTGAGCTGCTTTCCAGTGGCCTTTTGAGTTACTCTGAGTAACTTGGTAGTATTTAGCACCAATACCGTTCCACTGCACTCTGTATACTAATGCTCTGTACTGCCTGCCCCAAGAATCATCCAATGACCATATACAAAGGATACTGTACCGTTTTTCTGGGTTATTTTAGGTGTGGATTCCACAAAAAGAAATGCACTAATTTATTTATCTTGACTAGATAGAACATTTATGTACACCACTGTTTATGTCTGACTAGGTTCCGGTGAGCCACATAGCGGCAGTCCAGAATCTTCGAGATCACTTTGTGTCGATCTCGAAGGAAAGTCCCTGCATGGTCCTCAACAGATGTCGCCAGCACCGGAGGAGAGTCTGGCGCGGTCCCCAACAGATGGCGCCAACAGTACTCTTCATTCTTGTTACAATACTATAAAAGTTTTGCAATATGACTTAACAAGCGCACACAGGAGGCTGCATATTGAGACAAGTCCATGAGTGCAAAGTAGCCGCCAGCAACACGTCTGTTGATTTAGTTGTTCATTCGTATTGACAGTGTAAAGTGCGGACCATGGCATCGTGGTCACGTAATGAGATAAGGTCAGTTTTACGGAATAACTTTACGCGTGGTTTAAGCATAGACCAGTGCTTAGAAGAAATGACGCTTGCATTAAAGAATTATTGTCCTCATCGTACGACTATATTCAGGTGATAGAGAGAATTCCAAAGGGGCAATTTCACTCTAGAGGACGCTGAGAGGGAAGGAAGGCGGCGAACGTCAGTAACAGAGGAAAACATTACTGCTGTGAGGAAAATGCTTGACGAAGACCGGAGAGTGACGTATCAACAGATAGAGGAGACCTTACACCTTCATGCACCAGTGATTCATTCAATTCTGCATGACCATTTACACGTAAGGAAACTTTGTTCTCTCTTGGTACCGCATAGTCTGACGGAAGAGCCGAAGACTCGTCGTACGACTTGGTGCCGAAAGTTGCTGAACATGTTTTGTAAGGGGCAATCTCAGTATGTAAACAGCATTGTGACAGGTGGCGAGACTTGGCTCTATTATTACGTTGTACCGTCCAAGGCTCGAAACAAAGTTTGGATCTTTGATGATGAAGCTACACCCGTTGCAGACCAAATCCCGATCTGATAAGAAAAAAATGATAGCTGTATTTTTCAAATCGAGCGGGATTGTGGAGAGTATCGTTTGGACACACAGAAGACAGTCACAGCTAAATGGTACACGGAACAGTTCCTGCCATAGAGTTTATCAAAAACTTCGGCCAAAGTCAAGAATGGACACTTTGCCTTCACCATGACAACGCTCCAGCTCGCCGCACCAAAGCCTGCACCGAGTATTTGACCACTTCTGGGCTGAAACTTACTTAGCACCTCATTACAGTCCAGATCTTGCTCAATGCGACTTTGCACTGTTTCCGCATGTGAAATGAAGGAAAACGGTTTTCTAGCGATGAGGACCTTCCGAGGGATTAGGACAACGAGTGTGCCGCACTCCCGGGTGAAACTTGGCAGAGCTGGTTTAAGGACAGGTTTTGGCGGATGGTGAAGTGTATTGAATGTGGTGGAAATTGCTTTGAACGAAGTCAATAAATAAAGCTGTATTGCAAAACTTTTATAGTACCGTTTGTATTTCATGTTAAACTATCAAGGTCACTAAGTAAATGTACCCCCATTGCAGGAGCAAGGTCAGATTCTAAGAACACAGGATGGAATGATTTATTACTCACAGCTTTGGTTTGAAAAATTATGTTTGAATTGAGGAGGAAGTTTTCCCACTTATCGTTCGTAAACAAATTAAGTGAAAAAATGTTTGGAAAAAAAGTATTTAAATTCCGCCGAAATAGAAGTTTTGGAAAGTACCATTTCAATTTTCAGGTGATCCTTTCCTCATGCAGCCCCTATTTCGAGGACGTACTAAGTAGCATCAGCCCGTACCAGCATCCTGTTCTATTTATGAAAGACGTACCGTTTTGGACGCTCAGAGCTGTATGTGATTTCATGTATGCTGGGGAAGTTAATGTTGCTCAGAATAAGTTAGAAGAGTTCCTTGCCGTAGCAGACAACTTAAAAGTAAGTGATTCTGTTATACCTATATATACATGAAATAGTCATATTTACAGATTTATCAATGTTACAAAATATGTCTTGTCTTGTTATGTTTTGGAAATATTTTTTATGTTTTGGAAATATTTTCTAGATAAAAGGCCTAGCCAGAACTATAGACTTTCCGCCAATTCATGAAGTAAAAAAAGAACCTGATATGAAACCAATAAAGGAAGAACAAAATGATGAAAATCGTGAGAATGACATGAAAGATATAAAAGACTCCAAGGAGACAGTAAAAGAAATGAAAGACAAAGAAAAAAAGGAAAAAGAAGCAAAGGAAAAGAAAGAAAAGGAACTGAAAGAACAAGAGATATTGCAAACCAAACAGAGAGTAAAGAAACGACATAATTTACCCGTGGCTGTCGCAGAGATGCCCGTTTTGAAAAGTGCAAAGCTATTGAGGTCGACACCTCTGTCACGGCAAAATGTAGAAATGCCTGTTTTGAAGACTGTCCTCAAACCTCCGAAGACGAAACCCGCTATCGTTGCTAAAAAATCAGAGAAAGTAGAGAAGAAGACAGAAAAATTGGAGAAAAAAGTGGATAAGCCAGAAAAGAAATTGGATAAGCCTGAAAAGAAGTTGGATAAGCCTGAAAAAAGTAAGAATTAATATTTTTGTATGTGCTTTGACAAAGCAACCGGTTAGGTGGAAAATACCTATGTAGTGTGCCATTTGCACCATGTATGATGATTTTGCTCCCCACTCCTACCGGAGAGGAAGTATTGTAATTGCGAAGATTTTCGAAAATGAGATGCTTTTTGGATCTTATATGACATGTACGAAACACCATGCCACTCATTTCTGTCGGTCTGTCCCCTAATCTTTGGACTGCCTATTACATGGAAAGTACTGCTCGGATTTGGAAGAAATTTTCACACAACGTCACTACCGTGTCAAGGTCGAAAAAGCTTACAGTTTTTGAAAATGATCCAGTGGCAGCGGACAAAAATGCCAAAAAAATTCTCAAAAATTACTGAAAATCGGTCCAGTGGCGGCGAAGTTAGAGGCAATTTTTTGTAGCACTCGAAAATAGGGGTAGTAGGGGGTAGGGGAAGGTATACAAAAATATTAGACTCTATAACGGTCATATAAAACATTTTTTCCAAACGGTCATACAAAAAGAGGATGGTCAATTTATTTTACCTACCTTATTTAAAGCGTCTGGCAAAGGTTATGACTGTGGGGAAGTGTCTGACAGTGCTGGATACTTCTTTGCAACAATGTTGTACAAAATATATAAGAAATCATCCATCAGAAATTAAGATAGTCCGTCTAACCAACTTAGCTGGTATGCAGGCATTCAAAGTATATATAAACTCTATTCAGAGCCCCTAATTTTGTCTTTCAGAAAATAAGTTATGTCTAGCAGCCCTGGGATCGGGCTATCATAAAAAAAAATAATCTATTTCTTTTAGCTGTGACCTTTGCACCGCAAAAATCTCCAAAAGAATCGCCAAGTACAAGCAAGATTTATGACCCTATGAATTTGTTGAAACCAGTTTATGAGGAAGTAACCAAGGAAAAGAAGACCCAAATCAGTTCAGTTAAGGTAAAGGAGTCCAAACAGAAGAAACTTAAGAAAAGGAAGATGCCCGAAGAAAGAGAAGAGGTAAGATTTTTTAAAGGTGCATAGGTTTCGTAACGGGCATAACATTTGTTAAGCCAGTATTGCCGAGATTTAGGATATTAGCCCATATTCCTATATTTGTACTTAATTTCCGAGGGCAGGGTTCGAACCGGCGACCCGTCTAGCTGATGTATTAGTAACTCGACACTCTGAAGCATCAGGCTATCCATGTCTCCGTAATTTCATCCTCGGTGATAATATATAGTAAAATTTGTGTAGATGAAATACACAGACAAATGCTATCATCACTGGTTTCTTCTTTATCAGACATGTTTTTGTAGATACCACTAAAAAACTGAGCAAACTGATGCACATTGTCTACTGGATAAGATGGTCGACATTTACTAAAAATTCATCCAAATCAAGCAACTGCTTTCGGCAATATAAACTTGGCTATTTTTTGTTGGTCAACACATATGAGTTAAGACTTTGATTTACTTAAGCTGTGTGACTTGCGTTCAGTTTGAATAGTCACCCTGCCGAGTAATTCAATACTTGTCTAAACCGGGTAATCGATAAAATGTGCCGGGTACCGGACTCGGTGCATCCCTAATGCTTGAAACTTGCGTCTTTTCAGGCTTTGACTAGGAATATAGAATATACTAAAAATAACGTCCACGCGTAATGATATATTATTAAGATTTCTTTTTTATGTCATTATGGATCTTATTTTTTTTCAGTCTCCACCACCAGTGCTGTCAAGAAAAGGCACCCGATCTCGCCCAAACCGCAAGATGGCTAAGTTCTACCATACTCTTGCTGAGTCGGGTACTATCGTTAGGGAACCACACACAAATCAACAACCCGAACCGCATCCACAAGAGGAAACCACATCTGATCAGCAAGACCAACCCATGGAGTCGCAAATGGACCAGGCAGATCCTCTGATGCAAATGGAAATCATCAAAGATGAACCTGTGGACATGGAAGAAAATGCTATAGATATAGTCGAAAATGTGGTTAGCTTTGGTATGCAGGTACATGAAGAAGAAATGATAGAGAACTATGACATGTCGAAGTCTATGAAGATTGTGAATGTAGCTGATATAAAAGGTATCAAAGTTGTGGACCCTTTGACGTTCAACCAAGACACGGCAAACATCACCATCACCAATATTCAGTCTTTAATGGAAAAGGAAGATAGTACTGCGAACCAGTTAGGTTTCAAGATCAGCTCTGTAGTCAGCACCGCAGATACAAGTACTGAAAAGTCCACTGAACAGAACTGTAAAGAAATGGGATTCAAAATAGGCAGCATAGTTAGTGAACCATCAGCTGATATCGTACCCAAAGTGGAAGTGGAGAGTACTGGAACGTTGACTGAAGAATCTCAAGACAGCATAAGCGACGCAGTAGCTGACAAGACTTCTGAAGTTGTATCAAGCGTCTCGGAAGCTCTTCAGGATATCAAGCAAGATATACAACGGCAGTCACTTAGGAAAGTAAGGCATGTTAGGGATAGCTTAAATGAAGAAGAAAGATTGTTAGAGGAAGACCAAATAGACGAATCAAGACTTCTTAGTGACAGTGTGAATGAGGCACTTTTAGAAGATGATCAGTTGGAAATGGGAAGAGTAGTGCCTAAGGAAGAATGCGACAGTACACAAGGCGATGATGCACCTAGATTTGAAGATACAGATGATGCAGCTGAAGAACATAACATTCCAGAAGGTGAAACAAATGTGACATCTTCCCATTTAGATATTTCACGGTTCATAAAGGAAGAAAAGGAAGATAGCCAAGAACTGACAGAACATATGGAAGCTGCGTCATATGCACAAGATTCCGAAGAAAGAGGAGATAGCCAAGATTTGGCTAATGATGAAATACCTAAGCCTGGACAGCCTGACGATGGAAGTGGTAATGAAGTTAAAGAGAATGATAAAGAAATATGTTCAGAACCTACAGAACTTGATTTTAACGAATCACATAAACCGGCTGATACATCAGTAAGAGAAGAATTTAGGAATTCGAATCTAGAATTAGATACTGCAACAGTTAGTACTGATAAAGATGTGCTGATAGATTTTGCCCCAACCGAATATGGAGAATCTGGAGAAAATCTAACAGCTATTCCAAACAAGCCAATAGAAATGACTGACGAGAAAGATGGAAACTTAAATGACACAGTCGATACGTCACGAAAACAAGGCGTCGACCAGCTTGCAGAAGAAATAGCATCAAAACCTATCGATACTGATAATTTGGATCCGATTTTTGAAAGTCCTTATTTAAATATTGAAATAGAAACACAAGAATCTGTGACACTCAGAGCTGAAACTGACCTATCCCACTCGGAAAGTATTCCTGGACAAGACTCCAAAAGTATGGATACAGAAAAGGATGATAAGCTATTAGATGATGCTGATATGCAATTACCACAAGAAAGTCATAGAGAAGAACTAGATTTAGATAATCTTGCCAACTCGAAGTCAGAAATTCCTGAAAATGAAAGTGAAGTTTTAGATATACTACAATTAAAAAATGACATCGAAAACGTTACAAGTATCTCTGAACAATCACATGAAGAGAATAAACCAGAAGTTGCCGATCAAGATAAAGAAGATACTTCAGATTATCATGCACTTGAAACAGATATTACAGATAATCAAACTGACAAAGAAACTATCCCCGGATCTGTTGCTAACTCACAAACAACAACAGGCATTCTTGCAACTGATCCAATAACACTTCACCAAAACACTAAGTCTGCAACTGTACTTGATCATGAAACTGGGACAATAATGGCTGAACAGACTGAAGAGAAATTAGAAACAGTTGATGAGTTGCCAAAATCTAATCAGAACGAAGACGAATTTAGTAACGAATTGTTAGATAACCAAAAAATTGCTGAAGCTGGTTTGAACGGTCACTCAGGTGAAGATATTGCCCCCCTAACAACTGAAGCAGGCGGAAAAATTCTGGACCAAACTCTGAATCAACAACCCTATCAAGAAACAGGTCCTATCATTAGTAGTAGTGGAGAACCCACGGATAAACAAACTGGAGATTTATTATCAATGAACATAGAAAGGATGACTGTCGAGGACGCGGTTATGGCACCAATTCCGAATACCCCATGTCCAATGGACATGCCAGATACTCCATGTCCAATGGACATTCCAGATACCCCATGTCCAATGGCCATTACATCTGACGGTATTAATGATTCGACTGAACCGCCTATTGATGTCCCTCCAGGAATCTTGGATAACTTTGATGATGATGAAGAGATTCTACCAACAGACGATATACCAAACACTGTAGAAGCTCCACCAGTGGACGTTCCTAGTGAAATTCAAAGTACAAGTGATATAATTGCAGATCAGCTTCCTATCTTTGAAGATATTGCTGTTACAAGGAAGGCGGAGGATATACCATCGCCTGGCCCAGTACAAGAACTGACTAAAAGTTTAGAAGTACAACCTTCGATTGAGACATCAGATGTCCTAGCAGAGGCTTCAAAAGAAAATGTATGTGATACGTCCGAAGATGTTAGTGTTCCAGAAAGTGTGCAATCTTCGGAACACAATTCAGACCCAGCATTGCAAGAAATACCAACGCTAGATACAAAGCGCTCGTCTGAAGATTCCAATTACTCTGAAGATATCAGGAGCGTAGATGAACATTCCATTCATGATTCAGAGTGTACTAAAGATGAAAATCTTTCTCAAAACTCGAATAGTTATACTGGTTTTGAAGTTGCTGAAAAAGAAGGCTGTGATGCGGAAAAACAACCTAGTGAAGAATGCACTATGAGCCCAGGAGAGCCACGAAGACTGTCGCCTATATTACCAGAATCTCAAAAAACAGAACCAACAATGAGAGAGCAAAATTTACCACCTACACAGAGTATCGATACCAATACTCCAGGTTTTCATATAGCTCAAGTGGTAAACCAACAAATAGCTTTAAACGAGGAGCATAGGTCCTGTCCCACAGAACAGAGTACTGAAAATGTACCACAGGGTTCTAGTGACTTAGAGTCTATAGTTCATGATCTAACAATGATTGTAGGTGAAGATCTAAATCAGCCTGCCCCTGAAATATCAGAGGTAAGAGAGGATGACACAAATGTGATCGCGGAGTCTTTAGAGAACCTTTTGGAGAACTAGAGTGTATTCTAATGCTCGGATGTGGATTAGCAATTGTGTTTGTACATACATTTATATTGTATTTAATCTTATATGTACGGTCTCAATGTTTCACAGTGGATAATATTCCCGGATCATCCATCTACCTTTGCAGCTATGTTGGAAAAGATTAATATCATATTCCTCGCAAGTAATATTTAGTGATGAAATTTTGTGATGATTTAAATTAAGCTGTAGATATTCGGAAAAGCGAGCAATTAAATTATTTTTACCCAAATTAGGGTGGCACGTCCTTTTTTTTAGATTTTTTTTCAACTACCTGTTTGCAGCAGTATTCTAAATCCTTTTCATTTGATAATGTCATGGTGTGTATAGAGAGGACTAAAAAACAATGTTTTACATTTTTTTCTTGGCAAAAAATGCATTTTTCGTGCATTTTATTGATCATTTTTTCTCCAATAGGAACTTGTTGAAATATCAGTGTAACTCTGCAAATTGTGTGTGAATATTCCTCTTTTATGGAAGAATGAAACAAGTGATTGCTTTTGTTCTTATCACTTTTTCTTTTCGAATAATCTTTGATTTTCTTGAAGGTTCGTCCCACAAGAAATGCAAAGATTTTTCGAAGAGAAAAAGTGATAAGAATAAAAGTAATCACTTGTTTCATTCATCCATAAAAGCGGAATATTCACATACAATTTTAGAGCTGTACTAATATTTGTTAACAAGTTACGATCGAAGATAAAATCCACAATAAAATGCATTTTATGATAAAACAAAATTAAGAACGATATTTTGTAGTCATCTCAATATACATCATGAAGTAATCAGATAAAAAGGATTTAGAATACTGTTGCAAACAGGTAGTTGAAAAAAAGCGAAAAAAGGGACGTACGGCCTTAGTGTACAATTTTTTTCTCAAATTACGGCTAGAAACTCCATCTTTAATTTGAACATTTCAATTGCATGGCGCTGTCATCTTTGTCCGACTACTAAGAACCGATAAACGGTCTTAATAAGTTTCTCATATAACTAACTTTTCTTACAAACTTGCCTTTTATAAAGACATTATTCGAGTTTTTTCTTACTTCTGTTTATCATAAATAGTTCCCATCTCATGCTCATTATTTTGTTTTGGAATTTTTATCGTTTTACCATCACAGTCATGCTTTATCCATAAGAGTATATGAATGTCTCGCAACAACACTACATTTTCCTAATTCTGTGACATTTTTAAACGTGTCATTTAGTTTTTTCGGACTGTGGAGCCCGGGTCGGGTTGGATTTTCTCCAGAGATTTCAGCTTCATCTGCGGTAGCCATCTTCAGTTGCGCTGTCATCGAGAGCGAAGTGCTCGGCTTGTCGGCTCAACAAAAACTGATTGGTCAACTGGATGGGTGTGCGGTTTTATAAGGGATCGGCGGACTGAAGACTCAACTGTCTGGTGGGGGTACTCTGGTTCCCTTGAGTGGCGTGGTTTTGGTGATGTGTTTTTTAGAATTGGCAACCACGTTTTGTTTAAAGCAAGGATTTTTCCTTTCTATTGAAATTATCCTTGTGTTTGTAGATTTCAATTGCTTCTCTGTACATTTGGGCTGTTTAGTGGGTGGATGTTGATAAGACTTCAGTTTGGTTGAACAGAACATTGTGGTCATCTTGGAGTGCGTGTTCGGCCACCGCTGATTTATCAGTTTGTCCCAGTCGACAGTTTCTTTCGTGCTCCTTAATCCGTGTTTGAAAGCTACGTTTAGTGGTGCCTACGTATACTTTACCACAGGATCACGGTATTCTGTATACGCCGGCACCGTTCAGGGGGTCCCTCGGGTTCTTTACTGATGTTAAGAGTTGCTGGATTTTATTTGTCGGCTTGTAGATGGTCTTGATGTGTTTCTGCAACAACCTTCCTATTCTATCCGTAATGCCTTTAATGTATGGTAGAAACTCCCGAAGGTGGCTCCGTCTCTCCTGCTGCAATTTGCTTATAATTCATGTTAACATGATCCAGTTCCCCCTAAACAAAACGTGGTTCCCAATTCTAAAAAAGACAGCACCAAAACAAAGGACCCAGAGTACCCCCACCAGACAGCTCAGTCCGCCGATCGCCTATAAAACCGCACGCCCATCCAGTTGACCACTTCGCTCTCGACGAAAGCGCCTCTGAAGATGGCTACCGCAGATGTAGCTGAAAGCTCTGGAGAAAATCCAACCCGACCCCGACTCAACAGCCCGAAAAACCTAAATGACAGAATTAGCCGTGAAAGCCTTCATTATCCAATTTTTAAACGTATTTCCAAAATTATGCGTAGAACGTGTGAAGACAAGATTAAATTATTGTTCATCATTATCATTGTTCCTGTAGGCAGGAAAAAATATTACTGAATAAAAATGTTTGAATTCATGTTCATGTACTTGACTACTTGTATCTTAGAGCAAAGCTGCTGAACTTAGATTTGTTCACTAGACTGATATTTCTGTAACTATAGAAAAATACATAACATTAGTTTTAGACATAAACTGCTGTTAAGATGGTTCATAGTTGTTACTCAATATATACCTAACATACAACTTTATGTACACATAAATGTAAAATGAGTTGCAACATTAATGGGCAGCTTTATAGAATTGCTTTTTAATTTATTTAGAAATATCTAAGTTTGGATAAACCCATAGCAATTCAATAAAATTTTACTACGTCTCAGTATTTTTGTTTCGTGTATACATCACTGTTTTATATTTGTGCCAATCTGGTTATACAAGTTTTATAGGTTTTTGGATTCATAATAAACCTTTTTTTATTGAGTTACCACTTTGCTTTATTTAATATTTGCCAATATTATCCGCAATTAATTTGCACAGAGAAGTCCTCTTCATCGTATCTACACACTTGCCGTAAATCCTAATTCACGAGTATTAATCACGGTTTGACGTCTACTAGACGTGAACAGCTCATCAGCATGTGACATTTTTGCGTTAGTCTTCAACGGTGCCAATAATGAGTCATCTAGTAAAACCTGTTTATAGCTTTTTGTATGCAAATGAACTTTTATAAATAAAAGAGCTGTTAGCAAGTACCAACCTTTTCCGCATGTCAAATAAAACATTTATTGATTTAGCAGAAATGATAGGAAAAAGCGATAAAAAAGATATTAGCAAAAGCATATACAGGTGGATATTATCCAGTGAGCTTATAGGGCCACATTTTAAAATTCTAGTGGTATATGGCCACTCAGGATACTTTGTTAAGCATAGGAACTAGATTAAAAGTGTCCTCAACAACAGTAATGAGTATAACTAATAAGGTGCTTCTACTTTATGCTACAACTGAAGTCAGCCTGTATCAAGTTTCTTAAAAATTAAGCTGAAGTACAACAAAAATATCAAATACCCGTCAAAATTCTAACTTGTCACATTTCAAATAATAACCAGAAATATAAAACTACTCTGCAGTTAGGTAAATACCACAATTTTACGGCGATAACTATGACATATAACAGCTGATTGATGACGTCACGGATCTTATAACCAAACTGATAACCACTCTCGCTTGAACGGATCGGTAAATACCAATCCAAAATGGTAAATACCATTTTCATTTGGTTATTCGCTTGAATTTGATTATATTCATTTTGTTCTTGCTATCAAGTCTTTTATTTATAAAAGTTTTACTAAATTTACAGCCGATTCATTATTGCCAACGTCGCAGACTAAGAATGTCACTTGCTGATCAGCTGTTCACCTCGGTAGACGACAATGGATACTCGTGAAATAGGGTTATTCGTGGAATAGGGTGTACATTCTTTTTCGAAATATTGAAAGGTTAGCTTCGAGAGGTAAAAATAAATCAACAACACATAAGTTTATTCCAGATCAATAACAACACTTTTGCACAAACATTTTCCTATACTTAATATTTGTTCGATTTGTTCTAAAGTTCACCGAAAATTTTACATACACTTCAAGATTCTCATCAAAATTTAAACAGATTCACTGGGCCTCAGCAAAAACCGTTTCAATAGACGAATCCATTCAAAAAATATGTCTCAGTAGCTTATTGATAAGAACGTTTGTACTTTAATGACCTCTGAAAAACCACTTGTGTTACGCTATGGTCTCACGGGCAATCTCTCTTTCTTGACTTTCACCTTGAGTGGAGAGTGGAGGCACCATCGTGGGTCGTGGGTAGATATAACGATCAAGTGTTTAGTTTATTTCATGAAGCCGACCCAGCAATGGAGCTTCTGATTGGTAGTTGAACTGTTGAGTTCAGATTTTTAGTGATATGTTAGCGAAAAAAAAATAAAAGAAAAAGCTTTGTGGGGTCAGAAACTCGATACTTGCATGAAGAAATTTGGGAGGAACGCAATTTTGCAGTCGCAGACAGATGCAATTCCACAAACACGAGGATCACGCTAGCGTGCGACGCTCTGCGAGAACACAGTTTTAGGATGACACAGAACACGAAACTACAATAACATTCAATTGGCAAAATATATGTAAATGGATTCCACATATTCTCAATCTCGTTTCTGCTAAAGTCCTTTCCATCTTGTATCCTCGAGACAAATCGGCTTTCAGAGGACCATGAAAGAACTAAATAGCAGCATACTATAGGACATACCATATTCTGAATGTCAATCTTGTTCAGAAAAGTATACAGTGATGACTGCCAGCTATATACTTTGTTTCCTAAATACGATATTTTTTGTTTTTGTTAATACTGCTAGTAGTAATTCATGATGTAAGATGTGTACTACTATAATGCTTAATATATTCGTCTGAAACATAAAATGATCTCAAACAACTGCTGTATTTTATTTTCTGCAAAACGGCTGGTGAAGATTCAAAAATGTTAGGATCATTATGTAGACAGATATGCTTAATATATCACAAAGCAATACATATACCTCCGTTGTGCTACAACCATTGAAATTATAAAATATTACAAGTTACAGCAATTGCATAATACTGACCTAGAAATTATTAAAAGTTAAAGATTGAATATACGAAGAGTGTTCAAAAAGTATCGAACCATACTTATTATTCGCATTTAATTCAGACTTTCAGCCAAACACAACATTCCTGTGGTTCGTCATGATCCATACTCACCCCATATAGCTCCGTGTTACTTTTGGCTGAAAGTGCCGCTGAAAGGGATCCGATTTGAGTCAAGCGAAGACATCACGCGGAATGCGACGGACCGGCGAAGACATCATGCGGAATGCGACGGACCGGCTAAACACCATTCCAAAAACTGCGTTCCAGGAGTGTTTCCAAAAATGGCAGAACCGCTGGGAGAAGTGTGTGCATCACCAAGAAGACTACTTTAAAGGGGATTAAAGTTTATGACCTCCAAATCAATAAATATATGTATGCCGACCAAAGGTTCGATACTTTTTCGTTCAAAAAGAGTTTATTTTGAATTTAGATCACATAGAAAATTGCAAATGCTGACACTTCTTGATAATTTATATTTTGAGTTGAGGTATAATTCTACAGCTACACTCTAATATTATTCTTATATTTCAAAGATAATCTTACAATGTTCAAGTGTATCATTCATGTTTAAGCTATTGTTTGAAGTTTGCAAGATTATCTAAAGGTTCTTGCTTAACAGCTAATACTTATTACTACTTCTCAAACTTTAACACTTATAAAAATATATCAAATTGTCGTTGTATGTTATTACAGCATTTCTGGAAATCTCACATTGTACACCAGATTCTGTACAACTAAAGGTTGCTAATTTGTTTTTATCAATCAACCTCAGCAAGATTTTAAAAACCAGTCTTGACACAATTTACTTTGTGCTAGCAGTAATAAATATTTTGAAATAAATATATGAACTACATGCATTTTTGGTAACCACATATCACATATTTTCATATAAAAATAATATGTAAAATAATACAATATATAGAACGGTAAAAAGTAAACCAGAAAAATATTATGTAAAAATATAAAATAATCACCAGGTTATGATAAAAGTTGGTCAAAGTACATATAGATTCGCAGAAGTAGAATTTAGAGCATCTTCACCTGAATCTATAGGATATATTTGAATACTCTAGGGACATGTGAATCCATGTCATTGATTACTGGATTCGTTAATCAATGTCAATATTCAACATATTTAGTACAACCTCTCACTAAAAATTATAAATGTTAAAATGCGATTTAGATGCCCGTGTCCTTTTGTAACCGTTACTGTAAAATGCCAGCCAAAAAATCAGTGAATTGACTTTTAAATATTAAAAAAAGGTTTATATAATTGGCATGTAATAAGTAGAAAAAGTAACGAAGACAAAGAATAACATTTGGTAATTAATTTATATTTATCTTGACCATACTTAAACTGAGAATATGAAAATTTTATACGAACGTATAAAGCAAATTTCTGTCGTAGAAATGATACACACTATTGATGTGCTTCAGCACTTTGCCTTCTATCAAATGTCTAGCGTAATTCACAGCTTCAATTCTATCTCTAGCCAAACCTACCTCTATTAACCAATCTACGAACTGTTCGCCTGTGAAGACGTTCTTGTAAATCTTCAACCTCCACCTGAAAATGTTATACATACAGTATGTTATCTCGAATACTCTACAAATCGGTCTCCATAGAGAATGTTAATGGCAACATTGGTCCGTTGTGGCGACACTTAATGTGTAACTCGGGTTGTGTTGTCACATATACACAGGGTCCTCAAAGTTGTGACTTTCACTTACAAAAATCGTATAGGCAACAATAAGCAAGTTTTCCTTGTACGACATACACCAAAGCCTTGAAATAACCGAGATGTTGAGTTCCGAAAAACTCGGAGTGGGCCCGGCATGACCTTGCATTCTACGGCACAAGGTACGAAATTTGTGGTACGACTGCGTCAGTGTCCAAATGAGACACCGCGCGGTGTGTTGGTTAACCTAGCTTATTTCCAACCGCATTAGTAAAACCGAAATTGGCACCTTCCTATAGCAATAACAAAGTTATGGATTTAATGTTAGTTTCCGGCGATTATCTTCAAAATTCTACTGATACTTCGCGAGTGTATACAGATCGTTCCGATGTTTCCATCCCGAGCCGGGTAGGTTTGTTTAATTCGTGCAAAGGCAGCCGAGGTGATACGGTATGAGACCGAGGTCTGTAAATTAAGTGATGAGATTTTAATTTTTTTATTCAACTAAAATTACAATTTTATATTGTCATCCTCAAAATAACTTCCTTCTAAAGCCACACAGCGCTGGTGATGGTTCTTCCACTCCTCTTAGAAGTGCTGAAACTCCGATACTGGAATAGCCTTCAGATGATCACAAGGACTCAAGTCAGGCGAATAAGTAGGCTAAAAGCTGCAGAAATGTTTTTACTAGCCAAAAACTGGTTTACTGACATTGCTGTGTGAAAGGAGCATTATCGTGATGCCAACGCCCAATTGTTCTTAATCTGATGAACGGGGGTGTGAGACAAATTTAACTTATCTTCGATCATCCTGACTATCAACCGATGATCTGATCGCACAAGATCCCGGATTCTGTCGATATTTTCAACGGTTCTTGAAGATGAAGGCCTTCCGCTTCGTGGTTCAGAAGTTTAGCAAGAATTTCCGTTGCACTGTTCCCAAGTCTGAAGCAAAACCTGATAGCACACCCTTGCTCAAAATTGATATCACTCATTTTTATAACACAAAAAAAATCGCTACGGACAACCAAATAACTCTAGCGAGTCCAAACTTGTAATAAAGACGGATCGCATGTTCCCCTGTTTCCCCTCCAATCCCGGAGCATCCACTGTTGCCAGATCGAACGCTGCGTTACTTAATTTACAGACCAAAAATGTTTCAAATTTAGGGAGAAGTTAGCAAACCTAAGTTTTTGAATCGAACTGCACATCAAGTGACAAGGCAGTACTTGAAATTTCTGATGAAGTGGAATACTTTTTCTCCAATTCCCTATTTACGTTTTTGCTGCTGTTGTACCGCACTTTAGCTTTGTTATTTCAAACATAGATGTTTCTGAAAAGGAAACTCCCAACTTTCAGGACACACTGTATATATTGAGCAGTAAAGAATTAGTGGTAATATGCACGAAAACTAAAATTTAGAATTAAGAAGCATCACATGAGAAACCAACCTCCTGTCTGTAGCGATCGACGCCCTACAATGCTGTAAATGATGAGTGACAAATTGGTCGCAAATGTGCTTTGTCTCAGTGCTCAACTCATGCCAAGCTGGCAGATTGAGGGTGTTTGCCCCATACCATAGTTTACGCCAGTACTTCAAGATAGGCAGCACGATCTCTTTGCTGTTCAGACCGAATATGGCGAATACTATGATGCTCTGACCGAAATTCAAAGTGGCGTCTAAGAAGGACAGTTCTACATAAATTCCAGACATTTGTTCCATTACTAGTGTCCAAATCGCCAATGCTAGACCCTAAAATAGAGCTTTATTTTAGACACATAGTCAACGTTGATCAAAGATGAAGACAGGTAGTTGAATGTCAGCAGAGGAATTACGTAAAAAACCTATATACAGTAAAAATACGACAAAATGACCACTTTGTGGCTAGAAGGCTTCTAGTGTGCAAATAGTTCATTCTGCTATTGCTCGCTATGAGCGCTGTGAGCATCACCCATAACGTCACCTATGGAGGAATGACTCAACGACCATCCTGCAAGTCAGTTCGCCAGCATGCGTTATTGGTTGCAGAATGCCGAGGTAATCTTTAGATACTCTGAGAAGATGTCCGGTTCAGTAGCAAAGTAGCAAGATCACATCTGGATGATTGTGTGTATCGGTCTGCATGTGTACAAAATCAGTGTTATGTGCTGTGTGAGAAAATTATTACTAAATATGCTGCCCATCAAGTATACCTATTATCTGTACCAGACGGGTTATGTGTGTTGTTATTTCTAAAGCGAGGTTAGGTTCAAAGTCACAAATTACAATGTTCCCGGATTTTTTTTGCGTTTTCTAAAACTTTGAGAAGCATTACGGGTAATCACCACCATGCCGGCGTTGTTATTAATTAAGTCACATTACAGAAAATTAGGATTGACGCATCACACATAAAACATTTTCAGAGTGCCTCACATCTACGCGCTGGTTTGTATTTTCTCGTTGACATCGCAAAATAAATTTGTATAAAATTTAAATGATTGGAAATAAAAAATAATGTATAATACAGGGGCGGCTGGCCCTTAAGTTCTGCAGAGCTGCAGAACTGCCAAAACTTTTGTCTTAACAGATAAAAGCAGTAGTAATTTGATGATTATTAATTTTCCATGTTATCACACAAATAGAAACAATACCAGAAACGCTGCCCCAGCAAGACACGGCGTCGAGTCTGTTTACTGAGAAAGCATTATAATCGACCAATTGTGTACTTGTCATTTTAGTTGCGACCGCAGCGTAACATTACTCATGGGCCACTTGAAAAGGGTCTGTGCACTACTTCGACACAAGCCGCACGCGCTTGCTTTTGTCTCTCTCTACAAAATCAAATGCGCGATTTAAGCATAAGCATGTGCTGCAAGTTATGCAGATCCGTACACATCTAATGCGAAATACGATATCTGATTGGTCGGTCGGTGCTCGGTCAGCGGCGGTATTGCCATATTGGTCTTGTCCCGTGACGTGGCTTAAAATTTGAATGCGAAAAAATTTTTATTTAGGTATTTTGGGTCTTACGTTGAGTGACTAGTGACTCACTGACTGAATGTGGCTGTGTAGAAGGATAGTACAAGGCAATGGATGTGATCTACAGACTTATCAGCGTGAAACGATTCTGGAAATACACATTTGAAGAAAAAATTGAGCTGAAGGTGTTAGGCCGACCGCTGCCGGACATATTTATAGAAACACAGGGCGTTAGTCGGGGCAAGGGCTTATATGCGGCATTTCAGCAGGGAGATTTACACCATAAATGACTGGATTTGTGGGTGCAACAGAAAGAATGCCCTTTTCTGCTTTCCTTGCATACCTCTCGGCGGATACAAAGCTTGCACGGAGGTAGGTGTTACAGATTGAGTGAAAAAATTAAGAAGCATGAAAACTCTAAAACACATCTTCATAATTCAATGGAATTGGCTTTATTGGGGACTGTTAACTCAGTTAGATTGAGCATATTGGAGAAATATATAACAGCATAATGATACCGTTACAAAAAACAGGTAAGTTCTATCAAAAATTGAATTGGCGCTACGGGGCCACGACGAAACCGAGAGCTCCCAAAACCCGGGAATATTTCGTGGACTGATTAATTTTTCTGCTGAGCTTGATACAACCTTAAGCGAACACATAAAAAATGCTTCAATATTTAAATACAAATGACAGATTTCAATTTAAAGTTCATTTGGTAGCCGCATCCCTTTTTTCCCCGAACACTTTCTAGAATACTGTGGTAAGTTTCCTGATGACAAGTTGGAAACTACCTGCTTGGCTTATCCCGAATTAGAAAAAAGTCGTTTAGAGACTGAGATGTCTGTTATGTATGCACGGAATGATTGCCGAGATTTACATCGCACTCTGTCTCTTTTGAAATTTTTGATACAAAATAGTTTGGAGAAAGAAACAAAAAAGCTATTAGAAATTATTGTTACAACTCCTATGTCAACATCAGAGGCTGAGCGAAATTTCTCAACATTGAAAAGAATCAAGACTTTTCTTCGTAATACTATGACCCAGGATCGCCTTACAGCGTTGTCGATGCTGTCCATTGAAAAGGAATTTATTTCGACCATGGAGAATTTCAACGGGAAGGTGATCGACAAATTTCCACCACTGGTATAATATAAGAACCTTATCACGTTTCATAGATATTCCAGTCTGTAGTCTACTTTCTCAACTATCAATTGTAATATACTTTCACCAACCAATGATGTTCTTTTTTATTTCTCTCATTTTTGTAATTTCCAGGAAAAATCATACATCTCAAGTAAGTGTATTTTATATAAGAAAGCAAGCGAATTATCAACACAGATTATTAGCACACAAATCCTCAATAAACACATATGCCCGTTTCGTCTGTTTCCTTCCAGCTAAAGTATACAACAGCTTAGACCTCCAGTAATGCCATCTCTAAAGCAGAACCAAACCATGATAGCTCGAGCATCATGATGTTTGGGCAACTACATCAATAAAACAACAGCTAGTTCCAAATTGACAACTTATAGGAAAACCTACATAATGTCGAAAACCTATGTAATGTCAAAAAAAAACAAAATGTGACTTTTCAAGATACGTAATACCCCTGCCGATCTAGCATTGAACTGTGGTGAAACTCGGTTCAAAGCTTCATCAAAGTTCAACTATACAATAATAACACATTCACATTTTCTTCGAGTTATTCTTTAAATTACTTACAACGAACATGGAACACAGTAGCAGAATTAGTAGCACTGTATGTCTCAATATTTGAGGTTCGTGAGATTCAGGTTCTTCTTCAATATATTCGAGATCATCATCAATTTGTTCTTGGTACTGTTTGACAATACCATGGCATACGTCTCTTTTATGGCCTGCACAGCCAAATCTTGATGGACATAAACCATCTTTTGCGTGACTCATCCTGAAAAGTTCATTGGCATCAACCGGGTATTTCAAATTCGTCTCGACCTCGAACAACAGTTAAAGACAGGAAGTCGGTAGGCGCCAAGTTTCGCATATAGGTATCTAAGATAATGGCACTTAGAAAGTTTAGCGTTTCACAGTATTTCCGGAGAGACGGCAAAAACGAATTTTCATAGTCGTTTTTAATTTTTTTCCTGGCTTTATTTGAAGTAGTACTTCAAAATAAATTACATACTAACACTGCCACTTTTCCTCCTATACATAATAAGAATGCCAACTTGACGTTTTGTATCTTATCCTACCATCCGCATTCAAAGCATCGGAAGTCCTTAAAAATGCTCAAATGCTTCTTAAAAACTGTGATTTAATCGATAAACAGCTGATAACCTGTCATTTTCAACACCAATAGTTTTTTGAAATAACGTATGTTTAACAATGTCAATATATGACTTGCTATACATTTTTCTATTAATATTCTCCTGTGTAAAAATCTAATATGGCGTATATAAGGAAAAATAATGTTGATGATTGAGGACAATAGATAAAACTCCACATTGAAATTTTAATTATGCCATCCTGTAGAGGAAAAAACTGAAAATGTCGTATTTTCAAATCTTACCTTGAATAAAGTCACGAAAAAATAAAATCGTCTTTGGGAAAATTCGGTATCTTATGCAACCTTGCTCCGGTTTAACCACTTCGTATCTTTTGTTGTTTCCGAGATCCCAATGATGAGAATCGAATTAGAAACACTATATATATGCACGAAAATTATAGCTATGTTCCAGTAATAAAAGCTAATTTACCCCTCCTCTGTAAGAACTGCCAATACGCCTCTAATTTCACCATTTCTACTACTATCACTGATCAAGTCCTCAATGTCCGGCACAGGACTAGATGGTTCATCACCTGCATGACCAGAGACATTTTCTTCACCTTGCCCTTCTTCAATTGTCGGCAACACGTTGCAGCATGTTTTGTCCTTCACCTATGTGAAAGATTGCATATACTCGTACATACAATATATTACATATATGAATTTGTAAACTTTGTTCTCTGTGCATAGGACCTTTGCTCTTGGTTAAATCTTGTAGATCAGTAGGTCTGTCAGGTCTAGTTCCCCGGACACCAGACAGTCAGAGAGAGGGAGAAGCAAAGAAGAAAAGAACCAAAGGGGATAGCAAATAAGATAAAGTGTCTCGATTACCTAGGCAATGTTAACCAAATTTTCCTTACTACTTCCAAGTACCTAAGAACCTCACCTTAGCAACATCGCAGCTTGTGCTTGGTCCTGAACATGAAGCTGCTTCAGTTTCTGCCTCTTCGGGGGTAGTAGCGGCCGAAGGATGAGGAGATTCACCACTAGCCACTGCCTGTGCTAGATCATTGTACCGCGCGAAACGTCGCCGGTACCTTTGATGAAGCACCAAACAACCAACTGTCACTGAAACATTACCACAAATGAGCCAACAAGTTCATTTTTATATATATAATTATACAGAAAATCCGTCTGCAGTAACTAAAAATGTTGAAATTTTAATTGTGTTATCAGGACGCAGTTGAAAGTACTTAGACGAATTTAACAACACCTTATATATCAAAATCTATCAAACCGTTTGAACTGTAGCCCGTGAAAGAGAATTATTCTTCTTCACATACAGACGCGCGAAAAACATAACCCTCATGAGGCAGTCAGGTAAAATAAGTTCTTCTATAGACTTACCAATAAAGCATAGTACCAATATTGAAACAGCAAGAATAGCTTGAGAATCTCCATATACAAAATTGGGGTTTCCTTTTTCAAAAGGTCTGGTACCTTTTTCATCAAACACCAACAATAGTACAGATAGCAGTATAGGTGAACTAAAAACATTATTGAATGTAAATAGATCACCTAAATGATCTGAAAGTACAACTAAATATGTTTAGCTGAAACAATTTATTTCTCAACCAACCAATCGAGAAACCTTTAATAAAGAAATGTGCTTTAAGGGAAAAACTAAAGAAATTCTGTTACCGTTCAGGCTGTTCATACAGTTTTTTCTATTAATAATTTTGATTTCCACATATTTATATCATCTTCAATAACATACCCCCAACCAACTAGGATGAAAATAGGCTGCAAATTGAGGACATAGCACAAACTGCGACACTGTAGAAATAGCAACGTAACTGCCAATATAGTTGTCCACAATCTACTGCTATAAACACCAATGCAAAACAAGGAGAACTGTACATATCCTACCCAGCCTTCTCTTTCACCTAAAGTATTCCATAGGATAGCACCTAAACAACCAATCATCTGAAAAGGAACCAACATAAACTTTATACTTTTATCTTTAAATAACAATTTTTTAAACCTACTGATGTTTTGGGAAGATAGGCGAAAGGCAGATCTACACCATACCAAAATGACCCTAGTAAAAGTTTCACTGTTTTTGAGATATTATTTTTTTTTTGTCTTTCTCAAAAAATTTCCTCGTTTGATCTAACCACTGTTGCTGATTAAGCAGATAACTTATCGCAGTACTTTGCAATAGCAGTCTAGCACATTTGTATTTCATTGCTGAATACCAAAGTGGAGTAAGTAAAATAGTTTTCTAAAATAAAAATTTCGAGTAGAAATTAGTTTGTCAAGTTTACCTACTTGTATTTATCGAAAATGATATTTCAAATGGCAGACCAACTATCTGTGAATATCTTGCAAAAAAAACGCATATCTGTTATTTCTAGACACAGCAACCAAATGTAGATTAAAAAAAGAGAGAAAAAAAATAATATCTCAAAAACAGTGAAACATTTACTAGGGTCATTTTTTGGTATGTTGTTGACCCTTCACCCATCGTCCCTATTTGTTTGTCGTACTATTTACCGGACACACTGTATAGAATCATAAAAGAAACTTATTGACAATGTTAAAGTGAGAGAGATGCCTTGGAGGTCAAGCATTACGGTAGGTAGATCCGTCCTTTGCCCTCAAAATGTTTTCATGTTGTGGCTACCTTATCTGCAACAGGTATTGTTTTTATGATGCAAAAAAGCCTATATTTGAAGTGGAACAAAACCTATTTGAGACAAGCTGATATTTTGGACAAAAGATTCTATAATACATAAGCAAAGTTAAGAATCACGGATTACCTGTGAGACGACAAGACTAGTGGTGATTTTATGCGGTATCCTGCAAATTTTCTTGGTGAGAATAAACACGACGATGACCCAAATACAACAGATCATTCCAATGATACTGATGTCAAAAGTGAAAGCATCCAGTTGCTTCATGTATTCTGAAGGATCACAGCTCGTGATTGTGATCATTTTGGCTGACACAAACATCAATGGGGCACTTACAAAAGTGCACACCACCATCGCACTAGCGATCTAAAAAAATAGTAACAATAAATGCCCTTGCCCACTATAATGGATCAAATTAGGATCGCATCCAGCACGCCACGAAACAGTAGGTCAACCATGTTCTATAATAGTATGCAACGAGTATGCTAAGCCCATGTACGACTTTTGCAAAGAGGTGAGCCGCCGTCGTCCAAACGCGTTTGAATGGCGGTATGCCGATGTGAACTGTCACGCACTGAACCTCTCAAGGCTAGCAAACATACGTAACGTTCATACACGATATCTATATAATTATGCGAGCAATACCTCTTTACAAGTTTGCGATTACGAATGTGTCAATGTGGATACGATCCTATAGGTCCTTTCACAGTTTTTGCCGAAACAACAGGAATTACTTTCATACATCCATCCCACTCACATACGCATACGCAATCGGCTCTATGCCTGGACGTTTGTTTGCCTAAACTCAGAGACATACGTTTTTTAATTTTGTCAGTATGACAACTTATAAATCAAATCCAAGCGAATAACCAAAATTTCTGTGTTATGTGCCGCGGTTATAATATGGTTCAAGATGAAACACGGGTTGAGGACGTCAGTTACACGAATCGCTTGAACGCGTTGGTTTTAACCGCGGTTTTGTTGCAAGTTGTTTATTTTAGAAAAGCGCGTATATAATCTCTGATTATTTTTATTATCACTTAATAATCGGTGCTTTTTCGTCTACAACTGTATATGGAAAGTTTAAATAAGAAACCTTTCATAATATTCATGGGAGAAATGTTTTTTTCAGATTTTTTTTAACGATGGAACCATGGCTTTGTAGCTATGATAACTTTCAATTCTCTAAATTTTTCCGCATGTCAAAAAAAAAATTTATTGATTCAGCAGAAATTATGAAAAAAGAAATTAGCAAAATCGTATACAGGTGGATATCATCTAGTGAGTTTATATGGCCATATTTTAATATTCTTGTGGTATATGGCTACACAGGATACTTTGTTAAGCATAGGAACTAGATTTAAAGTGTCCCCAACAACTGTAATGAGTATAACTAACAAGGTGCTCCACTTTATGGTAAAACTGAAGTCAGCCTGTATCAATTTTCTCAAAAATGAAGCTGAAGTACAATAACAATAATAAAATTCAAGCGGATAACCAAATGGAAATGGTATTTACCATTTTGGGTTGGTATTTACCAATCCGTTCAAGCGAGTGTAGTTATCAGTTTGGTTATAAGATCCGTGACGTCACGAATCAGCTGTTATATGTCATAGTTATCACCGCAAAATTGTGGTATTTACCCAACTCAAGAGTAGTTTTATATTTCTGGTTATTATTTGAAATGTGACAAGTTAGAATTTTGCTGGGTATTGGATATTGTTATTGTACTTCCCAAAATGGTAAATACCATTTCCATTTGGTTATCCGCTTGAATTTTATTATTGTTATTGTACTTCAGCTTCATTTTTGAGAAAATTGATACAGGCTGACTTCAGTTTTACCATAAAGTGGAGCACCTTGTTAGTTATACTCATTACGGTTGTTGGGGACACTCTAAATGTAGTTCCTATGCTTAACAAAGTATCCTGTGTAGCCATATACCACAAGAATATTAAAATATGGTCATATAAACTCACTAGATGATATCCACCTGTATACGGTTTTGCTAATTTCTTTTTTCATCATTTCTGCTGAATCAATAAGCGTTCTCTTTGACATGCGGAAAAATTTACAGAATTGAAAGTTATCATAGCTACAAAGCCATAGTTCCATCATTAAAAAAATCTGAAAAAAACATTTTTCCCATGAATATTATGAAAGGTTTCTTATTTAAACTTTCCATATACAATTGTAGACGAAAAAGCACCGATTATTAAGTGATAATAAAAATAATCAGAGATTATATACGCGCTTTTCTAAAATAAACAACTTGCAACAAAACCGCGGTTAAAAATAACGCGTTCAAGCGATTCGTGTAACTGACGTCATCAACCCGTGTGTCATCTTGAACCATATTATAACCGCGGCACATAACACAGAAATTTTGGTTATTCGCTTGGATTTGATTAATATCCAATACCCGGCAAAATTCTAACTTGTCACTTTTCAAATAATAACCAGAAATATAAAACTACTCTTGAGTTGGGTAAATACCACAATTTTGCGGTGATAACTATGACATATAACAGCTGATTCGTGACGTCACGGATCTTATAACCAAACTGATAACTACACTCGCTTGAACGGATCGGTAAATACCAACCCAAAATGGTAAATACCATTTCCATTTGGTTATCCGTTTGAATTTGATTATTGTCAAGTTATCGTTTGTTGTCAGAGCGGTCCGTCAGAGCTTAGCTCTTGACTCATAGCGTCAGTTTGTAAGTCTGTCAGGTCTGGTGACCCAGAAACCAGACAATTTTAAGGAAAAAAGGGGAGAGAAGGAAGAACGAGAGCAAAGAGGGAGAAGATAATCTTTTAGGACAGCGTCAAGCATTGTTAAAATCTCTCGACAGGTTGACAACTTATAGTAGTACTTTCGGCTGATCGCAATACTTGTTGAGCAGTCGGCCGACAGAATAGTTTGAAGGGAATCGGGAAGCCCATCAAACTTTTTTAACCGATACTGAATTGCTGTAATGTACATATGTCCATACTGATTAAGAAGCCGACCAAACTATCGGCCAATAGAAAGTCTGCAATCTGTGGGGGTCCGCAGGAAAATTCAGCTATGCACAAGGTTTCATTAATCAATCTGTTTTCTTATTTCGTATGACATCGTGACGAAACTGGCAAAAACCGTGAAAACAACTATACATATGAACTATATACTTACCAAATCTATGTCAATACTGTACTGTGTGGCAAAAACAAACACTGTAGGAGCAGATGGAAAGGTGCCATACAAAAACCCATATGTGCTGAGATCTACTGTTTCTGATTCATTATACCCTGAGTGTAATATACTTATTACTTCCCTAGTGACTAATGGCAAGGCAATTCTGAAATATAGACAGATAAACGTAAGACCTGAGTGGCTAATCGCAAGATTTTTTGATTCATTTACGTCATATTCCACAGAACCAAAAACTTACAGTTTAACCATAATTAATATGCCTGGCACCACTAAAGTAGCACCACGTAGTTTGTGCACTTTTCCAACCATTCTTAGTCCTAACAAAAATAAAGCACTAGCCGAAAATGCTGAACCCAACACCTGAAACAATATGAACCATGACTGAAAATCACATTACTATTTGATCAATTTTTTTTTTGTTATTTGGCACTAGGACATACTCGTTGTATGTTTTAAATACAAGTTCTTTTGTAAACCTAGTTGAATGAATGAATGAATCTTGAATTTTAGAGGCATCCCGGCCACCATAAGGAGCCAGTGCATAGGCCGCTTAAGCGGGCCCTTATGCACCTCTACAATACTTAAATCACAAGCCTCGCCCTTTTAGCGAAGTTGAGAATCGCCTTGAGTCCAAGCTCCTTTACGTCCTGAGGGTCCAAAGTAATGGACCCCAGTATAGTCTGCCTATAGTAGCTCAGAGCTTCACAGCGACACAAAACGTGCGCCGAGGTCTCTTCCTCTACTCCGCAGCGTTCGGACAAGGGATCCTCAGCCACCCCCATCACGTGCAGGTGCCGCCTTAACGTGTTATGGCCAGACAACAGTCCCACCAGCAACCTTAGGTTGGCTCTACCCAGAGATAGGCAGAAGCGTCCATCCTTAGCACTGGGCCCTTCAATGAGCTCTCGTGCCTGGCGGAGATGTCTAGAGATACTTCTCCATTTCTGAGAGTGTTGTCTTGCAACCCACGTCTCCATTTTCCTCCTAGTAAAGCTAGTTAGTATTGATTTACCTATAGCTGTAGTCAGTCTTGTCTGTAGTACGAGGGATGCCTTTTAAGTTTTGCATATGGAAATACAACACGGTAGGTAGTTTTAAATGAATTTATTGTTTTTCGAAGTATTCTCCACGAAGATTAATACACATCTGCATGCGCTCGGACCAATTTGTGAAGCACTTATTCCACTCGTTTGCTGACAGATCCAAAACGGCATTTTTGAATGCGTCAACTGCTTCTTCTGGTGACTGGAACCTTTAACCACGCAGTCTGTTTTTAATTTTCGGGTAAGTAAAGAAATCGGTAGGACTTAGATCGGGACTATATGGAGGATGGTCCAATAATTACACGTTTTCTTCCTTTAAATACTGCCTTGATTTTTGGGTTGTGTGCGAGCTTGCATTGTCTTGGTGGAGGATGATTCTTCTTTCGGGGTTGATTTTTCGAAGCTCGGTGACGACTTTTGGCAAACAAATGGTGGTATACCAATCCGCAGTAACAGTTCTTTGCTCATTAAGAGGAATTGTTGCAATATGACCCGCTTTTGACACAAATGTTGCGACCATCTTTTTCGAAACACTTCGAAAACGGATGACTTTTGTTGGCTTTTCTTCATCTTGGAACACCCAAACAGCCGACTGTCGTTTATTTTCTGGTTCATAACAGTAAATACACGATTCATCGCCACTAACAATGCTGTACACATTTTTTGAGTTTCCGGAATTGAAACGGTCACGCTTTTTTTGACACCAATTAACCCTGGCTGCTTTCTGCTCTTCAGTCAACAGGAGGGGTATCCAACGAGAAACTAATTTTCTTACTCATAATTCTTCATGTAAATTTTTCGAAGTATTCTCCACGAAGATTAATACACATCTGCATGCGCTCGGACCAATTTGTGAAGCACTTATTCCACTCGTTTGCTGACAGATCCAAAACGTCATTTTTGAATGCGTCAACTGCTTCTTCTGGTGACTGGAACCTTTAACCACGCAGTCTGTTTTTAATTTTCGGGGAAGTAAAGAAATCGGTAGGACTTAGATTGGGACTATATGGAGGATGGTCCAATAATTACAGGTGTTCTTCCTTTAAATACTGCCTTGATTTTGGGGCTGTGTGCGAGCTTGCATTGTCTTGGTGGAGGATGATTCTTCTTTCGGGGTTGATTTTTCGAAGCTCGGTGACGACTTTTGGCAAACAAATGGTGGTATACCAATCCGCAGTAACAGTTCTTTGCTCATTAAGAGGAATTGTTGCAATATGACCCGCTTTTGACACAAATGTTGCGACCATCTTTTTCGAAACACTTCGAGAACGGATGACTTTTGTTGGCTTTTCTTCATCTTGGAACACCCAAACAGCCGACTGTCGTTTATTTTGTGGTTCATAACAGTAAATACACGATTCATCACCACTAACAATGCTGTACACATTTTTTGAGTTTCCGGAATTGATACGGTCACGCTTTTTTTTGACACCAATTAACCCTGGCTGCTTTCTGCTCTTCAGTCAACAGGAGGGGTATCCAACGAGAAACTAATTTTCTTACTCATAATTCTTCATGTAAATTTTTTTGGATCGAGGTCTTTGAGATCTTCAAGGACGCCTCAATCTCGCGATATGTCACATGTCTATGTTCAATGATGAGTTTGCGCACAGCATCGATGTTTTCCTGGGTGACTGCCGTTTTTGGTGCACCCACCCTTGGATCGTCGCTAAGACTCACCCGTCTGCGTTTCAATTCTCCATACCAACGGGAAATTGTCGACTGATGTGGCGCTTCGTTGCCGAAAACAGACAGTAACTCAGCAAGGCATTCTTGTTGTCTCTGAAAGTTCTAATAAATTATGGCGCGAAAATGTTCTCGGTTGAGTTCCATTTTTCTAATGACTTGGTGACATTTAAAAATTCACTGTAGTGAGAACCCTGCACGTATTGTTATGAAACTTTGAATTTAAGTTTACTAAAGAGTGAGGTTAAGATTCAGTACTGACGTTCGATCCGCGTGGCCTACTATGTTTCTATATGCAAAACTTAAAAGACATCCCTTGTATCTATGCAGTTTTCTATTCAAATTCAAAAATAGATTCTTTTTTAATGATTACAGATCATGATGATTGTTGTTATTTTACATCACTGTCATGACGGTTTGAAAAAGAATGTTATTTGCTACTTTATTCAAAACATTTCACTATTTACTGGTACCATAAATGTTTTTTTATATACCTGTAATGTCCCTCCTAGATACACAGGCACATGATGCTTGAAAATAAGATTCCCAAGAACACCTAAAATGGTCATACAAATAATAGGGTTCATAAAAATACTTTTTGTCACAGAGATAGCCAATCTGCAACGTTGCTTGTGGAGGTTAGAAGCATTGGACAGTTCCCCATCATTCAAGAGAAGCTCTGCAGAGTTCCTTCTACCTCTCAATTTGCCCGCTTCCATCAGTACAAAGGATACAGGGTTGAGAATGGCCAAACTTATAGGGGCCATGAGGTATAGGTATGTTGCATATTCAGGATGGGTATTTTTGTATAATGCAGCAACTGGAAATAGGTATAGTGAATATAATGAAGGATTATTCAATCTATATAATCCCAGATTTAACACTCAATATAGAAAGAAAAGCTATGTAACTTTGCTAAAACAAATTCTCTTGTACTTGTACATCTATTTTTAGAAGCTGTTATTATTGTTTGTATGTTGGAATGCATATTAGTACATATTTGTGAGACCAATCTTGGAACTCAATTTTAAAGCAGTTAAGTTTCACCAATCATGCTGGAATTTTGTACACACCTTTGGTTTTACCTGACAATACAAAAAATTAACTGCCGCCATTTTGAATCCAATATGGCGGATGCTACAAAATGGCCATTCGTCATTTCCATATACAGGGTGGGGCATAACTGTCTCCCTATTTTCAAAGCTTAATAAAACAAATGTTATTTGGAATACTATGGATTTATTTTGAAATCTTAAAAGTGCAACTCAAACAGTTTTATTTTATGTGGTTTTGAAAATAATATCGGCAAGGTGCTTTCCACCATTATCACAGCATTGCCGCAAGCGCTTTCTGAAGTTCGGGGGAGCGCGCAGGCCAAGGAATATCGCCTCTAAGGGAGATCAAGCGTCCGGGGAACAGTTCTCTCAAAATGCCTAATGATGCTCGGGATGTGTGGGCTGTCGCCCCATCCTGCTGAAACCAGGCATTCTGCACATTGAATTCTGCAAGAGATGGGACAAAAAAATTCTGAATCATCGCTACGTAGCGTTCCGAGTGGACGGTGACAGCCCGATTACCTTCTTCAAAAAAGTAAGGCCCAACCGGGCGGCACCGAATGGAAGTGGGGATAGCGTCAGTACAAGCGGCAAGTTGAACAGTTTCAGGTTAGAACAGGTTTCAGTTTGAAACAGCATGTGGACCGACGCACAGCGCGCATTCGCCGTGGAAGCGTACATCCACGAAAATGGATCCGTTATCGCAACGAGCGTTCCGTATGCAATTTGAAATTCCTCGTAACCGACCAGTGCCAGACCGAAAATCAATTGTTTTGTGGGTGAAAAATTTCAGAGCAACTGGAACTGTTATCAGGAGAGGAGCTGGACGTCCACGAACAGCTCGGACGCCCGAAAACATAGAGAGAGTCAGACGCTCAGTGGAACACTCCCCAACCGCTCTGCACGCAGACATACAGACGCCCTTCGCCTCTCTAATCGCTCTTTACGAACAATTCTTCATCAAGACCTACATTTTCATCCATACAAGATGGTTATTGTACAGGAATTATCACCACGTGATTGGAACAATCGACTAGCTGCATGTCAAGACATGATTGCAAAGTTACCTCAGGAGGCGGTTTTTTTTAGTGACGAGGCACATTTTTATTTGTCTGGCTGCGTGAACAAACAAAATTTTCGGTTCTGGTGTGCCGAAAACCCAAGAGAGATACACCAAAAGCCTCTGCATAGTGAGAAAGTCACAGTTTGGTGCGCCGTGTCAGAAACTGGGATATTTGGGCCTTACTTTTTTGAAGAAGGTAATCGGGCTGTCACCGTCAACTCGGAACACTACGTAGCGATGATTCAGAATTTTTTTGTCCCAGCTCTTGCAGAATTCAATGTGCAGAATGCCTGGTTTCAGCAGGATGGGGCGACAGCTCCACACATCCCGAGCATCATTAGGCATTTTGAGAGAACTGTTCCCCGGACGCTTGATCTCCCTTAGAGGCGATATTCCTTGGCCTGCGCGCTCCCCGGATTTGTCGCCTTGCGATTTCTTTCTGTGGGGCTATCTTAAGGCTCAAGTCTTTCAACATCGTCCAAGGACCTTACCACAGCTGAAGGAGGCAATCCGTCTGGAAATTGGCCGAATACCGCAAGCAATGTTAGTTAGAGTTATGCAAAACTTCAGAAAGCGCTTGCGGCAATGCTATGATAATGGTGGAAAGCACCTTGCCGATATTATTTTCAAAACCACATAAAATAAAACTGTTTGAGTTGCACTTTTAAGATTTCAAAATAAATCCATAGTATTCCAAATAACATTTGTTTTATTAAGCTTTGAAAATAGGGAGACAGTTATGCCCCACCCTAGCAACCCCTATTATATGAGTATCAAGTGAAGGGCATTTCTGAGAGACAATATAAGCAAAGTGACATCATTTTAAATCCATAACCAACATTTTTAAATTTTTTGTACATTTTATTAACCACTAAGTAGAAGCTTGGTGTTGAACAAAACATATATCAATCTGTCAAATACAGCTAAATGCAACTTATGTCAACAATAGATGAAAACTACTTGCAACATACTAAACAGACGACAAAAATAAATAAATAAAAAAATATGATTATACTCACCTATGGGGTATCCAATAGCAAAATCATTACTCTGTGTGCAGAAAATCGCAAAAATTCCTGCTTTGCCATAGTTTAGTGGACGAGAGACTAGCAAAGTGAGAATTATCACAGAAAAGAAAACTATACTTTTTGCTATTAAAATAGATAATAAAAACAGCCAATTCACTTCACTTAATTCTAGATCTGCTAAGGACATGAAAATCAGAGAAGGTAGAGAAAAAGTTCCAATGAATGTATTTATTCCTTTGGCTTCTGTTTCTGATATCAGGTTTACTCTTCCGGCAAAGTACCTTAAAGTGTTTGATTCATTAATCAACAGATAACACAGAACTGCCAAATCACTACTTACCCACAGATTATGATGAAGAAGCATTGTGTTAATGCTGGATACAGGTTGTCTATTGAAGCACTAACAGAGTTTTCCAAAGTATAATTATCCATTGTTAAAAGTATAGTATTTTACCATTATTCACCAATTTTATTTCAGATAATAATCATCTTCAAGCTGAAAATCAATAAAATCATAAATATGCTATTAATGCAAACCAGTGTTTTGATAACAAGTATCAGCACTTGATAAAAAAGGTACTTACTCCGACTGTCGCAACATCTTCGGCAATTAAATTATTAGCGTTCACATGATTTTTTTCAATTAGGTTCATATTATTTTGATTTCCCTTGTATATGTCACGAAGTGTCTCGAGTGATAAAATTGATAACCCTGACCTTCGATCACATGCTTTACGTCACTTGAATGACTGTCAGAAGACATGACAGTAGTGAACAAAGGATCACATAACAGAAGAAGAGGAAGAAAAGATAATAACTCGCTCCTCTTTCTCTCTGTCAATAACAACAGAGATTCCGTCCTCCATTTTCGTCCCAGCATATAACCACTCTACTAGTTGACGTCGGCTGTGATATAACGCTCATCAAGCTGATACATTAGCATATGATCATTTTGTTTATAACGTTGGTGGCCGTGGAACCGTGGAAGGGTCTAACGAAATACTTACGTCACTTGATGATTGAAGTTTGACAAGTGAAAAAATATTGAATACATTTTTTATTTTTTACAATTTTATGGAGCTATTTTAATAGATTCCCAGCATTAATGCCACTATTAATCAACAGAAAACAGTTAGGAAAGTGATCTTTGAGTAATAATGGCAAGAGATTATGATCATCTATTCAAATTGCTCATAATAGGCGATAGTGGTAAGCAAAATATCAGGGGTGGGGTTTATTAAAGCCCAAACCTCCATAATTCCCTCTATTTATTAATAATTACTTCTAGGAGTCGGTAAGAGCTCTCTGCTGCTTAGGTTCTCAGACAATACATTCACAGGAAGCTACATCACAACAATTGGTGTAGACTTCAAAATCAAAACGGTGAACATCAATGGGCAGAAAGTTAAACTGCAAATATGGGATACTGCGGGCCAGGAACGATTCCGGACAATAACTAGTACCTATTACAGAGGTACACACGGAGTTATAGTAGTTTATGATGTAACAAATGGAGAGAGCTTTGCAAATGTAAAAAGGTGGTTGCATGAAATTGAACAGAACTGTGATCTTGTTAATAAAGTATTAGGTAAGATCATCAATAGAAATATAAGCTTTTATGATTATTTGTAGAATGTTGATAGTAATGATACCTGAAAACCTTATCTATTTGAGTTGAGGCTTTGTATTTTGATTCCTTTTACCATTTTTATAATCTGATCATTTTTAATCATATACAAGGCTTGGGCATGTGTCTGAAGGCTTGAACAGTCATCAAAGAAAATAAAATATGCTTTGTTTTAAATTGTCAGATGCAGTTATAATAGTAAGCAACCAGTTACAGTTAACTATAATTATTAGTTATAATTCCCTATTAGGTGTAATTCTCAGTAATAAGTTGCAGTCAGCTATAATTGTCAGTTGCAATTTGCTATTAGCTATATTTTCTAGTTAGAAGTTGCAATTAGCTATGTTGCTGTCATAAGATGGTCATTCCTCCATTATTTCAATTTTGAGTTAAGTATGCATCATTAGTAGTATTTAGGCCTGTATCGTCAGTCGTCCCTACAATTGTAGGGCGCGTTTATGGCCTCCTTGATGGTCATAGTTTTCTACTTCTCCGTGTCAGCGCTCCATTTTCAGGTTATGTCACAAATATCTGTTTGCATCAAATTGTGCTTGCTTTTGAGTTGTATCATGTTTTATCAGCCTGAAATTTCCTACAATTTAAAAAGAAAACATATCTTCACAATAGGAGAGCGCTGACGCTGACACGGGACAAGTGTAATCTAGAAATTTTTGAAGGAGAGAAAGGAGTATGACAATCAAGGAGGCCATAAACGCGCCCTACAATTGTAGGGACGACTGACGATACAGGCCTTAGACTATGTAAAAATGCACATTGAATTTGACAATATTATGTAATAAGTGATATATTTATCTTGATAAGGCCTAAGAGTCATACTGTTAGGCTTTATGTGCAATTAAACAAACACATCTTATGATTAAATATGTGAGGCAAATGTTACATAAAATCTCATATCCAACAATGCAAATTTGGAAAACTGTACCCAACTTGCCACCAAGTATTTACTGTCTTCTAAGTTAAATACCCAGTTGGATTTATGTGTCCATTATCTGTTGTCATTGTTTTCCAACAAATGCACAAAATGTAGCACTTCTAATTTTAATTATCATAATATACAGGTCATAACATTCTAAGGGCAGATTTAGGATTTCGTCTAGGGGGGGCACAAAATATTTGGGGCTGGTCATTTTTTAACCTCAGTGGAACTTCTAGAATTTATCCAAATTGCGCAACAGGGTCTACTAGTATGTACTAAGCTTAAGGATTAAGACTCTGAACTGCCCACTAAACAAATCAAGAAAATGGTGCAAATACTTCTATTATATCAGCAGGTGATAAAAATATCAATTGAAGAACTGGGAAAAGCTTCCTCTTGTAGATTGTTCCACAATCTCGACACCCTCGGGAGAAACGAGCGGTCGTAACGGCCAGTTCTGGATGTACGAAGTTCGACACGGTTAGGATGGAAGGTCAAAGTCAGGCGGGTCTGTCTGGCAGGCACATCGCGCGGCGGAATCATGGAAGAGAGCTCTGAGGAGCAAAGCCTGTTGATGTAGTAGAAGAGAGCTAGATCGCCGACGGCCCGCCGGTACGAAAGGGTCCCGAGACTGTCTATCTTATATCTTGCGGCCAGAGATACCAGAGACCCATTTGCAAAGCTTTTCTGGGAGGCCATAGGATGGAGGTTTGCTTAAAAGGGCAGCGAGCCACAGCTGATTGAATGCTTTCATGATGTCATAGCAACGACAATAGCCTCACTATAAGACTGGATGAGTTTACTCCACAATTGCGTGACTTAAGCTATGTGGATTGCTGGTGCCGGAAACCATACTGCCTGTCGCTAATCAAGCTGTGACGTTCGAGGTAGTCCAGAAGCTCGCGATTTATACACCTCTCCATCACCTAACAGAAAGTAGAGCTATAGGCCTGTAGTTGCTAGGGTCAGTCTTAGATCCCTTTTTTGGGATGGGTTGGACATGAGTGAATTTCCAGTTTTCTGGGAAGGTGCCAGATTCATAAGATATCTGGAAGAGACGCGTAAGAACAGGAGCAAGCTCGGCTGCACACCTCTTCAGTACAATGGCAGGAATCAAGTCCAGACCAGAAGGTTTGTTGATGTCAAGCGACAAGAGCACTCGTCTTACGGTCTTTTGCCTGAATGTTACCTCTCTAGAGTAGGGAACCTTTTGAATTGACGGCGTTGGTGGGAACGTCCATGGTGGAATTGGCAGCAAAGATCATGGCAAGCACTTCCGCCCTGGCCTTTGAGTCGGATACAATCGTTCCATTCTGACACGTAAGTTGTGGAAGGCAACTATGTGAGAAGTTCTTTTCAATCTGCTTGGCCAGCGTCCAGAAAGACCGACTGCCATTGCGCTGTACATTACCCTGTGCCTAGCTTTTATATCGAGCTGGTTTTTGGCATTGCGAACCGCTTAGTTATATTTGTTTGTGGACTCGACGTCGGCTTGTCTGTTCTCCACAGTGGGGTTTTGTAAGAAGGTTCAGTGTACCTTAATATTCTACTGGCGAGCAGTGTCACACGATTTGTTAAACCAGCCATTAGACCCTGGTTTAGGCACCTTCCTGTATGAAGGATGTATTCCGACGTGGATATTTTCGAAGAACAGACAGCCGACGCATCTGCGTCAGTGAAACAGATCTCTCCAAGGAAAGATAGAGAAGAGGTTTGTGAGCCCCTCCCAGTCGGCATGTCCGTAATGCCAAATTTAACCTAGCTAGCTAACCTCCACAACACAGTGGTCTGAGATACCCAGAGGGACAGGCTACTGGCATGTGACGAGACGCGGAGAAAAAGTAGGGCTCGTCACAAGCTGGGTCAGCCCTTGAGTAAGAGCAAACGCTTCAACTGCACGACCAGCTGCATGGGTCTTGTTTGAGTCCAACCAAAGCAAATTATGGTCATTGAAATCACTGAGGAGAACTGCCTCTGAAGCGGGGTGTTTGATATTCAGGAAGTCGATCTTGACGGCGAGGTATTCAAGGTCATTCCAGTTATATAGCAAATAAATTTGGGTGATGTTTTGGAGTTAAGGCGAAGCCACAGAATGTCCTTCCGGTCTGATTCCAGAGAAACATCTCTGCAGCAGGAAAGACTGGTGCGGACAAAGGTCACAACTCCCCGTTCTTTCTTAGATTGGTGTGCACCTCGTAATTTGGAAAGCTAAGATGGCTAATCGGTGCACAGTCTGAGATTTTTGTCTCTGCCAAGAAAAGCATGGCGGGACAATTGAATTGCAAGTAGTGATGCATAGCATCAGTGTTGCTGTTAATCCCGCAGGTGTTCGTGAAACAATTTTATCTTTGATGTTGTTCCCTCGAGTCCACCCTCCACCCGGACATTCCGAGAGTGAAGTGCGTTTACGTCCGGAATTCTTAGTACTCGAGGATCCATCATCATTAATTTCTTTGTTTTGGAAGATAACCGACTGCATAGCTTAGGTGTGGAAACATGCGGACATCTATAAGACACCGTGGGAAAAGCTAGCGGGTGGTACCGCCTCGGTCGACTGGTGCTTGTCTAACACCTTCTGCGTATTAATGATACTAAATAGACCTAAAATTGTCCGTTGGAGGACTTGTACCGTCACCCGGCAATCGGTACTGAGGTATTCCTTAACTCGTGTACAATCACTTGAACAGGAAGAAGTTGTATGCTGGATACAACAACTTCCGGAATAAGCATTTGCCACGGCCCCGCTCAGTAGGGGTTGAGGTTTTTGAAATTCAATATAGATGTTACAGCTATTTTTCAGACTTTCGTTGTCGAACTTAGATTTACGGCATTGTTGTTTTCGAACCGGTGTTGATCGCATGTAAAAATGTTGGAAATCCTTGGAAAAAACTATATCTGTTAGATCGTACAATTATTTTGATAATGTATGTTTGTACGAAACAAGTACAGGAATACAGGGCTGTACATATTCACGTGTAGCGCAGCAGCTCTGTGGCTTAAACAAATTCAATATACGTAGCAACATAAATAGACACGTGGGAAGAGATGCGGGACGTGTGGTATTGAGTTTGAGCATCGATCGACGCAGTTTCTGAACAGGCCACAGGCTAAACAAATCTCATAAATATCTATTTCCAATTTAGGCGTCCATCTAACATAGTGCTTTGCTGCAACACCAACCCTGAACAAAATCAGTCAAGCTTTACACATTTTTCACATTACTATTGAGCAGCAAACAGGACATAAATTACTTTTTAAGTGCAATCTGTATAGCTAATATATTACCCAGACTTAGATTTGTCACAAGTTACAATATTCGTATATACATATAAATTGTAAGAATTGTGCTGTAAACGTAAGTGATGCCAAAAATGAGCGTTTGGAATACCAAAGGATACCAAAAAATCGCAATGCTCAGTTCCTATAGCTATAACTTATAGTTAGTATGCCTCTGTCGCCATGATGTGTCAGAAAGTAACACAATGGTGTTAGATTACAAAAGCAAGTGTCAGACGTCTAGGGGGGCCTCTAAATGCGCCACTGTAACATTCATAGCCTTAAGTACAGTTTTTTCACAGAATAACGTATTGTATTGGAACCTAAACAAATTTACTCATTTTTCTTGAAACGTAGATAAGACATTCTCTGCTGCAACAGCAGTATAAGGTGTCTATTATATTGTATCAATTTTGTCTACTCCTTATTGGTCCCATAGACCAATTATTGTAACTACTGTATTATCCGTTGGAATGATACACAAAGATATTTTCCTTTTGTTGAATCAATTTATGTGCAGTCTACGTAGTCGTGCCATAAGTTCTGTCCCATGATAATCTCATGATAAAAATGAAACAAGATAAGATATATTTATATGAAAGATATTATTTATTCGACAACATTTTTAGAATTCATAATCAAACAGTTTTATTCAAAATGTCCCCACTTGGCCTTCACACACTGCTTCAATCTCGCGGGCCACTCATCTATCACTGCACGCACAGCTTCCAAAGGAATAGCTGCCGCTGATCGGATCAAATCCGCTTTCAGGGACTCGATATTACGGTGGGCTTTGGAGCAGGCCAACTGCTCTAGCAGGTCCCACAACTTGTAGTCTAAAGGATTGAGGTCCGGACTCCCTGAGGGCCAATCTTCCGCAGCAATGAACTCTGGCACATTGCTTTCCAGCCAGCGCTGCGTACTCTTAGCCTTGTGAGCGGGGGCGGAATCCTGCTGGTAGACCCAGTGTTGGTTGGCAAACAATGTACCACTTAAAGGCTTGACGATAGGATCCAGTATGTCGCTCTGATAGTTTGCCGCTTTTGTTTTCACGCCCTGTTTACAGAAATGGAGCTGAGTGACCCCTTCGTAGGACACCCCCCACCAAACCATGACTGACGCAGGGTGGTGGCCTCTCTCAACTCTCGGAATGATCTCCGAAGCTTCCTGTGAACTCCTTGCATACACTTTGTCATTTTGTCGGTTGAATTTTTCTTCTATGGTGAAGATTTTCTCATCCGTGAACAAAATCTTTCGGAATCCCCCAGCTGCGTACCTCTCCAAGAGCTTCTTGGATCTTGTCGCCCTGATGTGTCGCAAGGTGGCCGTAAGTCGCTGGCCCGTACGTCTCCGGTAAGCCCCTAGCCCTAGGTCTTGTTTAATGATGCGCGACATCGTCCGGACAGGAATCTTCATTTCCCTGGATAGGATCTTCTGCTTCCGGAGTGGATTCCTTTGAATCCTGGCTTTTACGGCTTTGATGGCTGCTGGAGTCCTTACTTGACGAGGTCTTCCGCTTCTTGGCCTGTCATCAACAGAGGACGTCTCATTGTACCGCTGAATGGTCCTAGACACAAATTTACGCGATATTTGAAGGCCGCGTAAGAGTTCAAAAATCTGACTAGCACTGTGATTACACTTATGTAAAGCTATCACTGCAATACGGTTCTCTGCCTTGCCCCACTCCATCGTTATGCTTCGAGAGATCAATACAAACTGAGGTATATGTAATTACCCGAAAAGCGCTTAATCAACTGACACCACAATGTAAACAATCGGACAAGTATTAACAGGTCTACACTTGTTTGAAAACGAGGGACAGAACTTATGGCATGACTACGTATAATAATTAATGTGAATAAATATAATTATTATTTGCAATTAACTATAAATATCACTGCCCCTACTGAGTGAGGGCCGTGGCAAATGCTTGTTCCGGAAGTTGTTGTATCCAGTATACAACTTCTTCCCGTCCAAGTGATTGTGCACGCGTTAAGGAATACCTCAATACCGATTGCCGGGTGGCGGTACAAGTCCGCCAACGGGCCACTTTAGGTCTATTTAACATCACTAACACGTAAAAAGAAGGTGGTAGACAAGGACCAGTCGACCGAGGCAGTACCACCCGCTAGCTTTTCCCAGGGTGTCTTATAAATGTCCGCATGTTTCCACACCTAAGCTATGCAGTCGGTTATCTACCAAAACAAAGAAATGAATGATGATGGATCCCTCGAGCACTAAAAACTCCGAACGTAAACTCACTCCACTCTCGGAATGTCCGGGTGGAGGGTGGACTCGAGGGAACAACATCGAAGATAAAGTTTGTTTTTCGAACATCTGCGGGATCAACAGCAACATTGATGCTGTTCATCACTACCTGCAATCCAATCGTCCCGCCGTGCTTTTCTTGGCTGAGACAAAAATCTCAGAGACTGCACCGATTAACCATCTCAACTTCCCAAACTACGAGGTGCACTCCAATCTGAGAAAGAACGGGGGAGTTGTGGCTTTTGTCCGCAGCAGTCTTTCCTGCTCCAGGGATCTTTCTCTGGAATCAGACCGGAAGGACATTCTGTGGCTTCGCCTCAATTCCAAAACATCACCCAAATTTATTTGCTGCCTTTATCGCTCTCCCTCGAACCATAACTGGGATGACCTACTCGAATACCTCGCCGTCCAGATCGACTTCCTGAACATCAATCACCCCGCTTCAGAGGTAGTTCTTCTCGGTGATTTCAATGCCCATAATGAGCTTTGGTTGGGCTCAAATAAGACCGATGCAGCAGGTCGTGCAGTCGAAGCGTTCGCTCTTACTCAAGGGGTGACCCAGCTGGTGACGAGCCCTACTTTTTTCCCCCGCGTCTCGTCACACGCCAGTAGCCTGCTGGATCTCTTTCTGACCACGCATCCTGCCCCTTACAGCACTGCTGTCCTGTCCCCCCTGGGTAACTCAGATCACGGTGTTGTGGAGGTTAGGTTTCGGTCAGAAGCCGCTGTGGCAGCAGAAACTCGCACAGGCCGCAAAACTTGGCATTACGGACATGCCGACTGGAAGGGGCTCAGAGACTTCTTCTCTAGCTTTCCTTGGAAAGATGTCTGTTTCACTGACGCGGATGCGTCGACGGTCTGTTCTTCAATAACAGAAATTATCCACGTCGGAATGGAGGAATACATCCCTCACACAGTGAAAGAGAACAGACAAGCCGACGTCGAGTCCAGAAACAAATATAACGAAGCGGTTCGCAATGCCAAAAACCAGCATGATATAAAAGTTAGGCGTAGGGTAATGTCGCAGCGCAATGGCAGTCGGTCTTTCTGGACGCTGGCCAAGCAGATTGAAAAGAACTTCTCACACAGTAGCCTTCCACCACTTACGTGTCCGGATGAAACTATTGTATTCGACTCAAAGGCCAAGGCGGAAGTGCTAGCCAAGATCTTTGCTGCCAACTCCACCATGGACGTCCCCACCAACGCCCAAGTGCCGTCAATTCAAAGGGTTCCCCACACTATGCGGGAGGTAACATTCAGGCATAAGACCGTAAGACGAGTGCTCTTGACGCTCGACATCAACAAAGCTTCTGGTCCGGACTTGATTCCTGCCATTGTACTAAAGAGATGTGCAGCGGAGCTTGCTCCAGTTCTTTCGCGTCTCTTCCAGATATCTTATGAATCCGGCACCTTCCCAGAAAACTGGAAATTTGCTCATGTACAGCCCATCCCAAAAAAAGGATCTAAAACCGACCCTTACAACTACAGGCCTATAGCTCTGCTTTCTGATATAAGTAAAGTGATGGAGAGGTGCATAAATCGCGAGCTTCTGGACTACCTCGAACGTCACAGCTTGATTAGCGACAGGCAGTACGGTTTCCGGCACCAATGATCCACAGGGGACCTCCTAGCTTACGTCACGCAACTGTGGAGTAAACTCATCCAGTCTCATGGTGAGGCTCATGTCGTTGCTCTTGACATCACGAAAGCGTTCGATCAGCTGTGGCACGCTGCCCTCTTAAGCAAACTTCCATCCTACGGCCTCCCAGAAAAGCTTTGCAGATGGGTGGCTGACTTTATCTCTGGCCGCAAGATATCCGTCGTAATTGACGGATTCTCCTCTTCATCCCACAACGTCAACGCGGGTGTTCCCCAGGGATCGGTCTTGGCTCCAACACTGTTTCTCTTACATATCAACGACCTCCTTTCCTGCACGATCAACACAATCCACAGCTTCGCTGATGACAGCACTCTACATGCAGGAATTCAGACTGACAAGCCGATCTCTGCCGCTGAGTTGGAAAAAAGAAGACTAGCGACGACTTCTTCTCTGACAAGAGACCTGGAGGCTATCACTGCTTGGGGACGCAACAATCTTGTACAGTTCAATGCTTCCAAAACACAGTACTGTACTTTGACGAACAAAAAGCGTCCTAGCGCTCATACAGTTTCGATGGACGGTCGAGTTCTACCAAAGAGCCATTCATTTCGGCTGGTCGGAGTCCAGATCACCGAGGACCTGATCTGGCACGAACACATCTCTTCAATAGCTGCAGCTGCTGGGAAAAAGCTAGGCTATTTGTTTAGGGCTAAGAAGTACTTTTCTCCGCATGACCTTCTCACTCTATACAAGGCCCAGATAAGCCCTAGCCTCGAGTATTGCTCACGCATTTGGGGTGCTGCCGCCCCGACTACATTGTCCATGCTCGATGCTGTCCAGAGGAGGGCGGTCCGACTGATCGATGACTCTTCTCTAACAGACAGTCTCGGGACTCTTTCGCACCGGCGGGCCGTCGGCGATCTAGCTCTTTTCTATCGCTACACCAACGGGCTTTGCTCCTCAGAGCTCTCTTCCATGATGCCGCCGCGCGATGTGCCTGCCAGACAGACCCGCCTGACTTCGGCGTCCCATCCTAACCGTGTCAAACTTCGTACATCCAGAACTGGCCGATACGACCGCTCCTTTGTCGCGAGGGTGTCTAGATTGTGGAACAATCTACGGAAGGAAGCTTTTCCCAGTTCTACTAACCTTAGGCAGTTCAAAAATCGTATTAACAAAATTTCTTTGGGATCATCATAGCAGCCGCGGTGTTCCGACATTTAGGCTTCTGCCTGCGCGGCTGTTTCGATATAAAAAAAAAATCAGTTACAATGTAATTAGCTATAATTATCAGTTGTAATTGTAACTTATTACTAAACATTATGTGAATCTTATTTCAGTTGGAAACAAAAATGATACTCCAGAACGAAAAGTAGTCCTAACCGAAGACGCTCAACGTTTTGCAGACACCATGAACATCCAACTGTTTGAAACATCTGCCAAGGACAACATCAATGTAGAAGAAATGTTCATGGCGATCACGCGTCTGGTGCTGCGGTCAAAGTTGGACATGCAAGAGCGACAGAATGACAGGACTCAAAATGACACGGTCAATTTGAGGAAAACAAATAAACAAGGAAGGAAGAAATGTTGTTAGCCAATTTTAATGGAGCGTGTCAGATTACGAAGGCCATCTTGAAGGTGGCTGTTTTAATTGAATTTCAGTTTTGTTGGTACAGCTACAATATGGGATGAGTTGGTAAAAAAAAAGTAGTAGTTGGAATCCCAGAATTATGCATCCACGATTTTATTCAAAAATCAGAATTCTTGACTTAAACAAAATTGCATTTTAACTAGCTGAAATATTATATTCATTTTTCAAGGATGATGCAATTTATCATCGTTCTTTCACTTGTTCTGCAAAACAAGTATTTAAAATATTTAAATTGAAATTGAACGAAATGAACACTCTACAATTCAGATGTCAATAGAACGTGAACATACAACACTTCACGTGTCAAAGCTTAATCTCCTAAGCAAACATTAGATCACCTTTTAAGGAAAATAAGCCTATTATGTCATGCTAGAACGTATTACAAAACAGCTGATTGTAGTTTGAAGGGCATTTTTGCCACTGCTCATTCATGGAAAGAAAAGTTTTGGATGAGCAAAATTCATGCTGATAATCCTCCATGTTTGTCTGACTGCTAAATGAAACCTCATGTTTGAATTATCATGGTGGCCAAAACGTATCAGTAAACAACAGTATTCAAACATATGTGGTTTCGTTTAGCGGCCAAACAAACATGAAGGATTATTAGCAATATTCATATTCCATCATCTTTTCCATTTGGAAAATACCCCATTGCAAGTGTAATAAAAAATGTACATTTATGTTTTGGAGTTGAACATGTGTTATTGCATATAAGTTACCATAGATCGGCTGTATGAATCCAGATAATTCATTCTAAATAGTTTATACATTTTAATAACATATTACATAATATAAACAATGCTCTCTATTTTAAGTATTGAATTAAAATATATCGTAATTTTGTATACTCTTTTGGTTGTATTAAAGTGATATACACCTTACCTACTGTTGACAATAGCAAATTTAGTTCTATAGCAAACTATGATTCCTTATTACATAAACATAATTATAATACTCATGAGCAGATGGATTAAATTTGAAGGCTACCTTCAGCATCACAATAATTGAAATCTTCTTGTGAATATTATATGTTATATAGATATAGATTTTAATTTATAACAAACCAGCCATACAAAACTATTACAAATTAGATATCTGGATTTTTGCCACTTCAATATATTTATTAACAGCACATCCATTTTGTAGCTGTGTCAAACATCTATTTTATCATTTACAGGTCTGTATATAACCAAAATTTGTAAATATAATGACTATTTTAAGTAAAATTAAATCAATGTTTTAAAAATTACATATTTTAGTTCTTCATAGAATAATGTGATGTGCGAAATTAATAAAAGTGTTCTTCCTGTTTAAAATAAATATAAACGGCCATTAATTAATTCTTGGAGAATTTTTATATAAAAGTTGATAAAAAGTATAAAAACCTGAGATAACTGTAACTTCCATGTTCTGAATTCCTTTATTTGCATTTCATAATTTCAATCAGTAATGCATATCCTCGCATGTTTGTTTAACAGCATTTTTAAATTCATTGAAATTATATCAGTGGTGCATTTATTAATTTTATGTTAATATTCCTACTTGTTAAAAGTATGTGTATTTTGTTTATGGAATTAAATGTATATTTGTTGTGAGGAAAAGTTTTTCACTCATTGCTTCCCGCGTTTTTTATTAAAAATGTGACAGGTAAGAAATAATAGCTTTGTACTTTTATAGGTTATTCAAAAAGTTTTCCCAATCCCGCTGTAAAGGTTAAAAAAGAGCTAAATTGAAAGCTCCAATATTATTTCGCATCTATACAATTTTGTAAGATATCTACTCTGCCCTCCAATTGTGGGTTTTCAAGATTTTCTGATTAAGTACTTGCAAGCGTTGTCTCAAGGTTTCTACAGACACAACTGCAAGCTTGTCCAGCATGCTTGTTCAATGTTTTTGTACAAGCTCGCTTGAATGTCTGTAGGGAAGTGTGGTGCAAGCTTTGTAATTGTACAAGCAGCTTGAGGATTGAATTGATTTTAATTATGCATGCTTGAATTAGGCGCGCTTGCGCAAGCAAAACAGTACGTGTGTACCCAAGATTTTCAAGCATGCACAAGTTGGGGTCCGTTGATGATCGTATCCTGCTTTTGAATCAAAGGTGATACAAGAGACAAGATTTTAATACATCTCTTCATCCATTCTAAGATAATTGTGCCAGTCACGCGGATATATTTTCAGCTCACTTAGTAAGTAAATGTGAGAATAGGTTTTCCCTTTTATCAACCATTCTTTACACCACACCGCACGGTTTTTTATTCGGGATTTTCTTTTCTTCACAAGAACAAAAGCGGCCAAAGCGAGCGAATCGCCGTCAGAGTTCGACATATTTAATTAAACTACCTCTATTTTTATCAAGCATGCTTGTACGTGTGGCGCCAAAGGCAAATTGTGCATACTTGTACAAAAAGAGCTTGCAGTTATGTTTGTAGCCACCTTTAGGGCCGTATCGTCAGTCGTTCCAACAATTATAGGACGCCTTTATGGCCTCCTTGATTTTCATAGTTTCCTACTGATCCTACTTTTGCGTGTCAGCGCTCTATTTTGAGGTTATGTTACAAACATCTATTTGCATCAAATTGTTCATGCTTTTGATTTATATTATCTATTTTATGAGCCTGAAATATCCTACAATTCATAATAGGGAGCGCTGACACGGAACAGTAGAAATGTAGAAAAATACCCCAGCCTTTCTGAAGCAGAGAAAAGACTATAATGGCCGATTGCACCAACGACTTTACGGATAACTTATTCGTTTCTTAACTTTAAGCAATCCTTAAAGGTACATTTTCGGTTGCACCAACGAAAAGTGAGGATTATTCTCCGATTAAACTGTCCTTAGTTAGCTAACGATCACTTAAACGGTACTTAGCGCACAGTGTGGTACATGGTTGCCAGACTTGATACTACATTTACACTCTCGCCTCGTGCTTCGTCTCGTATCACAGCTCGCACCTCGCACGATTGATGGTAAATGAGTGTCTGTTCACATTCTCGTGGTGAGTTCAGTTGTGTTCAAGCTAGCCAGAATGGAGGACGTCGAATTGTTAGCGGCAACAAGTCTTTGCTTACTGAGTTTCTACTGCTATGCAAATAATTTACATAAAAGAAAAATAAAAAAAAGACGGAAACCAAGAAGATGGTGGTTGTTATCAGTTCATCGCAACAGAACTCCGTAAATATCTATTTTGATTAAAATACAATTTTATTGTCGTTAAAAGTCGTAGGGAGGAACTTTTCACACCTCATAAGTATATTACATTTTTTAAATGTATTTCTTTTTTTAATTTTAGGCAAAGTATGGAAATAATGTTTCAAGAAATGCTCAATGAAGATTCTGGCGAGTTTAAGAATTTTTGCAGAATGTCGCCAAATGATTTTGATTTTTTGCTAAGCAAGGTGGAACCTTTAATTACCAAGCAAAAAACTGGACTCAGACTACCCATCCCAGCAAAAGTACGCTTAGCTCTAACTTTACGATTCTTAGCTTCAGGCGACAGCTACAGGAGCCTTCACTATCTATTCAAAATTTCTAGTGCAAGCATGACAAGCATTATACAAGAAGTGTGTATGGCTATCAACACAGTCTTAAAGGATCAAATTAAGGTAAGAAATTAAAGCACATACTTTACAAATCAATATGTATTTATTTATTTATTGATGTACAACTCGCATCAACTTCCATCTATACATATAACGTAGTACGTGTATGTTTATAATATAGTTCTTGCTTACATATATCGATTTATTAAAACTAATAGGGTTGGTCACTTAAAGCATGTAAGAACGCTGTATCTATAATGTTATTAGAATCAGGACGTTGTATAACTTCGTAAGAAAGGACAGTGGCACAATCTTGTGATGAAAAAACGGTATCAACAGTAGCAGTTCCTGAATGTGAGGATATAGTACCCAAAACTTGTGGTTGCAAGACATAGCTGTTACGAGAAGTAGGACGATCTGGGATAGATATTTGTATGGGTGATTGGTGTGGTTGCGATACATAGCTGTTACGAGAAGTAGGACGATCTGGGTTAGATATTTGTATGGGTGATTGTTGTGCTCTACTGGACGATGATGAAGAATATGTCGGCGATGGTGTATATCTGGAGTATGTGTCAAATTTCTGCAATTGTTGAGGAGGGTTTGCCAGAAGTAACCCATCAATGCCATGCATAATCTGACGCCGTTCTTGTTTTGAATATTCTCTCAATCTTGTAGCCAGTAACTGCGCGTACAAGTCGCACTCATCGTTTCAATTCCTGTTTAAGAACATGTTATTTAAATTAGATACCGTGTCTTTTATATGCTTGTGAATATCTGTTTCGCTATCTTCACGGGTACGCTTTTTTGTGATAGGTGATTTAAAGGTTTTTTTATTGTTCGCTGGTTTCTGTTTCTCGCTATTCTGTTCATCATGTTGGTCATTGGTAAGCTTGTTATTTTGCTAGTTATCATTGTGTGTTTCATCGTCGACATTGGGTAGAACTGGTGATATCTGAAATCAGATAAATCCATTATATTATTAATTTTAAAATATATATTATGTATTAAAAGCCAGGTAGCAGATACCACTACTAACAACATTTTTGTGTGGAATTCAAGAAAAAGAATTCGAATCGTAACCCATCAAGTGATAACCGGCGAAATTGGGCGGAGTAACAATTGATTATCTATTGTGTCTCGTTTTTCCGTAATTGAAGGGTTATTAATAATAATAGACAGAACTACACATCAGAGAAATTGTGGTTGACAAATGAGGACTCAAAATAATTTATGCTTTTTCTTCTATTTCAGATGCGGCGCACTACTACAGAATGGTTAAACATAGAAAGAGGTTTCAACAGGAAATACCCACATTGTGTAGGTTGCATCGATGGCAAACACGTTGTGATACAATGTCCAATCAACAGTGGCACAGAATACTATAATTATAAAGGAACATTTAGTTTTGTGCTCTTAGCTTTAGTTGACAGCAATTACCGCTTCATATTTGCCGATATTGGGGCTCAGGGCAGAATTAGCGACGGAGGAGTATTTAAAAATAGTTTACTTTGGGAAACAATTTCGACAGACACTATTATTTTACCTCCTGATAGTCCACTTTCTGAGGGACAATGTAATATGCCATATGTTTTTCTTGGAGATGGGGCATTTGCGTTAAGCAAACACGTGATGAAACCTTTTCCAGGAAACCATATCATGGGTTCATTACAACAAACTTTTAACATGAGATTATCTAGTACACGTGTTATCGTTGAAAATGTTTTTGGAGTTTTAACAACAGTTTTTAGGATATTTAAAAAGCCCATGGAAATTAGGAAAGATAAAGCTAAACTAATAACGATGACTTGTATTCTATTGCATAATTTTCTCAGAAATACTAGAACATCTAGAGACATTTACACACCTCCTGGTACCTTTGATACAGTTGTTGATGGTGAAATAATTAACGAAGGCTCTTGGAGACGAAATGTTTCTACTAATCAAGCTATAAGCCTATACCAACTGTAGGTCGACGTGCATCACAGAGCGCCATAGAAATAAGAAATGAGTTTGCTAGTTTTTTTCTAAGGCAAAATTGTTAAAATATTGGTACATGTTGTCATAAGATAGATTATAATACATTCATCGTATCAGATCCTTCATGGGTTAAAAAATCAGTCTAGCAGATATAATTTTAATAGTTGTTAAATTATATCTTCTAGACTAATTTTTTTAACCCATTTTAGCTAGTAATAGAGCTGAAAAAAATACTTGTTGTAGGTACTTATTCTTGATAGCAACAAGTGAATAAAGTATAAATGAATATGTAGTTTTAATTTACTTACAAGTCCTTCATGAAGTCCTTCTTCGGTGTTGATAGTGGTATGACACTTATAAACAGATGCCAAAAATGTTTCCATGGCATCGTAGTACAGCCACACTGGCTTATAAGCATCATCTTCTCCTGCACCGGATTGTAATGATTGTTTTTTGCGCCGCAGATGCTGACGAAAGGTTGCCATAAGAGAATTTTTTTTATTTTTTAACTCAGGTACAAGTCTACACATTTCTTCACTTAACCTTACCCAAGCATCGTTCAGTTTCTGGTTATTTTTGTGCAATTTGTTTTTGGGATCCCAAATGATTGGTTCTTTTTGGAATAGTTCCAAAAACTGGAATGTTTCTTTTTCGGACCACTCCATTTTGATTGATCTGCACAGCACGAGGTTGAAAACTTGAATGAAGCGAGAGCGCGAATGTAAACACCACGCTCGCGTTTGTTGCGAGGTCCTTTGACTCGTGCCCAAATTACCGCTCCGGACGCGAGCGCTGCGAGGCACGAGACGAGACGCGAGGCGAGCCGCGAGCAACTGTTTACACTCTCACCTTGTGCTTCGGCTCGTGCCTCGTCTCGCGACTCGTACGCGAGTGTAAATGAGCTATAATAGATTTGTCTCCATATTGGTGATTTTCTTTATACTTAGCAACTGTTTTTTGACTATACAACTAGTTATTTTTCTGGCAACTAAACCAAGCTGGGACTATTTTTGACTACACTGATACCAAGTACTGTGATAGAAGAGATATACTTGGTGATTTTGTCGACATTTCTCCATCCAACCGGTGAAATGATTGTCGTTGGACCTGCAACGTGGCAATCGTACGTGGGAAAACATAACCAAATAGTTTTGTCAAATACCAAAACAATTCTATTGTATATTTTCGTCTGTGTGGTGTAGAAGTGCTTTCTGAGGAAGGCCTTTTTGGTGTTATTGACTTGTTTTTTTTTTCGTCTTGATCGACTCCATTTTATATTTGATGTGATACCTTAAACAGGACCTTGAGCTGTAAAGTGTAGATATTACCCTATTAAGGTTGTATTGTGTTCGTGTGAGGTACAATGAAGTACTCATATTTGGATTATTTGGGCGACTTACCAGATATTCTGGATGATGATTTAGAGTTGGTAGATATTATTGTGATGGGACTACCCAGGCGCACTTATAGTCGGCCAAATTACTCTGAAGAAATGGATCCACTGGGTTTTTTCAGAAGGTTCCGGTTATACAAGGAAACAGTGTTGCATGTATTATCGCAAATATATAAGTTGACCCACTTCTAAGACAAATATCTATATGAATGCATTCATTTTAGGAATCACAGCATTTCACCAATGAATCAGCTTCTATGCTGCTTAAGGTACTATGAGAGTGCAGGTCATATTAGGCAAACTGCTTATTTTATGGGAATGCATGCAAGCACAGCTTGCAGAATTGTTGGAAGGGTATTAAGAACTATAGCCAGCTTATTCCCAAGTTATGTCAAAATTCAATTATTTAATTGTAACACAGGATATTGAAATGCCTACAATACAGAATCACAATGTCAATACTGCTCAAGAATAAATGATTAATTATATTGGAAATCTTTGAATGTTTCTTTTTCTCGAGTTATAATGCGAGGAATAAAATATTTTTGTTATATTTTCCCTTTTATTGTTTTTACATCACAACTATCGCCTTCAAACAAAACTATCACAAACTACAGTCTTCAAACAAAACTAAAGTATAAAAACTTTAATCTAAAAACAAAACAATAATATATTTTGAAAATATCACAGTATAGTAGTGATTTGACTAGCCAAATGCTACAACTTAAAAACTTCCAAGGAAATAAGTACATCAGTGATTAGCCTCTTAAGTACCAATGTATGGTCTGATAGACAGTTTTATATTTCCAAAAATTAAGTAGAATATGAAGAAACAACTGTTCTTGATTAGTAAAATTGTTGTGGTCTAGCCTAGTCACATCTTATGTAACAAAAATAACACTTTGGTACTTAAGAGTTAAATCTCATTTTTCAAAAAAACAGGTATAGAATCCAAAAAAAAAACAACAAACCATTAATAAAATAGTCTTGGAAATCATGTGTCATTCTGCCTCGGGCCTTAGTGAGTCTAATTGCCTCTTTTTAATTTCTATGTCATATTTTAACGCTTGTACCCTTAATTCATGTTCAATTCTTGTTCGAGCTTCTTCTGGGCATGGTTTGCAATAACTTTCTTTTTATCAACCAACAAGTTGTATTTTTGAGCGAGCTGGTTTGATGACAGTCTTCTACGATTTGATGGCTTGCAGGTATTAGCATGTTTGCTTGCTTGGCTTTCAGCCTTATCGCTTTGTGCTGGCTAAAAAGGTTGAAACATATAGTGGAACTATTCAAAACTGTGAATGTATGTTATTGTACAAGATATATGTAGTAAACAAAGAATACTTTATCATACAGTTACTCACTTTACTGATAGATCGCCTCAATTGTGCTGAAACAGGTTTTTTCAAATCTGACCCTTTCTTCCATCCCCTTGATATATCTGCTAGTTGCTCCATACTCCTGGAATTGTTTTCTTGATTCCCATCTTCCATCAATTGTGATGATTCAGTGATGACCTTAAAAATATAATAAATATGTCATTTGCTACCCTAAAAACAATATGAAAAATGAATATTTTGATGTTGCCAAATCTCACACATGCTTCAACCAACCAATAACAAAACCCCCAGAGCATTTGAATGCGCGCTCAATGTATAGTCTATGTCAGCGCCACCTTCAACTAACGAGCCATGAACAGTAGATATGGCAACGCAGCTTTGGGGTCTTCCACAGACAGGTGTTTGCCGGGCTTTTCGTTTGTTTATATTCCTAACCTCCGACTTTTTGGTGCAATTTTGTTGTAAATCTCTGGGAACAGTGCAATTCATACAAACCAGAGTAATCTACTTAGTTTTGCTCTTCAAACCGTGCAGAAAGTATTTATTTTAGGTAGTATAAAATCGTGCTTTGATGTGTTTAAAATGTGTGTGAATCGGTGCTTGTTAGAAACGTCTGTATAGTGTGTAGATTCGAGTGGGTACATCTTTTCTTTTAATTAATATGCCTAAGCGTTGCTGTGTACCAGGCTGCAAGGGAAACTACGAGGCAGAATTGAGATCGACACCCTACAGGTCAGTGTTTCGATTTCCAAAAAATGAGGAGTTGAAAAGTAAGTGGCTAGCTTCAATACCAAGAAAGGACTGGTGCCTTCTAAAGATGTTGTTTGTTGTGAATTAATTATCGTCTTTTAAGTGGTTGCAATTATAATGTTTCCTGTGATGATGTCATCCATTCTGAGAAGAAGATCAGACTCAAACACATTATTAAATCACAATCACAATCATTTTCATTCACAGAAATCAAAAACAAATTTCAAAATCTATCATGTACACCAGGAAGTAGTGAAAATTTAGATCCTGACAAAAGTTTTGATATATTCTCAGAAATCTTTTGTAGCAATTATTTATCAAATTGTGATTTAGAAGACGATACTAAGATGTACATTTCTGGTTATGCCTCACATAGTATTTCTAAAAAACTTGATTGTCCCATATGCATTTCACTCATTGTAAAGGAAAAAGGAACAAATTTTGAAGGTGAATATTTTAATTATTTGCAAAGAGGAGGACTGTCTATTCCAACTGAATGTGTCAATATTATTTTTTACCACATGTATGCCATTTTCGAATTTATAATAAACATAGATAGACTAGAAAATGAGTTTTTACATAGTACTCAGCAGAAACATATTTTATGTCATCTAACCTTGCAAAGTATAGAATCAGATCTTGTTTATGAGGAATTTTCTCAAACTTGCTTATGTGGGAATAATTATAGAGATATCCTATTGAACCTCCTATCAATTTTTTCAAATATTGTTTTAAATGATTATGTTAAATTTAAAAATAATACAAAATTAATTGACAAAGCAAACCTTAAACAAAATGTATCTACTTCTCGGGCCAACCGTAATAGTGTAACTGAATCCCCAGTCACAAGCTTTGATTTGCAAAAGCGGAGAAAGCTGAGCACCTTCAATGTGTGAATGATATATAAAATGTGCAATATCTTTTTTAATATCCTTTTAGTTATTATTTTGTTACAATTATTTTATTTTCTCTTATTATTTAATTTTCAGTTATCGTTGTTTTTAGTTTGTACACTGTTTTTTGTTTTGTTTCCAGTTATGTATTTTATTTATTTCTTATCTTTATTCTGAATATAATTTTTTTAGTAATTCCAATTTTTTTTTAAATTTTAAGCTCCTCCTTAAAAAAATAACATTAATTTAGAGTGTTACGGAAATTTTATAAATTATATCGGGTCTTGCCATAGAATACTTCGTCATTTGGTGTACATATTGACATTAAAAACAAAAAATCAATATTTTTTGACATATTGGGTTTTGCTTTAGTACCACAGATATATGGCTCTTGACAAAACCTGCCGATATAAATTGGTAACTTGGTGTGGTAATGCAATACCTCATTTATACATCTCAAGTACGATTCTACTCCTGTATACGTCTGCCAGCAAACAACTTAGTTATAAGAAGCACTACATAATTAGTATTCTTGTGAATTTCCCTCTCTAGGGTTCGCATAGAGTATTCACATTCTGTAATTTCGATTTTGAACTTATGTTTAGTGAAATTGTTTTGTACTTTGTACTCGTATATTTGAGATTCATCAAAAAAATGCTCGAATCGAAGTTTCTGTAAAAGCGCGTTTTCACGGGTCGATCTAAGTTGAACCACCTGGGTTATTCGACCATGGTTCGATCTGAGTTGAAAGCAAAAAGGTTTACACGATAGGCGATGTATGTTGACCAAAAATAAAAACGACACCACTTTGCTTTCGATTCAATGTTCGACACAAATTGTTCGACTCAGATCGACCCGTGAAACCGCGCCTTAATAACGGCACACACCAGCTGGACGCCGGACCCCAAAATGCCATGATGCGGTGTTGCCTTTTTCTCTTCATGGCTCGTTAGTTGAAGGTGGCGCTGTCTATGTCTATGTGAACGCGAGAGAGATGAAATATCTCTCGTGCACGCTGAATATGCATTGAGCGTCCGCTTGCATATAAATTAAATACAAAGATTTATAATAACAGTATCTCCTAAAAGCTATCGTTAATGGTTATTTATGAAGCATGGCGACATTAACATTTTCGTTTTTTCAGATCGTTTTTCGGTATCGCAAAATCAATTTTTTGTACTTTCCCATCTCGTACAAAATCAACTTTTGACAAACATTGTCAAACATCATTTTGTTTCGGAGTATCAAAAAAACGAATGCTACCTTTGAGAAGCGAAAACATTAATTTTTGTAATTTATTTGAAAAAGTTGTTCAAACAATTAGAGACGCAATTTGGAGCCTGACAACATGTAGATTTGTTACTAGGAGGCTTTTTCGAATAACATGCAAAAAGTCCGAATCCGAATATTTTCCTGAGCAGATGTGAAGATATTTCTTGGACTATTTTCTTGGCTGGAAATCTGGTGGAACTATAAATATTGAAAGTATGCCGACAACGCATATCAGGAATGTCAGGAATGTGTCGGCGATTTCATTTGTTTACATTACGACATCTGGCTGACGACCGATATTGAGGCAGTTCGATGATCATAGATACATAACACATCCTCAATAAAGGGAGTATTTCTTTCATCAGTTTGACTAGTAATGAATTTCAGGATAATAAAAAAATGTATAATCAAAAAAGTATTTACTGAACAGTCACAGCAATAATAGAACAAATTCTTCATTACAATAAATTGTACATACATAGAGGTATTCTACTCATCTGGATTTTTCTCTATATTATGAACCTGATCAGTGCAATATCATGCAAGCACTATCTCTTGTTAATTGATCAGGTATATTTATTGCGAAAACATAAATACTAAAATAACAAAAAATACATCTGTAGGTAGAGGACTGACTGGAATACAAATATAATCACTCTGATATGTGAATCAAAAATAGTTTTGCGCACACTGTTTAATGGGTAAAGGCAAACAAAATTGTCCTTAACAAAAAAAAAACACATAAAACAGTAATTGTTTCTTCAAACTAGGAAACAAACTCTCATTGACAATTAATTTGGTATCCATAAAATAAATGATGATCTTCATTCCAACTGTCTCCTCGAAGGATTTTGACACTGTGAAACAAAAAAAAATTATTAGCATAATATCACTGTCATATTTGGTCAGCAAACACTAAACAGAAACATAGTCATCTCACCACGCCCCTTCAGATGATACTGCTCTGTACATATGTATAAATTCCCAATCTAGCAGTATACATTTGATTGCCAAAATTCTGTTTAAAAAAAAAAATTTTCATTGGTGATACCAAACGCCAGTCCTTAATTTGGCCCTTTACCAGGTTTGTTATTACCAACAGTACAGATGTCACAAAAAAAGTTACATGCTACTCAATCTGTTTACCTCAATAAACATCAAAAGAGATTACATATTTGGTGGACTGCGAATACACAGCATTCGTCAGGTGTACACCTGGTTTGTAGTTAATGACAAAGTACCTTCACAGTGTTCTGTGAGGTTTTGGAAAAACATGTCATGGGGGGCATGGTATAGATTTAAATTCTCTTTTTTCTTCTGTAGGGGCTATAATTTGCCAACATCACCACTGGTACAGTCTCAGACATGAAGGTGTTTGCATCTATCAGCTATGAAGTCAGTACTACAAGCACAAAATTTTAAGATCATTTCCATTTTTTTTTTTCGTTCTCTAGAATATAATTTCAAAATCCTCTATCTTGGTATTTTTTTCATGCTGTTTTTTGATCTAATTTATGAAGGAAACATGACCACTGCCTTTAATTATTATAATTTTTAACATACATGATTTTTTTTATCAATCCACCCCGATGTTCAGCTCTAAACTGTCATGCGTAAGCAAGCGCAAATAATTTTTCATACAAGTATCACCGAACCATCAGCCCATACAGCGATATAAAATCGATCAAACATCACGATATAAATATCGACTATCGACTTTTGTACAGTATCGATGGCTCGTAGCCATCTTCTAATTCCAGCTGTAGCGATCAGCTGACCAACGCTAGTGATCCGATTGGTTGGTTCTTAAGGAAAAGTTCAATATATTGAACTTTAATTTAAGAAGTGACCTTGAAATTAAGAAAACGACCATAACCTCAATATATTTTGTCATTTATGCAAAAATGAACTGATTTGCAACGTCATCATTAGGCGCTCCTCTGGCGATGTCCGATTGCGTTCAGGTGACTTCTGCAGGTACCTCTTCAACAAGGTCAGGAGTTGATACCACCGCGGCTTTTCGTTATTTTGCTCTAGGCATGGCTATCCTCAATTAATCGCACAAAAAACAAGTCAACGGCAGAACAACACACCCGAAGACGAACACCAAAAACAAATCTCTACCACAATTTCGTCAACAACTCAAACAAAAACAACAGATGAGTCACTGCCTGGCTTTCTGGGTAAATCGTCGTGGAACACGGGACACCACAGAATTATTATAATTACGTCAATACGAGCATAGAACAGTATGGAAAGTGCTATCCAAGGGTAAGACGAGTTCCGAAACCACCCGAATCATGTCAAAAAATGGGTGTGACGTCACCAAAACGTTTGACCACCACTGGAAGTCACTAGCTAGTTACTATCTGGAGGCGTAACATGTGGAGGACACTGGTGTAGAAACAGCTGATCCTTAAGTTCGGTTAGTTTAAGTCGTGCATGAACCCGACATTATTATGTCGTATGTTAATGTGTTTAAATAAATTATTTCAAAAAAAAAATTCTAAGTCATCATCCGAAGAAGACTCCTCCGATGCAAAGTCGCTGAATCAGTCGTCACTCATCTTGATCTTAGTTAAAACGCTTTCAAACTAAAATAGAAAAATAGGTTGTAAACTTATAAAGCAGAAAAATGCAGCAAACGAAAATGACACACAAAATCGAGGTTAACTTCTATGGTGACAGGAGCCACGGAACCACAGTACACGAGACGGTAGGGATGAGGATGAAGGCTGATTGATGAACAACTGTACCAAGAGATTTAATTCGTACGATCACGGATCACGGTATCGTCCACAATTGACGCATGCGCACGCTGTCGGAGACCAACAGTTTCGTGGAGGTTCAAGTGACGGTGCAAATAGACGATGTTGGTACAAACCTAACATAACCCAGAGATAAACCCTTCTAGAGATGGGAAACTCCAATACTAAAATAAGTTACCGTATTTCTGCGACCTCTGGTGGATTGGTCGCACACCAGTGCTGAATAATGGGCCTTTCCATCTTAATAGGACAAACCTAATGGGGCTTTTTACATTGTTAATAATAAATCGTCTTACGTAACACAAAGACTCCAAATGGGTTAATTTCCACTTTCTTAATCATTAATACATGACGCGCATTTCGACACACAGTGTCTTTCTCCAATGCTGGGATGAGTCGCGCGTCACGTATTAATGACTAATATAGCAGAAATTAAACCATTCGGAGTGTTTTTATTACGTAAAATGGCTTGTGGAAAATCTTTCCAGGGGATGCGAAGGGAGGAATTAAAATTCAAGAAATAATTATAGTCATTTTATGGTCAATCATTCATATACAAATTATATCACCTTTTCTCACAAAGCTAAATATAATAATAAAAATGTCTTTAGAAATCCATTCACACTGCGAGGCGAAGTTTATCCAGCTGGCTACTCTACCACTTAACCTCACAGCGCAGAAACACATACAAAAAAAAGATATAACAATGAATAGCAATCGACTAACTAATATATACAATAATTAAAGCTTAAATAGAGTAATCTTAAGATGTTATACATCAATACTACATGGCCCGCTCTAACAAAAAAAAAAGAAATATATCAGCTAGCTTGGCTAGCAGACCCCAGACGATGGTTCTTAATGGCTCTCTTGAATGCAAGTATTCCCTTCTTTTTGCAATTGTTATTAAGACTATTATACACCTTGACAGCATTGTAGGTGAAGCTACGGTAGAAAATGTTGCTCCTATAACTAGATATATTGAAGTCAGAGTTATGTCTGAGATTCCTGTAATTGAGATCCCCACGTGGTAGTAGCCTTTTCAGTAGATAAGCAGGTAGCCTATCGATTTTGATTCGTTGTACTAAAATTAGTAAATTATATGTGAAAAGCTGGTCAACCCTCAACCATCTAAGCTCATTGATCTTCTTACACATGGCTAAACTTTCACATACCACAAACGAACCTACAGCAGCGATTTTGAAGTTTTTGTACTCTATATCTAGTCACGTAATCAAGACAAGGAAAGTAAACAGCAATTGAATAATTTATTAACGGTAGCAGAGTCTCTGCCAGTTTTTTGCCAGTCTTGAAATTCAGAATATGGCGATTGTTGTATATCTTCAAACGCATGTATGTTAAGCGAGATAAATGCGTAACATGTTGCTTAAACCTCAAATCAGAATCCATGATGATCCCTAAATTCTTCGCATGGTCTACTATAGGAGTATGGGTGTCGTTAAGACTAGGAACAATTCGGCCATCTAACCGTTGTACTAACAGTTTTGGCCCAAATAGCATGGTAGAACATTTTGAAGCATTGATCTTCAGACAATGTCTTTTGCAGTGCTCTTCAATGTTAACTAGATCTAAGTTCAATTTATATGATGCTGAGGAGTATAAGGATATGTGCAATTACTCAAATATTTGACTTGCAATAGTGGAGATCTT